TGGGAAAGCCTCCTGGTGTCTAAAATCCTGGAGAGCTGTTGGTGGTCAGTGTTGACAACACCGAGTGAGATTGAGCAATGGGTCTGACTCAGTATAAGGCAGCCTGTGTTCCTGTCTCCTTAATTGTAGTCCATCACATCCCTCAGGAACAGCAAACAGGAAGCTGTCCTGGTCCAGCAAAAATTTGGACGTGGTTTTGTACCTGCAAAAGAGGGAGAGGAGAGCACTATCATGGGAGCCTGGCAGCGTCCTTCTCACTGTTAAAATGTTGCTCAAGTTTCTCTGTTTTTAAAATACTCGCCAACCTTTTCTGCAAACCTAGCCATCTGACTTGCACCATGCAGGCCTAGCTTCATTTCTGGGTGACGGCTTTCATTTTCGTTAATTTAAAAAAGCATTTTTTAAAAAGAATTGGTTGGCTGTTCTCTTTCTGAGACTCGGGAACAAACGGGACCTTGTAGCTGGCAGGGAAAAGTGTGATGCTTGAATGGAAACTTTGGCCTCATATTCACAGAGAGGGCCAGCCCGGAGGCTGTACCACTTCGGACTGTAGGTGGGGAATGCTCCTCCGTATAATAAACTCTCTGCAAACAGAAATCTAGCCTGTCAGGGAGTAGAAATTCTAATCCTAGCTTGCTTCCTGATGTGCTGTTTTTCTTGCAGGGGGGAATGTTTTTGTATGGAGGGAGCATTCAGTCAGGCAAATTGAGATGACTGAATATTTTGTTTCATCCACATTTTTTAAGCAAACAAACCTGATCCACACTCCCCAGACTAACACACAGATTGGAATGCAGTAATTCTTCAGTTTTTCCTGATTCAATTCTCAACCCAATAAATGTACCCAAACTGCATTATTTTAGGTAAAATGTGTATTTTTAGGGGGAAAGTGGACAAAATGCATATTTTAGAGGAGGTGTCCCCAAAATGCATTTTTTTGTGAAAAAAATATTGTACAAAAATAATGGGGGAAATCTTGTTTCAAAAAGTTGACCGTAAAGACCAACCATAGAACCAACTGCAACATGGTTTGTGTAGCATACAGTAAGTGAGTACAGTGGTACCTCAGGTTAAGTACTTAATTCATTCTGGAGGTCCGTACTTAACCTGAAACTGTTCTTAACCTGAAGCACCACTTTAGCTAATAAGGCCTCCTGCTGCTGCCACGCCTCCGGAGCTCGATTTTTGTTCTCATCCTGAAGCAAAGTTCTTAACCTGAAGCACTATTTCTGGGTTAGCGGAGTCTGTAACCTGAAGCGTATGTAACCTGAGGTACGACTGTACACGTACCAGGAATGAAAAATGTTCTGTGATCAAAAAAAGCCAGCAGACTGGTGTGGAAGTGAACATAAAGAACATAAAGAAGAGCCTGGCTGCTGGAACAGGGCAATGGCCCATCTAGTTCAGCATGCTGTTCTCACAGTGGCCAACCAGAGGCCTGTAGGAAGCCTGCAAGCAGGACTTGAGTACAGAATAATAATAATAATAATAATAATTTATTATTTATACCCCGCCCATCTGGCTGGGCTTCCCCGGCCACTCTGGGCGGCTTCCAAAAGAATATTAAAATACTATAATACATCAAACATTAAAAGCTTCCCGAAACAGGGCTGCCTTCAGATGTCTTCTAAAAGCCTGGTAGTTGTTGTTCTCTTTGACATCTGGTGGGAGGGTGTTCCACAGGGAAGGCGCCACTACCGAGAAGGCCCTCTGCCTGGTTCCCTGTAACTTGGCTTCTCGCAGTGAGGGAACCGCCAGAAGGCCCTCAGTGCTGGACCTCAGTGTCCGGGTAGAACGATGGGGGTGGAGACGCTCCTTCAGATATACTGGACCAAGGCCGTTTAGGGCTTTAAAGGTCAGCACCAACACTTTGAATTGTGCTCGGAAACGTACTGGGAGCCAATGTAGGTCTTTCAAGACCGGTGTTATGTGGTCTCTGCGGCCGCTCCCAGTCACCAGAAGCGCTCTCTCCACTTGCAGTTCTCAGAAACGTGTATTCAGAGATATATCTCCTTCAATACTGGAAGTAGTACACAGCTGTCATGGCCACCAATAGTCTTCTCCTCCATTTGCCTGTTCCTCTTTCAAGCCATCCAAGTTGGTGGCCACCACTGTCTCCTCTGGTTTAATGATGGTTTACTGATGTGCTGCTCAAAATACTGTCCTGAATCTTCCATCGTTCAGCCTCATTGAATGACCACAAGTTGAGGACACAAGAAAGGAAGAAAAACTTGCCTCCGATTTCTCCACGCCAATGACGCCATGAATAACTGTTGCTGCTTGCTCGCCATTTATCTAAACTAGAAGTCCCAATATATGTATTTTAGATGGATGGGCTTACAAATGAACATATGTGAAAGTAATACAGAGTGGAGACACAACTGCTCCATCTATCTTCTGCCCCACCCTCTGTCTGAAGCTCAGCCTAGACATAGGTTTACCAACTCAGGAGGGAAAAATAGGCCTTAAGAGACTGATGTTTGGAACATAATCTGGTGTCTGACTCAATATGACCTGGACACTGCTGTCTGTGCCATTATAAAATCTCTACCTACCAGCCTACCAACCAATTAGACAGAGGAAGCTGCCCCATCACTCAGCATTCATTTTAGGAAGGTTTTGTAAGTCTTTGCCATACGATTCTAGGGCACGTCTTGTGCCACACGTCCTCATGGAAAAATTGCATCTTAGCCCAATGCCTATTTTAAAGAGATGTTTTGCCATTTTGGCCTTGTGAGGGTTTTTTTTTCAGGGAGCATTTGAGCTCTCTTTTATAACAGCACTCCGTTGGTCTCCTTCGGCCGAAAGAAAGTTGCCTGAACATTAAAACACTACTACTAAAAAAATATTGTATTATATAATAATGTAGCTTTGAGTGTTCCAAGTGCTCCCTGTGCAGTATCTTAGTCCTTACAACAACTCTGTAATGCAGGCCAGTTACAACTCTGTAAGGTGGGGTGGAATTGAGGCTGAGAGATAACAACCTGCCTAAGGCAACAGAGTGAGTTGGCTATATTGGGTGACCAGGTGAGGTTTGCATTCAAGCACCGCAGCCTGAATTTCCAGTATTGAACTAGAAGCCACCGCTGGCTGTAATTCCCTGTGGGTGGGCAGAGGGGCTCTGTGGCTCTTCCTTTGCATCTGTTTAATGACAAGAGTTTTGTTCTCCAATCTGTCCACCCATTTATCAATATGGCACCTTCATGGGGGTTCCATTCATATGGGGGAAACAGCGTAGGAGAAAAGGGTTAAACACCTTTACCCCCTGATCATCAGATCCCTCTTGTGCACCTCACCCTTGTAGCTGCTTTAATCTTTTTTTAATGTGTGAAATTCTGTTCCTAGATTTCCTGGGGGGTGTCACACCTAGTTTAGCACAAACCCCACTGCTCTGCTCCTGTTTTCTAGCTTGGGACCTCTCCTAAAATGCAAATCATTTATACCAAATAGTGATTTTAGTTCTTCAAGTACCAGTTCTTTTACAGGCAAAACTGTATGACCCATGCAAAACAGAATGGTAGCAGCAGGGCTAGGGGAACCTTGGGGGTTGCAGAAGTACAATGAATAGTTTATTGAAAGGGGAATTTTAGGGGTTACCTAAGGTCCTTATGCTGCCAAAACTGTATCAGCTATGCAGAATAGGAAGACAGCAGTAGGCTCAGGGAGATCTTGAGTTTTTCAGAAGTACAATCAATTTCTAAATGGAAAATACTTAAAGGGGGGGGGTACCCCTCTGTCCCTCAACCCCATAACCCAATGAGATCAGAACATATAGTACTTAGTGGACAACTGACTGACTGTTAGGGGGTGGGAACAGACTACTGGGAAGGGGGCAGCAGAATGCAGTGGACTGCCTGGAAGCAAACTACACTGCAAAATTTAGATGCAGCTCTCACTCCTCTTTCCTATTTTTAATAACAACAAGGAAATAATAGACTCTTTGACCATGTTGCAAGGGGGAAATAAAAATAAACATAGATTGGGAAGCCCTGTGGGAGACTGAGACAGCTTTGCTTGAACGTAGAAGTTGAGTCACATTATATAACAAAGTTGGATTTCAGTGGAATTTACATCACATCCCCCGTGTGTGTCTCCAAGAGAGAGGCTGCTCTAGACAGCAACTTGGAAATGAAGCTGGAATGACAATGGTGTGCTTGTGTGTGTGTGTGTGTGAGAGAGAGAGAGAGAGAGAGAGAGAGAGAGAGTTGTGGATCTGTTCAAAGGGCAGGAAGACAGGCTACTGTTTTGAACAATCTTCTCTTTGCTGGGGTACACTGGTTGTGTGATTTTCCTTGAGTTAAACAATCGAAAGATGGCAAGGGAGGCAAGGTGCCCTCCTTGACAGCGGACAGCCCTCTAGCCATCTTTTATTCCAATTACTTTTTAAGCTTTCTTTCAGGGTTTCACAAACCGCTCTACATTCAGAAAATACCCAAGTGATGTACAGAGATAGAATATGAAACACAATGCAGGTCATAAAACAATACTGAAACATAAAAACCAACAAGAATTTAAGAACTACAGAACTACAGGGGGCGGGGGAAGCATTTGAAGAGCTGTTCTGGGCCAAGTCTAATTTGAAAATGAAATGAAGAACTGTAGGAAGGGAGGTGAGCAGAGGCCTTGAAATTGCTCGGGTTAGAAAGGTTAGAAACGCCTGGGGAGTGGATTGAGCAACATTCAACACAGGCCACCTGACCATTGTTTTCTTTTTCATCGTCTTCTCCCTCTTCCCTGCTTCTGAGTACCACCAACTGGTCTTCAGAGGTATACTGCCTTCAGCAGTAGCTGTAGAACAGTGTCATCATGGCAAGTAGCCATCAACATGCATTCTCCTTGAATGTATGCAATTTTCTTTTGAAGCCATCTGGGTTGGTGGCCCTCACTACCTCTTGTGGGAGTTGGACAAGATAAACTAGATGGGCCTTTGGCCTAATCCAGCAGAGCTCTTAGCAACTCCTCATGTTTTCTTCTTTATTGTCTAGGTCAGCCTTTCTCAACCTTGGGTCCCCAGATGTTTTTGGCCTACAACTCCCATCATCCCTGACCACTGGTCCTGTGAGCTAGGGATCATGGGAGTTGTAGTCCAAAAACATCTGGGGACCCAAGGTTGAGAACCACTGGTCTAGATCATGGGTAGGCAAACTAAGGCCCGGGGGCCGGATCTGACCAATCGCCTTCTAAATCCGGCCTGTGGATGGTCTGGGAACCAGCGTTTTTTTACATGAGTAGAATGTGTCCTTTTATTTAAAATGCATCTCTGGGTTATTTGTGGGGCCTGCCTGGTGTTTTTACATGAGTAGAATGTGTGCTTTTATTTAAAATGCATCTCTGGGTTATTTGTGGGGCATAGGAATTCGTTCATTTTTATTTTCCAAAATATAGTCCTGCCCCCCACAAGGTCTGAGGGACAGTAGACTGGCCCTCTGCTGAAAAAGTTTGCTGACCCCTGGTCTAGGTAGCCGCTTAGCCAATCAGAACGCTCTACTATCTACCTATCTTGAATAAGCTTCAGTGTTGACTGTCCATTTGCCATGATTGCTGGGGCTGATGGGAGTTGTCATTCAGAAATATCTGGAAGCCTAACTCTGCTGTAATCCAAGACAGCTTTGGAAGGGAGGCCTATCAGAGGCTTGGGCTGCTGTACCCTATGCCCTTCTTTTGACCCACATTGACCATTGGTTGCTGACCAGGAACATAATAACATTATCATTCCTCCACATTGTAAACTTCAGATAAGGGTACTCCACTGATAAAATACTCAAACAGACCGCTGGCTGCATTTCAATGCCTTGGGTTCAGGTTGGGCTCACACACAAGTCGATTCAAGGAGTGGGAGAAATAAAATTGGCCACCTCAGAGCATTCGTGAAAGCTGCTGCCTTATGGTCGTACATTTTGTTCTGGAGTTCCAATCTCCAAGTGGAAAATATATGAGTTGAGTAATAAAGTAATAAAGAGGCCGCCTGTATCATCTGCAGTGTTTATACGAACATACAGTATGAAGCTGCTTTATCCTGAGTCATCCATCTAGAGCTCAGAACTGTCTTACTCCAATTAGCAGCAGCTCTACAAGGTCTCAATGGAATTCCCAGTTTTGATCTCTCAGATCCTTTTAATGGGAGATAGTGGTGAATCTGGGATATATGGCATGCAGTGCCTGGACTCTTTATCTTAGAATTGTGGCCTCCACATAACTTTTCCCATTGAAATGCTTGCAGCCAGTGTACCAGTCTTCCCTTAATTACACGCAACCTTAAATTAGAGGTGGGCCACATTCCCTTCAGAGCAATCTTCCAGGGGCAATCCAATGGGTAGATCACTGCCCATTTATAGTGGGAGTAGATCTCTTGGAAGTTGGACACCCCTGGCCTAGGGGACGGGAAGCAGGTCTGATGAAGGGATTTAGCCTAGGGAGAGGGTGTGCATGGCCTGGGGAAGTCCTGAGGGCCAGATAAAAAGGCTTGGCAGGCTGCATTTGGCCCTCAGCCCCCTGCTTTAAATTGCCATGCATATGTATTATGTCCTCAGGTATTGGAACCAGGATACAAAAGACAGCCCTGAGAAGACCTGCTCATTTTGGGGCCACATTGAGGCTCATTAATCTACAAAGTCTGAAGCCAACTGTCCCTCTTTTGGGTGGGCCCGCAGACACAGAACGTACCAGCCCCATCATAAGGCACAGTGAGGCAGCTGCCTCTGACAGCAGATGCTGAGAGGTGCCAAGGAGTTGACAGAGCCCTGTGCCTCCTAGGTTCGCTACCCTCAGGTGCAGCGGAGGGTTCCATCTTGTTGCCAGCATTGAAGTGAGATTCAATAGCCAGCCTCATTGGCTGTTGTACATGGAATGGGGAGGATTCTTGGGGGAAGCCATGACTATTAAAAGTGGTATGATAGCGCTTTAAAGGCATAGCGCAGATGGGGCCCTAAGCATACATTGGATCACTGATTAACTTAGAAATACAGCCCACTGAAATCAATGGCATTTCGAACCAGTTAGCTCCTAGCATCTGAAAAAGGACCAGGTAAGTCTCTGGCTATTCGCCACACTTAAGGTCAGGCGAAAAGAACCTCCATGTCCAGATGCAGTCTATCTCTGTATATGCACCAGATGTGGGGGCCATCAGGAGCTAGAATGCAGGACTGGTTCTGGCTTCCTCACTTTTACTCACAGCAAGGGATAATCACTTCCAAGAAGAATCTGGCAGGGAACCTTTGGGTGAATATTTCTGGGGCTCCCTCTCCAGCTCTTTAGGATGACAGTTCCCATCAGATGATGTCCAAAACAGCTGGAAAGGTGGCCCCAAACTGGCAAGGGCTGGGCTGGAGATGGCCACAAATTTGGATTGCTTTAAAAGAGGATTGGGAACTTCCATGAAGAATGGCTACAAATGGCTACTAGGGATGGTGACTACTGTTCTGCCTCCACAGTGGAAGGCAGTAATGCTTCTGAATGCCAGTGTGCCCTTGTGCCCGGGGCCTGCCTGCACCTGGTCAGCCACCATGATGCTGGACTAGGTGGGCCATCCGCCTGATGCAGCAAGCCAGTGTGGTGTAGTGGTTAAGAGCGGTGGACTCATAATCTGGTGAACTGGGTTCGCGTCTCCGCTCCTCCACATGCAGCTGCTGGGTGACCTTGGGCCAGTCACACTTCTTTGAAGTCTCTCAGCCCCACTCACCTCACAGAGTGTTTGTTGTGGGGGAGGAAGGGAAAGGAGAATGTTAGCCGCTTTGAGACTCCTTCGGGTAGTGATAAAGTGGGATATCAAATCCAAACTCTTCTTCTTCTTCTCTTTATAAATACAGGGTGAGTCTTTTAAAAGATGCCCAGTGGAACTCTGCATCCACGGGCCTCTTTTAAAGGACTCACCCTGTATTATTTACTATTATTTATTGAATTTCTATACCGCCCTATACCCGGAGGTCTCAGGGCGGTTCACAGTACAAAATCAAAATATAAAACCACAAAATATATAATAAAAATAACAACAACAACCCCCTTTACGCAGCAGAACTTTTGTTCTTAGGGGCTAGTAACTTGCGCGCGTTCTTATTTGCCAGGCTGGGCCTCTGGCCGGGCGAGGCGAGTCGTCATTCAAAAAATCTCGATTTCGAGCCTCCCTCCCGCTTCCCATTTCCCCTTTCCTTCCTCCCCGCCGGCCTTCCCTCTTCGGGGCCCCCCGGCTTCCCTGCCAGCAGCCTCCCTCCTCCCTCGGCCTGCCAAGTGCGGGAGAGACCCCCCTTTTTCCTCGGAGCCCGCCGCTGGCGAAGAGCGAGCGAGCGAGCGGGAGAGGCCGAGGGTTGCGTCCGGGACGCGCTGCGCTGCGCCGGGGCTCCGTGCGCCCCGAACGGCGGCCGGGCCGTCTGGCTGGCAGGCGGAGAGGTGGCGGCCAGGGGCTGGCTCGCCTCCGCCTCCCCGCTCCGCCCTCTTTTCCCCCCGCCCCGGCGCGCCATGGCGAATTGAGCTGTGTGGGGATGCGCGGGCAGTATCCCCGGGCCGGGCAGGAGCGGTGGCGGCGGCGGCGGCAGGAGGAGCAGCAGCCGCGGAAGAAGCAGCAGCAGCAGCAGCAGGGCCAGGCGGAGCCCGCGGGCGCCCGGCGAGCAGGCGGCGGCCCCGGGCTGCGTCCAGGCGGCGAGCCACGGCAGCACTAGCGGCCGCAAAGGAGGCGGAGGGAGAGGAGGAAGAAGCGGCGGAGGCGGAGGCGTCCGAACAAAGCGCGCTTCCCCGGCACAGCAGCACAGCCGCCGCCGGAGGAGGCGGAGCGGGAGGCTCCCCCATGGCCGCGGCGCTCTCGGAGACGCTGAGCTTCCCTTCGCCGCCGGGGCAGCCCAGCCGGGCCGGCTAGGAGCAGGAGCAGGAGGAGGAGGAGGAGGAAGGGCCGGGGGCGCGGGGCGCTCCTGGGCCGGAGCGAGGAGGTGGGGGTGTCCCATCTGGAGTTGCGGGAAGGAGGCGGCCAGGAAAGAGAAGGAGCGGCAGAGAGATAAAGAGAGGGCTGCTCTTTTTTGAGGGGGGGCGTCCTAAGCAAGAAAGGGGGGGCAAGGCGGCGCTTTTCCTTTTTTCTTTTTGCAGGCAGCCGATTAAGCAAGGCGCGGTGGGGGGAGGAAACGCGCTGGAGTTGGGAAGAGTGCTTAGGTCTCCTTTGGGGAGGGGGAGTGGTCAGTTAGGTTGTGGGGCGGTGGAATCCTGCAGAGTTGGTGGGCTTTGGGAAGAAGGGGTACAGAAAAGCTCAGAACTGAAGTAGGTGGCAGAGGACTGGGATATCTGGGGAGGACAGGAAGAGGGAGGCCTCAGAAGGCAGAGAGGGGTGCAGGAAACCCCCCCTTTCGGATTCCAGAGCTCAGACCTACCCCCCCTCCACGTACTACTCTTGGGGTGCTTCCTGTTTTGGGGGGAGCTCTAGTGTGTGGCCAAGGGACAGAAAGAGAAGGCGCCCTGTTCTGGAGATCTGAAATTGAGGGGTGTGTGTGTCTGTTTTGGGGGGCCCTGGGTGTGCTGAGGCAGGGGGTGGGGAATGGCTGGCAGAAGCCGCCGCTCCTGGCTCAGCGTGTTGCTCGGTCTGGTGCTGGGCTTCATCCTGGCTTCCCGGCTCATCCTCCCTCGAGCCTCGGAGCTGAAGAGAGCAGGACAGCACCGGCGGAAGGCCAGCCTGGAAGGGTGCCGGACAAAGGCCAGTGGGGGGCTGCTGCACCGAGACTCCCGGGGGGCCTTGCTGTGGCATCAGGACCCTGCCGAGCACCAAGGCGAGATCCTGCCTGCCAAGAACTTCCTCTTCGTGGGGGTCATGACGGCTCAGAAATACCTGCAGAACCGAGCGGTGGCAGCTTACAGGTGAGGACCTCCATTCTTTACTCCCACCCACCTTCTGTACTGCAGACTTAATTTACCCTCTGTTGTGTGGCTAGGAAGGCTTCTAACACCCATTTGTGGGACAGGACATAGCTCATTGCTGCTGCGCCTGCTTTGCGTTCAGAGTGTCCTCCAGGTAGGGCTGGGAGAGGCCTCTACCCTGGAGAGTCACTGAGAGAGTACTGAGCTGGGTGGGCCAGGGATCTAAAGCAGCTTCCCATTTCAGTCAACTTTTTATTCAGGACAATGAGGACTAGAACCTTACATTGTTAGGAAGAACTGTGGTAAGGCATGCAGAAGGTCTGGGGTTCAGTCCCCAGAACCTCTAGGCAGGACTGGCAGAGGCCCCAGTTTGAAATTGTGGAGAGCCACTGCCAGTCCCCGTAGACAGCCCGTGCTAAATGAACCCAGTGGTCTGACTCATAAGGCAGCTCCCTGTCTTCCTAGCTTTTACCTTGCAATTAACTGCTATCCTGCGTCTCTCTTCCGTGCCCAGCGATGCATGTGGCAAGGCCTGTCTCATTGACACCCCATCACCTTCCTCCCACTCTGCACAACCGCATGGTGCATGTTAAACGGGTCTCTCTTTCCACTGCGCATGGGAGATGGGGAGAGAACCCTCTCACCTGTCCTCCCCTCCCAGGAATTCATTCCCAGGGTTTTCTTTTGCCTGTTCCTTGCTCTTCAGGCATGTGAGAGCCACTCCTCTCTGGCGGCCCTCTCTCACAAGAGAACAATCCCTGGCATAGGGAATGCGGCTTGTAAGTTCTGCCAGTTAGCTTCCTTGGCATGATAATTCTGTATGTGAAAACGCATGACACACCCTCCCTTGGTTTTGGTGGAGGTGGTTTGGAGATCTCTGGAGCGGAGGGGAGAGAGACTGAGACCAGCTTGCTTCCTTTGTATATGTGCTGCTAGCTTCCCATCTGTTAAGAAGATAAAGGCTTGCATTAGAGAGGAAGGGAATCTTGTTTTATTTCCCCTCCTCCCTCCCCATAAGCATCTCAAACCTGCTTCATAATTCCAGGAGGGGGGGGGTGTCTTGCTGAATACCTGCTGGCTTCTCTTAAGCACTGACAGATGGGCACTGGGATTGACCAGGGAGGCCTTGCCTGTGTCCTGATGGGCAGCCAATCTTTATAACAGCTTTGTGTGCCTGCTGTTGTGATCAAAATCCCCCAAGAGGGCATCTCATCTCTATCTCATTTCTAAAGCTTCCTGCTCGGTGACTTGAAGAAGGATCCTGCTGGACAGTAACAGGGGTTTATCCTATAAGACAGGTGGGGTGAAATATTTGCCCTGCATTTGTTTAAGGAATGAAACCAAAACAGCTTAATTTGACCAAACGATAGAAACCCGAGTTTTGACTCTTTTCTTCCCCCATGGCTGCAGACAGTGATGCTTCTGAATGTCAGTTCAGCAGGGTGGTGGGGTCAGTTCTCTTGCCCTTTGGTCCTGCTTGTGGGTTTCCCATTGGGGCATCTGGTTGGCCACTGTGAGAACAGGATACTGGACTCAATGATCCACTGGCCTGATCCAAGAGGCTCTTATGTCCTTAGTTGCTAACACATAACCACATGCAAATAATTTCAGATATCGACCACCCAGAGCCAAGCACTTTCTGGCCCATATGAATTCACGTTTTGATGTTCTTTGAATGAACACAGGCAGCTGCCTTACACAGAGTCAGCTACACTGGCTAGCTCAGTGTTGCCTGCATTGGCAGGCAGCCGCTCTTGCAGGGTTTCTGCAGGACATGGCGGGGATTGAACCAGGGACCTTCTGCATCAAAAGTTTCTTGTTTCTTCGGTCTGAGACTCTTCCTCTGCTTGTTGCAGACACCACAAGAATTACTAAATCAAGCTGCTTAGGTAGGAAGTGATGCAATTGGGTAGACACAGAACAGCCGGTTGGCGATGGTGGACTTCCCATCTTAATGGCTCCTCTGCAAGGGGAAAAGAAAAGGAATTGCCAGGAGTGCGATGCATCCTGCAGGTTGAATATCCCCTTCTCTATAATGCAAGTGGGCAGTCTGTGGCCCTACAGATAGTTAAGACTCCAGCTCATCACCCCAGCCAACATGGACCATGAGGAAGAGGCCAGTGGCCTGTCTGGTCCAGCATCCTGTTCTCACAGTGACCAGTCAGATGCTTGTGGGAGCACATTAGCACTCTCTCTTCTGTGGTTTCCAGCAAGTGGCATTCTGCACAGTGCTTCTGCACTGCGGCCTCCACCTGCCAAGGCAAAGCATAGCCATCATGTCTAGTAGCCATTGCTAGTCTTGTTCTATCACTACTCCTTTTTAAGTCGTCCAAGTTGGAAGGCATCGCCTCCCTCTGCGGAAGTGAGTTCCATAGTTTAGCCATGCATTGGATGATGGGAGATGTAGTCCGATGGCATCTGGACAGTCACAGGTTCCCCACCTCTGCTCTGCAAACTACAAACGTATTTGTGACCTTTTGCATGGAAGGGGCAAATCCAGTTTCCCGGGTGCGTGTAAATAGCCGTTTGCTTTGTTTTACATTAGCCAAAGGACTATTAGATTTGATCAAGTGTGTGGCAGGAACACGGGGGGAGAGAGTTCAAGTCCTTTCTTCAACCCCTAAAGCAGACAAGCTGGCCTGACTTCAATTCCTGCAACAGTGTTCTGAGAGCCAGGTAATAAATGTCTGCCTTTATGAAAGGCATAGCGCGTGAAGGGCATATATGCATCGTATCCTCTTGAGATGCAAGCTATCAGATGTTAGGCCATCCAGTGTTAGTGGTGGGCAGGTTTAGCCCTCAAACCGAATCAATGCTTGCAAATGTAATGCCTTTTGGACTTGGGAACGTAATGCTTCCGGGGAAGGTCTGCAGCTCAATTGTAGAACATCTGCTTTGCATGCAGAAGGTCCAAGGTTCAATCTTTAGCATCTCTTGGTAGGACTGGGAAACACTTCCTGCTTGGAACCCTGGAGAGAGATTGCCAGAAATTGCTGGATGGACCAATAGTCTGACTCCGTACAAGTCAGCTCCCAATCAGTGGCGTAGCGTGGGTTGTCAGCACCCGGGGCAAGGCAAGTAATTTGTGCCCCCTAACCCATGGATTTTAGCAGGGGGCAGAGAGCTGTGAGTGCGAGCGCCCCCCCCGATTTTGCGCCCGGTGCGGCCGGCCCCCCTGCACCCCCCACGCTACGCCACTGCTCCCAATGTTCCGGTGCTTCTCCATATGATAGTAGAGAAAGGGGGCAGTCAGGAATCTTGGGGGGGGGGATAAAGGTAAAGGGTTGCGGCGCTCATCTCACTTTATTGGCTGAGGGAGCTGGCGTACAGCTTCCGGATCATGTGGCCAGCATGACCAAGCCACTTCTGGCGAACCAGAGCAGCGCACGGAAACGCCGTTTACCTTCCCGCCTGAGCGGTACCTATTTATCTACTTGCACTTTGATGTGCTTTCGAACTGCTAGGTTGGCAGGAGCAGGGACTGAGCACTGGGAGCTCAGCCCGTCGCGGGGATTCGAACCGCCGACCTTCTGATCGGCAAGCCATAGGCTCTGTGGTTTAACCCACAGCGCCACTTGCGTCCCCTTGGGGGGGGATAGACAATAGCTAAATCTCTTCCCTGCACCTTGGGACCCAAAAGCATTAAGAACCAAGCCTGCCCTGGCCGAGTGTATAGTCAAGCTTTTTATACCTACCGCCCACTAATGCATCTTTCTTGATGGTAAAATTTCCTTACCGCCCACCAGTGCTCAATGGACGGAGGATTCCGCTTGTGCTGTAGAACCGCCTACCACCCACCTAGAATCCTGAAACGCTCACTAGTGGGCAGTAGGGACCAGGTTGACAACCCCTGGTATAGTGGGACGTTAGGAGAAAGTGACAGGATATTGCAGGCTCTTTAGGTGGATTTCTTTTCACAACAGGGGGGCTGACCTTCTGCACTCAGCTATACTTAGGCTGCATCCATTGCACACATTTAAAACACTTGTTATACTGCTTTAACGGTCATGGCTTCCTCCAATGCATTCTGGGAACCACAGTTTGGTAAGGGGCTGAGAGTTGTTAGGAGGCCCTTATTCCCTTCACAGAGTTGCAATTCCCAGTAAATTAACAACCAATCCCTCTTCCCAGGGAACTCTGGAAATTGTAGGGGAGTTCTTGGAGGGGAATAGAGCTCAAACAACGCTCAGCACCTTTAAGAAACTGCAGCTCCTAGAATTATTTGGGGGAAGACATGACTGCTAAAGTGGTACTATAGTACTTTAAATGCATGGTGTATTATTCAGCAAAACTGGTGCCTGCAATCCACCTGAGAGCCGTGATTTAAGAGGCTTCCTTTGTTCGTGGCTCATCTTTTTTCCTCCGAATCATTTAGGTGGCATCGATTAAGCACCCTTGTTCTCAGCGAGGCTGTAAGAAGCTAATGTTCATGTACTGAATTATAACTTTTGGCAAGGATTCTGGCACAAACGAGCCCGTAATTGAAACCAGCTCATTTTCTTTCCCCCCGCTTCTAACGGAGTGGAAGCTTTTAAAAATGTATTTGATTGATTGGGAAATTATTTTATCCCACTCACCCCCCGCCCCGACCCCCTTACCATATACAGAAAGTTCAACTTCCAGGGAGTCAATAGTTTAGCTGGTGGTGGTGGTGGGGTTTCTTATGTGCCTAGAATTGTGAAGATTGTGAGGGGAAGTGCTTTGTTAACTAACACACAGACATATACCGGAACACACCACCAGAGTGTTGACCGCACAATACACAGAGATCCAAAGCAATTCATTGGCTCAGTCGTTTTTCAATACAGTGGTACCTCAGGTTAAGAACTTAATTTGTTCCGGAGGTCTGTTCTTAATCTGAAACTGTTCTTAACCTGAAGCACCACTTTAGCTAATGGGGCCTCCCACTTCTTCCACGCCGCTGGAGCATGATTTCTGTTCTCATCCTGAAGCAAAGTTCTTAACCCGAGGTACTATTTCTGGGTTAGTGGAGTTTGTAACCTGAAGCGTCTGTAACCCAAGGTACCACTGTATTGTAGCCAGAGATCTTTTTCAATGTTGCTACCTGGGTTATTTTAACCGGACATATCAGGATGTTGTGCATGGGACCATCTCCTTTTAAATGCATGCTTCCTTCCCCTGAAACATAGCCCTTTGTAGGCTTCATAAGAAAAACACCTTGGGGGATCAGACCAATGCCCTATTTAGTCCAGCATCCTGTTCACACAGTGACCAACCAGGTGCCTGTGGGAAACTGTCAAGCAGGATCTGAGCACATGGGCATTTTCACCTTCTGTCTCTTCCAGCGACTGGTATTCCGAAGCATTGCTGCCTCCAACCATGGAGGCAGGACACAGGCATCATGGCTAGTAGCCATTGAGTCATAGCCATGTTGTCCTGGGTAATTCACCAAGCTTTTTAAACTCCAGCATATTATCCCTTATTCGAGACCCCCCCATGCGCAAAACTCACATAGGTGACACCAAGTGTTGCATGTAACGAAAACTATCCTTTTTGAGAACTTAACTTTCTTGATTTCCTGGAATCATAGAATTGTAAGAACTAGAAGGTACCCTGAGGTACCTTCATCTAGTCCAACCCCCTGCAATGCAGGAATTCAGAGGAGGCTTCACTGGTTTGCTTATACTGGTATATAGGTAGCCTTAAGTTGTTTGCTTTGTTCAGGTATGCACGCATGCGTGTAACCCATGAGCTTTGCAGAGTTTCGTGGCAAAAGCAAGTTGCAGCCACTTCCTTGGCCTCAAAGAGCTTGCAGTGGTGAAATTGTCAATGGGGAGCACAATAGAAGAGATGGAAGTGCAGAGAGCACCGAGGCAAATGTGTGCCAAGGTTATTATTTGCAATTAAGCATAACGTGTGTGTTGGTTGTGTGTGCAGCAAAGGTGAGTTCTGAGGAACATTTTGAGGAAGAGAGGTGGTTTTGCATACACTTTCAGAAGCAACAAGCGTTCGAGGCGTGAGGGCAGTAAGTGGGAATGGGAAGAGTATTTCAGGATGTAGGGGTATGTTTGCGCAGCTCAGGATGGTAGAGTCAGAGGAGCAAAGAGTGGGGAAATAGGTACCCGTATACAGGCTGGAGAAATGCTGCAGAGGCCTCTAAACAACTTGTGACCAGGATATCTTAAGGACCGCCTGAGCCCTTACTGTACATCCCAGCCCCATCACCGTGATCATCCAGAGGAGAGCTGTTTGTTGTCCCCTGAGTTGCAGAGTCCTGACTGGCATTAATTGTAAGCTGGGCATTTAGTGTCTCTGGTCCTCTGCTGTGCGACACTTCCAACAGAGATGCAGCAGAGGCAGCCTTGCTTTTTATTTCCAAGTGCCTCTTGAATACTTTTTTTTATGCCAACAGGCCTATTAAATTTTTTCTTGAGTGGCCAGTCATTTTAACGACTATCTTGTATTGCTTCCCCCCCCCCCAAATGCTGCTGTCCACTACCTCTGATCTTTTATGAAAATGTGGTATATAAATGCTATCTATCTATCTATCTATCTATCTATCTATCTATCTTATCTATCTAATAGTAAAGCTAAAGGCGAGGAGATTAAAATTAGATCCAGAAGGCAATGGGAAGCCAGTGTAAGGGTTTTAACAGCAGGAGGAGTGCATATATAGTCTGGAGCTACACATGCTGCAGAATGAGGTGGTAGAGTCCTCTCAAGGTAGTAGAATTGACTGTACCACTTCAAACTGCTGGTGTAGGGGTGTGTTTGAATACTCCCTCATGTAAGAAGCAGCCCTTCTTACATGATGGAAAACTAGCCCAGCAGGGAGTAGGCTGGGCTAGAACCTTAGGGTGCTAGGTTTCTTGTAGACAATTCCTCGCTGCTCCCCACACTGGGAGTGTACAAACACTATCTTCTACTTCAGACTCTTGTGATACAATTCCACCACTAATTTCTGCTACTTTGTAGGCCAGGCCTGAGACACTTAAAGCAGCAGCTGGCAGAAGGGACAAAGCTCAATTTGCCTTCTCTGTAGAAGGTCCTTGGTCCAATTCCTGGCATCTCCTGGTAGGTTTGGGAATGTCCTCTGTCTGAAACAGTGGAAAGCCGCTGCCAGTCAGTGTCAACAAAACTGAGTTAGGTGGATCAATGGCCTGACTTCTTATTAGGCAGCCTACCTGTGTTACTAACTGGCTGAATTTGCTTTTTAAGTTAAAGTATCGACCCCCAGATTTTCAGTGTCTGTGCCACTGAGATGTTAGTGTCTTGTTTGTGTGATCAACATTCTGCCAACCCCCCCCCCCCCACAAAAAACACAACTCCCACATTTCCTTTCCAACACATGGTTCTTTATGTATTTTCTTTTAAAAATGTGCCAATGTTCATAAAAACCCCCACACCAAACGGATTGGGAGATGGTAAATAGGATGATAAGAAGAACCATGCTGGATCAAGCCAATGGTCCATCTAATTCAGCATCCTTTTCTCACAGTGGCCAACCAGGTGCCTATGGAAAGTCTACAAGGAGGGTAAAAGCACAATCAGTCTTCTTTCCTGTCCATGTTCTCCAGCATCTGGTATTCAGAGGCAGTGCTGAGCTAGATGGACCAGTGACCAAACTCAGCATAAGGCAGTTTCCAGTGTCCTAAATTAGACTTCCCTGTGGTAGTGGCTGTAGTACAGTCCAAAGGCCCGTCTGGTCCAGCAACCTGCCTTCACAGTGGCCAACCAGGTGCCTTTGGGAAGCCTGGAGGCAGGAGCAAGATTATTGTTGATGAACTGGGAACTTAAAAAGATGCTTCACTCTAAAAACAGTGACACTGTAAAGACTAAAACAACTCTTAAAATTATTGAAATTACAATACAGCCTCACTGCTGAAGAACCTCTACATGTCTTGACATTGAACTGCACATCGCAGAGGGATTTGGGTCACACAAAGTGCTGGCTGGGTCCGTTGGTTTGAGGGAAGCTGTAGTCCTATCGATACTAAGCTCTGAAGGCTATTTGGTATGTTTCAAATTCCCACAAAACTCTTTTAAGAATATTGGCAATGGTCCTCTTTGCCTGATGAGTATCTGTCAGGCATCCTACAGCTTCATTTTATTGCGCACAGTATCCAGGTGAATATTTATTTCATCCACTGTGAACCCAATGTGGCTGTTTCCTTCCCCTGTTTTGTTTTATTTATTTTGTTTTTATTTATTTATTTACAAGGTTACTCTAAACTACCTCTGAAGAGCTCATCGTCATGCACATTCTTCCCCCTCCCTTATCATCTGAAAGATACTCGGAGTTGAGAGTGGATTTCATGCTCTTTATTCAGCTCATAGTGGTGAGGAGGAATGGAAGTTCCCCCAGAATGTCTGCTTTATATATATTATTTACACAATAGGCCCCATGTGATTGGCTAATTCCGGGATTCTCCTGTAGGCCAATCAGGTTGTGGATTCACTTCCACCTGGAGCTGGATTGGGTGGCTCCTGTGGACCAATCAGACTGCTGCATTCTGAATCCTATTGTTCTAGGACCAATCAGACTGCTGCATTTTGGATTCTGTTCAACTCAGTACATAACATCATCCCAACAACCCTGTGAGGTAGACTAGGCTGAGAGTTCTTGTCAGGCCCTTGGGATTTGAACCCAGGTCTCCCAATGCGGCACTCCGAACACTGCACCTATCCAGGTTATTGTGACCCGAGGTGCCCACTTGAGAAGAGTAACTCAAAGGAATTCCTCTGCAGATTAGCGTCTGTGGAACTGATTCCTTGAAGGCAGATGCTTAGAAAAACCACTGCCTTAGGTGTAGCTCGTCTTTTGTACAAATGAAACTGCCTGCCTGTATTTTCTGGCAGTCATGACTTGGAGCAGTTAATCTTTCATGGTGCAGGGAAGCAAGTAAGGGAATTAATTGGCTTTTGTAAAGGGAAGTCATTAAACAGGAGTAGCTGGGAGAACCTAATCTTGCCACTTTATCAGATGAATCTGCCTAGAGTGGAGTGGGGGGTGGGGTGGGGTGGGGGAGGGGGAGTGCTTTTATTAATCAAGGGTGCCTTCATAATGAAAGCAAGAACAGGGGTTTTTGGGGTTTTTTACACACACAAAATCCCACATACCAAATGCTTACCTTTGTGGCCTCTGAACGATTGCAGATCCCTACAGTTTCTGCCTTGAGTTTCTGTATTCCTGTGACACTCAGAGAAGGGAAGAAACCCAAAATTAATGTTTGTTTATCTCTTTCTGGCTTTGGTGGTTTTGGGGAAGAAACTGCTTCGGGTTGACTTTTGTTTAATTTTAGGGAGGAGAAACTTTTGTTTCCTTGATACGATCTCTAAAGAATGAATCAAATATGTTCTGTGTTTGGTTGTTTTGAAACTACTTGCTCACAGTAAGCCGTAGTTGTGTTGGTCTGGGCTTAAAAAAAATGAATTGGCAAGGTGAGAGGAAAGGGTAAGGGGCAGAGAAGAGTGGCCTCTCTCCCTCCCCCAAAAATGCAGTTGGGAGGAGCATAAGAAGAGCCTTGTGGCCCATCTAGTCCAGCATCCTGTTCTCACAGTGGCCACCCAGATGCCCCAATAGGAATTCCGCAAGGAGGACTTGAGCACAAAACCACTCTCTCCTCTTGCGGTTTCAGCAACCGGTCTTCAGAAGCACACAGGCTCCTGGCAGTGAAGGCAGAATAGACATCATGGCAAGCAGCCCAAAAGAAAAGACCCTTTTTACAAACGGCCTGTCGCGTCATTTAAAAAAGAGGAAACGCATCACCGAGAAAGAAGACAAAAGCGGGCACAGATTTGCATCTGCTAACTTATGTGTGTCGATACACTTTTAGAAATAATTACTGTAATTGAAACAGCAGGAAGGGACTGTGATCAGGTGACCCAAGTGCCTGCTCAGTCTGTGCTGCTAACTGTTGATGAGCAGCTTCAAGACCCCTCTTGTTCGCCTTTCTTGGTGGTGCCAAATGTCCAAATCTAACCTCTGTTCTTTTTTATTATTTTGACTGCCTGCTTTTACTATAATGGTGCTTCGGCTGAAGTAAACACCTCCGTGAGTTTCTGTATTCGCAGAAGGGCTGGCTCATCTCTGCTCACAGAAGTAGGATCTCAATAGATTCCCTATCTTAAATTATGCCTTCTTATTTTCTAATTGGCTTGCCAGATACTTTGGATATGCCCGGACAGCAAAAGTGTTTAATAGCCTAAATTACACTTAACATATATTCGTTTTAATGGACATTTTATTTATTTTCTGTCAGATTTCATTTTGTTGTTATCCAGTCCATATCTGTAGGACAGGCTGGGTTGATGGAATTCTGATAAATTAATCCACTGTGTTGACTTTAATATGCATTGGGCATATCAACAGCTGTTTTCTGCTCCTCCTGACTTTATTATGCTGGAAAAACCCCCAAACCACTTTCATCTGTTTCCAAATAGGCTGGTAGTTTAAGTATATGTAAATTACTTTACAATGTGTGAGTATTTTAAATTCTAATGCCACATAAAATAGTCAGCCTTTTCTTCCTTTTCTTAGTCATGTGTGAACAGATCAGTTTATTGTCTAAAAAGATTGGTGAGCCCCCAGTATAAAATAGGAAGAACACGTTTGAAGAGTGCTTTATTTTTGCACCTCTTGAGTGTTTTCAGGTCAGATTCTGAACATCGATAATGTCTGGAACAAAGCTGTCTAACATAACTAAAAATGTTCTACCTTTGTGCAGGAAAGGAAGAAAAGGTGACGGCTATAAAACTATCTGGTTACTGAGCAGAGACTTTTCCCCCTCATCTCGTCCTGCCAAAAGCACACTTCTTGTAGGTAGAAATTATAGGTGGAAATTTGAGAAGAGAACATGGGGTAGTCTAGACTTCATGCTCCTTGAAAGCCTGGAGCAGACACTGAATGTGTATGTTGGCCATAATTGTCCCTTGGGTGGCTCTTGTTTTTTGGGTCTGACTTGAGAGAGACCCGCAACAGAAACCTTGCATTACAGTGGCGACGGCAGTCTATGTTAAGTCACATTCTTCACACCATACATTTAAAGCACCATGATGTCGCTTTCAACAGTCATGGCTTCCCCTAAAAAAATCCTGAGAGTTGCAGTTTGTAAGGGTGCTGAGAGTTGATAGGGCACAGCTACTCCCCTGCCAGAAGTACAATATTCCCAGAGTTTCCTGGGAAGAGGGATTGATTGTTAAACCACTTTGGGAACAATGTATGGTTTTGAGTGTGGCCTTGCTGTCCAGATTAGCTTGGTTCTGCTGTAATGCACTGTTGAGGGATTCAGAAGAGATTTGCAGCATGCCCAATCATTACTGCTTGTGACTGTTAAAATTATAGAATCTCACACTGAAATACATACCTGGTGGATTCAGACAAACACTAAGACAGTCTCTCCCGACTTGGTACTCTCCAGATGTTTTGGCACCAAAACTCTTCATCAGCCTCAGCTGCCACGACTCACAAGCCTCTTAGAATGTCAACACACATTTAGATGAGGATGTCCTCCTAGACATTATGTGCTTGAACCTCCATAAAGCATTCAACAAACTCCCTTGCAAAAGGTCCTTGAATAAACCTTACATTCATGGGCTGAGCGTACACTGTCAGGAAGGGGCCTCAGGTTTGATCCCCAGCATCATCCAGGTAGGGATGGGAATGTCCAAGGACTATGGCTCTGACTTGGTATAAGGCAGCTTCCTATGTTCATTCAAAGAATGACAAAATGTTAATTCATATGGGCCAGAAAGTACTTGGTCTAAAGACTCTGGATTGTCTATACCTGAAATTATCAGCTTATGGTCATGGGTATGTATTTAAACGCCTAGGTTTCAGTCCTTTGGTCAAAAGAAGTGATGTGGGTTAATTTCTTAGATGGCTGCAGGACAAGTACTTCACCCCATCTGTGTTATCAGAGAAACCCTCTTACTGTTCAGCAGGATCCGTCCTCAGGTCAGCGGGTAGGAAACTTTAGAAATGAGATATAGATGAGATGCCCTCTTTGCGATTTTGGTCACAATAAGCCCAGCTCTACAGCCAGGGCAGAGGGCTCATATCAATACAGTGAGTTAGACCCATTGTTGTAGCTAGCTCAGCATTGCCTACACTGACTGGCAGCAGCTCTCCAGGGGTTCAGATGGAGTTTGCCCCCAGCCCTACCTGGAGATGTCAGGAATCGAACGTGGGACCTTTTGCCTGCAAAGCAAATGCTCTTCCACTGAGCTGGGGGCATTAAAGATCGTGTGCCAATCAAAACACAGGTGAGGCCTCTTTGATCATTACCAGACCCCACCTGTCCAGTGCTTAGAACAGCAGAGCATCTGCTTTCCCCCCAAGATCTTCAGGTAGAACTGGGAATATCCCCTGCCTGAACCCCTGCAAAGCAGCAACCTGTCAGTCTGTGTAATGCTGAGCTAGATGGACCAGTGGTTTGACTCAGTAGAAGGCAGCTTCCTATGTTTCTATGCACAAACAGAGTGGTTTTGCGTAACTGGTTTTTGGTCTTCTACTCTGCAGAACGTGGTCCAGCACCATCCCTGGCAAGGTTGAGTTCTTCTCCAGCGAGGGCTCAGACACCTCTCTCCCCATCCCCATCGTGCCGCTGCCTGGTGTGGATGACTCTTACCCGCCCCAGAAGAAATCGTTCATGATGCTCAAGTACATGCATGACCACTACTTGGACCAGTACGAATGGTTCATGCGGGCAGACGACGATGTTTACGTCAAGGGGGACAAGCTGGAGAACTTCCTTCGGAGCTTGAACAGCAGCGAGCCCCTCTTCCTTGGGCAGACGGGTCTGGGCACCACGGAAGAAATGGGGAAGCTGGCCTTGGAGCCCGGGGAGAACTTCTGCATGGGGGGCCCAGGCGTCATCATGAGCCGGGAAGTCCTGCGGAGGATGGTCCCTCATATCGGGGAGTGCCTTCGAGAGATGTACACGACCCACGAGGATGTGGAGATTGGGAGATGCGTGCGGAGATTTGCAGGAGTGCAGTGCGTCTGGTCTTACGAGGTATGTAGCTGGTATGGTCTGGGGTAACGGTGTGTGGGAGGAGGGGAGTGTTGAAGACTTCTTGCTATTTCTGCAGCAGGGTCCCTGTCTCCAGTATCCCAGAGTCTCTCAATCAGCATGGAAGGTGGGAGCATTTTGGCCACCGTGTGCTCCAGAGCTAAGCATTTAGGAGCACTGAAAACGCAAGTTTCAAGAGAATGGTTTGCAAGTTCCGTTGCACACCATTCTCTTGAAACTTGTGCTTTCGGTGCTCCTGAAACTTGTGTTTTCAGTGCTTACATATAATGGGACTTCATGGAAAACACAACTTAAGTTGCCCAGAAAGAAGACGCTGGAACACTCAAAATTATTTGTCCGTGCATGTGCACAGAAAATAGTACATCTAGATGAAAGGCAACACATGGAGATCAGCATTGATGATTCTAGAGCCTCCATTTATTTATTTATTTATTTATTTATTTATTTAATTCTAAGGTTGTTGTATAATCTTAGAAGAGGTGTTGCTGTAGCCATTATGAAGGGACCCTGAAATTCTGAATCTACCACTACACTAGTGCTGATGGGGAGAGCTTTAAATGTTTTTTAATACTTCTTTTTAAAGTCATGGTAATGAAGAACTGTTGTGCTTTGAGAAAAATGCAAATTTAGGTGACATATCTGTCTGGAAATCTCTGTTGCTGTGTGTGTTCTCCTCCCTCCCCTGAGCCAACCCACAGCATATGGACTGAAAACTAGTATTCCTGAAATTGTGTGCAATCGTTGGAGGCCTTCCAGGAAATCTGCTTTCAGATCTAATGGTTTTGATTTTGAGGAATTTCGGTTAAATTTTAATCTAGGCAAATATTCATCTCTGCATTGTGTGGCGGGGTGGGTTGGGGGGCGGATGAGAAAATTTTGGCGTTCAGTACCCTTTGTTACATTTTGATTATGTTTGGTTTATAGGGACTGGGTTCAGGCAAAAGTTCATTGCAGTTCAGTAAGTCCCTAGCTTGCCTTAAGCTCTTTAGCACTGAGGCAAAGCCCAGAGGATAACTGAAGGAGAAAATGTGGTTTTCCTTTCTTCTCTTGTGGACATCTTGCTGAAGACAGCAACTTGGCGAACTACCTCCTAAACTCAGGATGTGCGTGCGAGAAATCTTAAATTGAGACAGGAAGTTAAAGGTGTGGAGAATTCCCATTAGGCAATACTTCAATGTTGGCTTATCTTAAATCTTCAGTGTTGCTAGGATAATGATTAACAGAGCCTTCTCCAACCTGGTGCCCTCTAGGTATTTTGGGCTACAACTCCCATCAGCTGTATTGGCTGGGGATGATGGGAGTTGTAGTCCAAGATAGGTCCAGGCTGGGGGGGCTGTTTTTTTCAGCTCCCTTCTTTACAGTAAAGGCGGGCAAAAAATTAGCATTGTTAGTAATCACCGCCACCATCTCATGTGTTCTAATTAGTGCCAGAGGCAGATCTAAATACAGTGGTACCTTGGGTTACAGACGCTTCAGGTTACAGACTCCGCTAACCCAGAAATAGTACCTTGGGTTAAGAACTTTGCTTCAGGATGAGAACAGAAATCGTGCTCAGACGGCATGGCGGCAGCAGGAGGCCCCATTAGCTAAAGGGTTAAGAACAGTTTCAGGTTAAGAACGGACCTCCAGAACAAATTAAGTTCTTAACCTGAGGTACCGCTGTAACCTCTGGCATTTTAAACTTATTCCGAAAGGGAAGCAACCGTTGCTTCTTTGTCAGCCTGTGGTGCAACCTGCGATCTTTTTGCACCATGCAAAAGCCAACCAGTTTGCAAGAGCTTCCTGAATCACCTTGCAGATGGGACTTTAACATGCCCTGCACCAGTGACACCCATTTCTTTCCCCCACCTCCACTCTATTCCTCTTTCCCCTTTTTACTTTTAGTGCTGAGCTTGAGGGAGAATACCCTGAAACCCGAAAGCTAGCTTTGGTATGCTTAGTTGACTGGTCTGTAAGAGAGGTTATTCTGAAACTGTTCACATAAACTCTTACCTTTTCTCCCTGATCTCAGTTCCTGATGGATCAAAATCACTCTGTATTTCATCTTCCTGTTTTCATACACGGTCTAAGTCGCACTCTCTTTCTCTCAAGCTTTGAGAACCCAGGTAGTCAACAAGAGGGGAAGTTAAAACATGTGCCTGCAAAATATACTCCTGTAAGAAACCAAACAACCCCCTGAGGAAGGAATTCAGTGGTCAAGCATCTGCCTTGCATGCAGGAGGTCCAAAGTACGACCACTGTATCTCCAGGTAGAGCTGAGAGAGAGAGATTTTGTCTAAAATCCTGGGCAGCTGCTGCCAGTCAGTGTAGACTACAGATGGATCAAGTTCCCTGTTTGAGCACCTGACTCACCACTGAGAGCTGAACAAGAAAATGAATGGGCTGTTACCATCCACCTATTTGCATTACCCATTTTTAAGGCAGGGGTTTGGAGAGTTGGGGTTACTTTATCAGTAAAAAGGGCACAGAAACATCCTCCTATGTGACCCCTATGAGAGCCAGTGTGGTGTAGTGGTTAAGAGCGGTAGTCTCGTAATCTGGGGGACCGGGTTCAATTCCCCGCTCCTCCACATGCAGCTGCTGGGTGACCTTGGGCTAGTCACACTTCTTTGAAGTCTCTCAGCCCCACTCACCTCACAGAGTGTTTGTTGTGGGGGAGGAAGGGAAAGGAGAATGTTAGCGGCTTTGAGACTCCTTTGGGTAGTGATAAAACGGGATATCAAATCCAAACTCTTCTACTCTTCTTCTTCTTCCCTAGTCCATTGCTCAAAACACTTTCCTCCTTTTTGACTCTGGAAGTAAACTGAGACGACAGAATAGTGTTTGCTGTTCTCTAAGAGCAGAGGAGATATGTTTTGATTTAGTTTTGTTTCATTTGTATGCTGCTTTTCCACAGTGAGCCATGTCCAAAATAGTTTGCAAGAAACAGAATGCAGAACTTTTCAGTGTGTGCACGCTCAGTAGAGAAAAACCAGTTTGCAAAACATACCGATACATACATAGAGGACGAAACTATGGAACTCACTGCCACAGGAGGCAGTGATGACCACCAACTTGAATGGCTTTAAAAGAGGGTTGGGAAAATTCCTGGAGGGTAGGTATATCAGTGGCTACTAGTCATGGTGGTTATGCTCTGCCTCCACCTTGAGAGGCAGCAGTGCTTCTAAATACCAGTTGGTGGGAACCATAGGAAGGGAGAGCATTCTTGCACACGGTAACTGCTTGAGGGTTTCCATGGGCCTCTGGCTGGCCTCTTTGAGAAACAGGATGCTGGGCTGGCTAGACCATTGGTCTGATCCAGCGGGGCTCTTCTTATAGTCATAAAGATAAAGGGACCCCTGACCATTAGGTCCAGTCGTGACTGACTCTGGGGTTGTGGCGCTCATCTCGCTTTATTGGCCGAGAGAGAAATAAAAAGTAAAGGTAAAGGGACCCCTGACTATTAGGTCCAGTCATGGACGACTCTGGGGTTGCGGTGCTCATCTTGCTTTACTGGCCAAGGGAGCCGGCGTACAGCTTCCGGGTCATGTGGCCAGCATGACTAAGCTGCTTCTGGTGAACCAGAGAAGCGCACGGAAATGCCTTTTACCTTCCCGCTGGAGCGGTACCTATTTATCTACTTGCACTTTTATGTGCTTTCGAACTGCTAGGTTGGCAGGAGCAGGGACCGAGCAACGGGAGCTCACCCCGTCACGGGGATTCGAACCACCGACCTTCTGATCGGCAAGTCCTAGGCTCTGTGGTTTAACCCACAGCGCCACCTGCATCCCTTTCTTATACTCTTACAAATCAGCTATTTAGCAAACACAGAATAAATTCATTATTACGAAAAGCAAAATAATCTAGACACAAATATATAAGTGCAGAGCAAAGAGAAAGCTAATGTTCAGTAAACTTCCCGTTTGCTGAAAGAGCCTCGGCAGACTAGTTTAAATAGATTTCAGAAGGGAGGGGGTCTTCCTAACCAGGTTGGATGATTTAACAGCTGGCTCCAGAGGAGGCCGACAGCTGCAAAAGGGAAATGCTTGGTGGGGGTGGGGAGAGACTGATGGCAAGTCCTCTTCCTTGGCCTCCCAGAAGTTCCATTTGCTTGTGGCAGTCCACATTTCATTTACTGTTAAGCTACAATGCACATACCCCATTCTATATGTGCATGGCATGTGCATTTTATATATATCAGACATGTTCAACTGGTCGACCGCGATCAACAGGTAGATCGCCGAGGTCCTGCACGTCATTCGTGCGATTGAAGAAATTGATCGCCTGTGTGTTCCTGATCGGTAGTTCCGTGCCCCATGCCCTGCCCCTGGCTCTATGTCCCAGTTCTGCTTCCGCTGTGAAAGCTTGTATTCACTCCCTTAGTGTAGTATTATTGTAGAGTTTTTATGCATCCCCAGAAAAAAATAGCTCAACAACTCTTGGCAATGACAATGAGTAGATCACTGCCAGTTTTATTATACTGGGAGTACATCGCAGTCTCTAGAGAGTTGGACGTGCCTGATATATATGAATGAAAAGAGGCCACTTTTGTGTCTCTTTTGGCCCTATTGTAGGCTATTACCAGTACACAGAGGTCAAACCCTGAAAGCCAAGTGAGAATCTACTAAAGGGCATCTGGGCAGATGGCAGCTAAGCGATGGCACAGAAAGGTAATCTCTATGCCACTCCACGATACTACTCGCCGGCGATTGTTCCCAGCTTTGCCCTGAGAAAGTAGCTTTCTTTCTCTTTCACCAGAGATTATAAAAGGAATTGTGCAGCTGTACTTCTTAAAAAGACAGGGCGTTCTTTATTAGTTTGGCTACGCTGCTTTTATATCCTGGTATCTTCCGAATGACCTTCATCGGGTGATAGTAGAGAGGAGGAGACAGGGTAGACATTGCAGCGGCTTTGTATATATGGTGCCTGGGAAGAAGGGGAGGTCAGCTTTCGTGAGAAGATGCACTGTTAATCTGCTTCCAGTTAGTTAGAATGACCTCTCCTAAGGGAATAAGCTGTTGGCTGTTGAAACCGATAGGGCATTGGCGTGCAATGCAGGCGAAGGCAAGCTGAATGGATGGGACCTTACGGTGATTTGTCTTGGAAATTTCATTTGTTCTTTTCTTAAGAACTTTATGGCTTGCAGCCAGAAGGCCACCGTAATCTAAAAGCAAAATAAATTGAGCATCCATAAACATACAAACATAATAAAGTGAAAAGGTATATTATGATGATAACATCACAACCTCCCATTCAAGTTAAAAGCAAATACAATAAATCCTCTCTTTATCAGAGTCAACAATAAAATGTTTTAAACTCAAAAGTACCTCTGACATACTCAGTATCAAAAAAGATGATCAAGAACTTGGGGCACTCCATATGCTGGTCTTGAATTTTCTTTTCTTCTAACAATAGGCATTTCATAGTGTTGTAAAGTCATGGAGTACTCTGTTCTTGTTTACAATTTCCCTTTAAAGGAAGGGAGATTCTGGGTCTTTATGAGCAAAGTTTCTTCCTCTTCCCATTGAGTTTTTAAAACTGAAAGTGGGTTTGTTCCTGTTTCTGCATCTTGCAAGTCTTAGCAACTTATCCTTGTGAAAATAACACACACACACACCAAAGTATTTCTGAAGTTGGAAATGAAAACAAAGGGCTGGTGAGGGGAGCTGCCCAAAATAAACCTCTGTGTGGTTTACAAAGGTGCGAGTGATGGGCAGGCTTCTCTTTTGCACAAACTATTCTGGGTTCTGGATGGGCACCCCCTCCAAAGAATAGCTCCTGCTCTTCCTTTACCAAAGTGGAACCGTATGACTTTGATGGAAACTCTTGCGCATAGTGTGTCTCCTGGCAAAACGGCACTAGGGCTGCCAGAAACAATCCCATCCACCGATCCGCAGCCTTCTATTTTTCATCAGCGCAGGCTGCATTAAAACATGGCTGCTGTCTTGAGGGCTGCAGGAACTATGATTCCCTGGACTGCTGCCCCTGTAGGGCAAACTGCAGGCCAGGGCAAGTTTTTCTAGGACCCATAATTGCTCTCCCCTCCCAGGCCAACCCTTCCCACCCCCAGCCCCATGCTCAAAGGCTTTTGGTCAGACTAGAACTTTCCCCCATACAATTCTTGCCTAGAGCACTGGTCTTCAGGTCTTGTCCTGATCCAAGGTGGGTTGCAACAGGAGCACTCCCACAATGCAAATATATACAGTCATACCTCAGGTTAAAGTAGCTTCAGGTTGAGTGTTTTCAGCTTGCTTTCTGCGGTGACCCGGAAGTAACGGAATGGGTTACTTCTGGGTTTCGGCACATTCGCAGATGCTCAAAATGACGTGGGTTGCGTTCTGCTCAGGATGTGAACGGGGTTCCGGAACGGATCCTGTTTGCATCCAGAGATACCACTGTATTAAGAATGGGGGTCCTCAGATGCATGTCTGTGTCAAACGTGAGTCTTGAGTCTGAATAGATTGAAGATATGTGTTCTCACTCCAGAGCTTAGACCCAGCACTGATAAGTTGTTCTCTGTGTGCTCCAGGCAATGCACACAGCTGTGGTAAGGTCTGAGCTCAGTGGCAGAGCATCTGCATCGCATGCAGAAGATTTCAGGTTCCATCCCCAACATCTCCACATTGGAGTGGAAGAAATCCTGGCTGTGAACTGGAGAGCTTCTGTCAGTATTGTCTGTAGACAATGCTGAGGTCAATGGACCAATAGCCTGACCCAGGGACATAGGACACTTCTTTATACCGTACCCTATGTTTTCCCAATGCGGTTTAGAACGTAAGAAGAGTCCTGCTGGATTAGGCCAGTGACCCATCCAGTCCAGCATCCTGTTCTCGCAGTGGCCAACTAATGGGAAACACACAAGTAGGACCTGAATGCAGCAACGCTCTTCCCTCCAGCAGTTTCCAGCAGCTGCTATTCAGATGCATACCTCCTTGGACAGTAGAGGTAGACCGTAGCCATTGGGGTTTGTGGCACAATTCCTATGTGTCATTCCCTTATCCTTTGTTGCGTCTTTTCTTGCATTGCTACAGGTTTTTTTTTGCTCACAGTCATGTTCTTGATTGTTCCTGTTATGCAGTTGTGTGGAACCTTTTTTACCCAAAGGACTGGATCTGCCTGTGGGAAACTTCTCAAGGGCAACATGCCAGTGGCTAGCAGTTCCAGAGGCAAGAGAACATGGGGCAGATCAGTGGGTGTAGCTCTTACCTTTGTACTGTAGGCTATTTTTTTTTAAAAAAAGACTTTATTAAGTAATCAAAATATTTTACGACGAAGCAAAGTCTACATTCGTTTTTAATTAACACACACTACGTACATACAGGGATGCGGGTGGCGCTGTGGGTTAAACCACAGAGCCTAGGACTTGCTGATCAGAAGGTCGGCAGTTCGAATCCCCGGGACGGGATGAGCTCCCGTTGCTCAGTCCCTTCTCCTGCCAACCTAGCCGTTAGAAAGCACGTAAAAGTGCAAGTAGATAAATAGGTACCGCTCCAGTGGGAAGGTAAACGGCGTTTCCTTGCGCTGCTCTGGTTCGCCAGAAGCGGCTTAGTTATGTACACCGGCTCCCTTGGCCAATAAAGTGAGATGAGCACTGCAACCCCAGAGTCGGCCACGACTGGACCTGATGGTCAGGCGTCCCTTTACCTTTTCCTTTATGTACATACAGATAATATATTATACACACAAAACCCACCAGTGGTGGAAATCATTGCTCAGAGGCTTACACAATCATGCCTAGCAATAGCAGTAAGTTCTGTTTTGATATTTGCTTTCCTTCCCCATCCCTAGGTTTGACTGCACAGATGGGCAATTGCTTTTCAAGACCAACGACCAAGACTATCCGTAATTCAGGTTTTCTTCCACAGTGGAAGAAAGGGGGTGGAAAGGAGTTGATAGGCCTCTTTCATTTGTGTAGGTTATGAAGTCATACAATAAAAGTGTACAAAACAGAAGAAAAAGTTCCACTCCCTTTAACAGAATACCGCTTTAAAAAAAAGAAAGAAAGTTAAGGCAAAATAAGGTTTTTTGCAAACATGAAAATATTATTTTTTATTCCATAAGATAAAATGCACACTACAGACAAATGCACTCTTGTGTTTGCTTATAGGCCAAATGCCAACTAAAAGTGAGTGCTCCTCAGATTTCCCAGACTAGTTTAACAGTCAGTCCCTCTTCCCAGGGAACTCTGGAAATTGAAGCTCTGTGAAGGAGAATACAGGATCTCCTAACACCTCTTGGCAGCCTTATCGTATTACAGTCCACAGGATTGATACCGCTTCATATGTGTGGTGCAGAGGGGACTTCTGAAAGTGGTGCAGGTTGTGGGAAGCATAGCTGTGAGACAGGGTCCTTCCTCTTACTGTTGTGATAAGACTATCAGTGGCAGCAGAGCTGCTGCAATAGAGGGTAAGAAAGGAATAAGGAGTGTCTGGCACACCTGCCAGACATGGTGGTGCTTTAGACTAGCAAGCAATGCAAGATGGGGTTCCTTGTTTGACTGACTTTTTGCAAACAAATCTCCGGAGCTCTGCGGCTTCTCAGTTGCCATGCTTAGCCTTAATTGAGCCTTAAAGCAGTCTCCAGCATTTTTAGCAGTAAAAGCTTTTCCGAACCCCCTGATGGTGTGAACTTTCTTGGCAGCCAGCTGGAGCCTCTCAAAATCTTGCCAGGAATCCTGATTGTCTAAAAGGGTAGGGATTATCTCCTTGCCCTGGCTGGGACAAAGTGACCTTTAAAGTTTTTGCTTCCCAAGCCCAGGGATGTGGCACAGAATACCAGTGTGCCGTACTGCTAATATGGTTTGAGCTTTTGAGGAAGTTTAAATGGCTCATTGGTTTTGTTTGGAGTGAAACAATGAATTTCTGCTACAGGTTTTTTTTTTTTAAAAAAATTTTCTGTGGCTATTGCCACTTTAAATCATCTTTATTGTCAAGGATTTGCTGTTTGGTTTTAGCAACAATAAAAAGAGAGAGTTTTCTATTGTCCTTAGTGTTGGAGGACTGGATAGCTCTGGCTCTGACAATCTCATCACAGCTCAATCTTTTCTCATTGAGCAGTGAAGAGTCTTGGAAAAAACTGCCTTTCCCCCCTACGTCCTTGGCAGTAGCTATTTTAAAACTTTTTAAATATTTTAGTAGGCCAGGATATATTGTCTTAAATTGCTTTCAAAATAACTAGGTGCTGCCCTAGGTAGAGTTGAGGGCCTGTTTAAGTGCTTAGCAGAATCAAGTGATGGGAGAGAGAGAAAAACTCCCCTCCCTGGCTTATATCACTCTGGGGTGCAAGAGGGAAGGAAGAATCTTTAAATAGTCATCTATCTATCTTTTGCACATTCAAGACTAGCCTAAAAGGGAGTACAATTCCCTTTCAATCAAGCTACACTCACCCTGAATGGGAAAATCTGTGGACCTTCTTATGTGTGTTTTCTTGCATATCAGGGGTGAGGAAACTGTGGCTCTACAGATGATGTTGATGGACTCCAGCTCCCTTCAGGCCCAGGCAGCAAGGCTAATAGTCAGGGGTGATGAGATTTGTAATCCAGCAGGCAACTGGTTCCCCATGCCTATTGTAAATAAATGCTCCTCTTTTTCCTGTTTTCTTCTGTCTATCAGTGGCCTCTCCTTTGCCCATCCTGTTTGGGGCCATTTTGCAAATTGTGGACTAGGGATGAGCATGTGAGGTTGCCTTATGCTGTGCCCAGATCATTGGTTCCATCTGGCCCTATGATGCCTGCTCAGACTGGAAGCTGAATTCAAAGCTGAGGTCGTTCCCAACCCTCCTCATCCTGAAATGCCAGTGTTTTGCATGCAAAGCATAACTCACTGTGTTACAGCACCTTTCCAAATGACGCAGAGCAGGTGCTATGGGGGGCCTTTGGCTCTCCAGGTGTTGCTGGACTACAACTCCCATCATCCCTGACCATTGGCCATTCAAGTTGGGGCTGATGGGAGCTGTAGTTCAGCAACGTCAGGAGAGTCAGTGGTTTTTCATACCTGGCCTAGAGATCATGCCCTCCCAGTGTTAAGGCTGCTTCCGAAGTCATTTGGTTTCTTGGAAAGATTCCTGCACTAATCTGGTGTGTGTGTGTGTATGCGCTGCCTGGCTTGGTTGTACAAATGCTCCAACATTGATTCTGGCCCTAGCCATGCATTCAGGGTGAATGCATGTAGATTCAAAGTGGGACAAGGATTCCTTCCAATCCCACCCCCCTCCAAGAACCTTATGCACGCCAACTTTCTGTCCCACTTTGACTTGTTGAGTGTGAATTTCTGAAAGGGCATTTGAAGTGTGTTCGGGTGAGTGTGCTTAGAAGTCTCCCTCCAAGAATCCTGATTATCCAGAGCTTCTGGATGCAGGGAAGTTTCTAAGAGAGATCAGCTGAAGGCTGATCCCTTTGGACCTTTGCACTCTGTGCAAAGGTTAGAGAGGTGGAATGCACTTGGGAGGTGGGACTTGCACACCCACCCCCTCCCCTCTTAAAGCCCATGCATGTTTGCTCCAAACACATGAACAGGGCTTCTGTTAATTAGGCTAGCCTTGTTCCAACCCATGCCAAAGTCCTCTTATCTTTGGAAAATGTTGAAGGAGGGGCACAGTGGCTCTGGGACAACTGGGGAAAGTCTCACTGGTGCTTAACAACAAATTAGCAGCTCTTAAATAACAGCTTACGCTTGGACAAGAAACTGGGCCTATAACCTAATAGGGTCGTAATGTTATTTAGATAAGGCCAACTCTGTTGGCAGTAGTCATATTTATTTATTTTTATTCTTAAATAACGTTATTCTGCCAAGCCAGCCAACTCTAATAGTTTTCATGTGGGCTTCTGTTATTAGCCCCACTGTAGCGGTTTGTGATTGTAGTTGGCAAGTAAGTCAATCCTACAGAGAAAATGGGCTGCAAGTAAAGTCTTGAAGGCTTTTTCTTCTTTTCATATCGATTGCAATATAATTCCAGAAAATCAGCCCCTGCTTTATTAGCTTTTAACAGGTGCACAGCTCTGAATGTGAATGCAGGAAGTGCCTTTTGGTTTTTATGTGTGTTTTAAAAGATTGCTTCTAATAATAATCTTTGTTCATCCAAGCCCTTCTGTCACAGCGCCTTCCTGAAAGGAACAAGTTTTCTTTGTTGAATAACAGTGAAAGTTTTCCAGAGAGAAAGTGTGTGAGTAACTTCGTATGGGCATGACCGGCAGGGATATTGCTGTTCTCTGAATAGCACTTCCACACTAATGAAGCATTGCAGCGTTGGGCCGTGATTAATTACTTGGCAACAAGCCCTTGCAAACAAAAAAACAAAAAACAACCTTGAAGCAGACCAAAATGCTTTGGCTGTGTGTATCGCCCTATCAAGTTGGTGTGGAATGTTAATGGGAAGGCATTGCATGAAGCTGTGACTGTTATGTTGACTTCTTGAGAGCATAGTGGTATGAAAGCACATCAGAGTGCAAGTAGATGAATATGGCGGGAAGGTAAACGGCATTTCTGTGCGCTGCTCTGGTTCGCCAGAAGCGGCTTAGTCATGCTGCCCACATGACCTGGAAGCTGTCTGCGGACAAACGCTGGCTCCCTCGGCCTATAGAGCGAGATAAGCGCCGCAACCCCAGAGTCGTCCGCGACTGGACTTAACAGCCAGGGGTACCTTTACCTTTACCTTTACTTTATTGCCCTGTCAAGTTGGTGTCAAGGAAGGCATTGCATGAAGCTGTGACTGTTATGCTGACTTCTTGAGAGCATAGTGCTATGCATTTAAATGGCGGCTCCTGTGTGATATTATCAATAATAATAATAATAATAATAATAATAATAATAATAAATTTGTATACCACTCTATACCCCTAGATCTCAGGGCAGTTCACAACATAAAATCACAATATGCATATTAAAAAGAAATACAAAGACAATCCAATAATCTCCCCTTCCACAACACATTTTAAAAAGGCACCAGATGTCAATCAGGTAAAAGCCTGGTTAAAGGGGAACGTTTTCTCCTAGCACCTAAAAATGTGTAATGAAGTCAGCAGTCGAACCTCCCTGAGAGCCAGTGTGGTGTAGTGGTTAAGAGCGATAGACTCGTAATCTGGTGAACCGGGTTCGCGTCTCCGCTCCCCCACATGCAGCTGCTGGGTGACCTTGGGCTAGTCACACTTCTTTGAAGTCTCTCAGCCTCTCTCACCTCACAGAGTGTTTGTTGTGGGGGAGGAAGGGAAAGGAGAATGTTAGCCGCTTTGAGACTCCTGAAGGGGAGTGAAAGGCGGGATATCAAATCCAAACTCTTCTTCTTCTGAGGAGGAGGAGCGCATTCCACAAATGGGGAGCCACTGCAGAAAAGGCCCGTTCACATGTTGCCACCCTCTGAATCTCTTGCGGAGGAGGCACACAAAGAAGGGCCTCAGAAGATGATCTCAGGGTCTGGGAGGGTTCATATGGCGAGAGGCGGTCCTTGAGGTATTGCGGCCCAGGTTTTAAACTAGGGAGCGGGCAACCTCAAGGGCCAAGTGCGGCCCTCCAAGCCTCTCTTGTCTGGTCAGCAGAATTCTCCCCATGCCACACACCTTAGCCTAGGCCTCTCTTCACACCATTTTTAGTGTCTTTGCCTGGCTGGAGAGCATCTTTGACTTCCGATATTGCTTCTTTCTTGCCTGGATGGAGGATTAAAGAAGGTTGTGTAGAAACTAACCCACTGTATAACAAGTAAAAACCTGGATTCATTGTGTAGGTTTTCCCCCCGGGGGGTATGATTCTGAACGTTCTTTTGTATGTCAAAGGTCTATATTATTATAGCCTCTGAAGGGACTTGCGGGAATGGCACATAACATAAAGCTCTCCGACATCGAACAGGAGTACTCAGTTAAGGATTTTGCATAAATGATATAATTTATGTAAGTGTCACAACATTAATAAAACCAAGCGCTGTCCTTCTGAAGTTCTGTGCCACCACAAAACCTCTCCCTGAAGCTTGGTCTTTCTTCTGGCTGGAGAGGAAATTGCCTCATCTCATTCACCTCAGCTCCACAGCAGTCTCAAAAGGGTTGGCGTTCAGGAAACTGAAACCTGCAGCCCTTCATAACGCAAAGGATATCCACAGGCAATGTGGAACTGGGGGAAATTTCACCACTCATTTTAAAACTTTAAGGGGAAACCTCAGTACTAACTTGCTCTTATGGAAAGGAGACCACAGACACAACCCCAACTCTTCTGAGGTAAAAAAAAGAGCCCATAATGGTGGCCACTCTCTGCCTCAACTCTTCCCCCTGCACAGGAGCACTTTTCGCTCTGGGTCTGCCCACTATTGGCATGTGGCCCTCAGAAGATTGCCTGGAAGAGAATGTGGCCCCTGTTTCAAACCACAGACTTAGGTTGCTGGGTCCAGCAGGGTGTGTTGTCAGCTTAATAGTAACATAGGAATCTGCTCAGGTTATTTGGTTGCTGCAGTACTGGCTTCTTTAACTGCCTCTCTAGGGTCTTGGGCAGAGGTCTTCTGCTGGAGCCTTTAGTGGAGTTATTTATTTATTTAAAGTATTTATTTATTTTTACCTTGCTTTTGTTCAGTGCTTTGCGTCTGTAGAGGAGGTGGGTGGAAATTACAGTGGTACCTTGGGTTACTGTAAATGGACTTGCTTGCTTCTTTCCTCCCACCATTCCCTCTCTTAAGAGACTCAAAATGATGCCACTAAACTAGTCTTTCAGTGTTACTCCTTTCTGTAAGTCTCCATAATGGTTTCCAGTCACTTTCTGTGTTAAAGCTCCGGGTCCCCCGTGTTCCCCTTGTCACCCCAGATTCATCGTGTTGCCCCTCGCTTCTTTCTTTAGATATGCTTCAGATGTTAACATCGGCATCAAAAGTACAGGAAACGCAGCCACCTTATTTTTAAATGTTTCTCTGCATGTCTGTCTTATATGAAATGGATCTTTTGCATCTCTCTGTCAGTGAGGAGGTGTGTCACGCACTCGGTTTGCAATTTGGAGCTGTGTCACGAGACTGGAAGCATGAGCCAGCTGCACTTCCTGTTTGCACCATAGCCGCATCTAAAAGCATGCTTATCACACAGTGTGGCTGGAGATAAAATGTGCCTTGGAGCACCGTCTCTTTCTATTCACATCCAATCCTCCCAACCTTGATGCATCTTATATGTGTTCTGAAAAAGGAGAAGTGGTAGATAGGTTGCTTGGCTCAGTGAGCAAATGTTTGTAAGTGAGCTTCATTTTCTTTCCAATAGTTCTCTGCTGCAAATGTATTTTTAAATCCAAAACCCAAGAAAATGGACCCTGCTCAGAAAAAAATAAATCATTTTTTTTATATAAAATAAATTAAGCCTTGCTCAGTGACCTTCTTATGGCTTATGTAGGCTCAAAGAGAGCTGAGAGAGGGGGGAGGAATTCTAGCTTGTGCTGGAACAGTCTGTGAAGCCTGATGCTAAGATGAGCCTGATAGTATCTCCAAACCTCATCCTCTCACATCTGCCCTCTAAGCGTTGATGAGAAGAGGTAGCCTGAGATCGTATCTCCCCTGGCCAAAAATAACTCTGTAGCATCCCTTGGCTGTATATGCTCAGTTTTTTTCAGCTTGAACATCTGTTGAGCGAGAAGAGAAGATGTTCTCCCTACCGCAAAAGAAACAAGTTTTTCTTTTTGGTGTCTGAGACCATAATCCTTTGCTTTGCCACGCAATGGCAGCACAGCAAAGCCTCACCCACACCATAAATTTAAAACACATTTATACCACATTAACAGTCATGGGGAATCCTAGAAACAGTTGTTTGTTAGAGATGCTGGGAACAGTAGTTCTGTGAGTTTTACCACCTTCAGTTTCACTTCCCAGGATTCTGTGTGGGGAGCCACGACTGTTAAAGCGGTGTAAATGTCTGGGGTGCATGTGACACAAATGTGGCTTTCCTTTCTTCCCCCCCAGTGCAAAGAAAGATCCAATCCTCCATCTGTATTTGATGTAGTCTTGCGCAAGAGACATTTTATGGGGTTGGGAAGAGAAGAAGCGCATGGCCAGCCAATGATCCTAAGGTCATAGGAGTATTGGTGGCCCTGTTGGTATTTAAATTCGGTTGCTACTGTAATTGCTGGTGGATTTTGAAACCATCTCAGGAGCAGTTCAGCCTTTTGAAGCAGGCTGAGCTATGGCGCCCAGTCCCATGGAAGGCAGTGATGGACACCAGGCTGGATGGCTTTAAAAGAGGATTAGACAAATTCATGGAGGATAAAGCTATCTTTTTTCTTTTTTTAATTTTTATTGATTTTAACATATAAATTATAAAATGTACCACAAAACTTATCACTTATACAATCTTTTTAGACTTCCATCAGCACCTCTGATGATCCACCGTTTTAATCACTTCTTATGCATTTCTTAACTTTATATTGCCTTTACATCTCTTAACAAATCATCCTTCCCCTTCTCCATTTTTGCAATACTTCCAATAATACTCCTCACAAAACTTCTTGCAAACCTACAAACGTCGTCTGATCTTCACAAATACTTTTCAGATAGTTCGTAAATTTACTCCAGTCTTCCGTGAATTTCTGGTCCCGCCGGTTTCGAATCCTTCCTGTTAGTTTATCTAGTTCCATGGAGGATAAAGCTATCAATGGCTACTAGCTCTGATGGCAATGCTCTACCTCCATAGATGATACATTAGATGGGCCATTGGGTTGATTCCAGCAAGGTCTTCTTATGTTCTTATGAACATGGTGGTTAATAATGGTACCTGCGACAGTGATGGGTGGGGTTGAGTGCCCTCAACTGCACCAGTTTAACTGCACCTCCCAAGCATGAATTGCAGGATTTACTCCCATATGGTAGAAAAGAAAGGGATGTGTACCCAAAAGAAGCACAACTGGATTGGTGGTTTAGTTTGCTCTGTGCTCCCAAGGGTGACTCAGCTATTTGCCCTCTCATCTGCATCACCCCAAGTTCTGTTCTGCTTTCTTGGGCGTGCAAAGTGTGATGGAAATAAAATAGTTCCCTAGGAGCCAACCTTCACATAGATAGTTACAGCTGTCTATGTTTGCATTTATTTCTGTGGTTTTCAAAGAATCTAGTTTCTACCATGGGGTAGTTCAGTCGGTAGAGCATGAGACCCTGAATCTCAGGGACATGGGTTTGAGCCCCATGTTGGGCCAAAGATTCCTGCATTGCCAGGGGTTGGACTAGTACAGAACAACAAACCCCTGTGTTGCAAACTTAACACAACAAACAACACAAGCAACACGAAGACCAGTATACTAGATAGCACTGCAATTCTTATTGCATAATATACATAATTTAGTACAACAAAAACAAAATGTGTACACTTGTAAATTCTCTAATATATTTGAAATCAAATGAACACACGTCTGTCAATCTTTGAAAATCCGTAGAAGTATAATAAGTCTATAGTTGAAACAAAGTAATAGATGCTATCCTGTGGGCTAAGCGGTAAAACTTTTTAGGCGTTTATGGTGCCGAAGTAGTAAGTGAATAACAACGTAGGACAGTGATCCCAGATAATCTGACTGTTTCTCTGGAATCTTCTTCAGCACAACCCATAGATTAGAAAAATGCACAAGGAGCAGTGGTATGTATATTATGCAATAAGAATTGCAGTGCTATCTAGTATACTGGTCTTCGTGTCGCTTGTGTTGTTTGTTGTGTTAAGTTTGCAAAACAGGGGTTGGACTAGAGCAGGCATAGGCAAACTCGGCCCTCCAGATGTTTTGGGACTACAATTCCCATCATCCCTGACCACTGGTCCCATTAGCTAGGGATCATGGGAGTTGTAGTCCCAAAAAGCATCTGGAGGGCCGAGTTTGCCTATGCCTGGACTAGATCACGCTTGGGTCCCCTTCCAGCTCTTTGATTCTGTGATACACAGACACACCTCTTTCTCTGTTCTCCGTGCAGATTTGTAAGAGGTATTATCAGCTTTCAAGGACACGTTCCAGTCAGCAGATCTAGTAAGAGAAGTGGCCTGCGGAGAGGGAATGTGGCTTGGCAAAAGCTCCAAGAGCCACATAGAAAGACTTGGAGGGCCACATTTTGTCCACGGGGCCTGATGCTCCCCACTCCTTGCCTATAGCAAGGGGTGCCCCAGATAATTTCATTGATATACTAGCTTTGTATAGGAGCAGACGGTCTTTCAGGTACCTCCACCAGCTTTGCCCCAAGGTGGTGGTTACCTTCCACCAAGCAGTTCTTGTCCCACGCCTCGCTGTCACGTCCAAACAATGCCCAGAAGACGAAGAGCTAGGTGTTCAATATAGAGCCAAGCAAAGTTGAAGCCAGTGAGCAGAGGAAAAGGAGGAATTCTAGAGGTAGTGTTAAAAATAAATAAGACAGTTCCCTGATCAACTCTCTGTTTGGGCTATCGAGAGGCACATTTCTCCTGCAGAAATAGCCATGTTCCTCTGGGACTGACACAAAGACTCTTTTGTAGCTGCTCTGCCGCACATCTGTTTTGGCTTCGAACCATTAAAGCACTGCATCCCCCCCCCCCCGAGAATGATTCCGCAACCCCAAGCAGATTATTTTGTAACTTTGTCTTGCTGGGTGTATGTGTATCATATTTCCTACCACCCCCCACTAAACATACACACCTGACAATAAACCCCAGGCCATAATTCAGTTCCCACACTACAGTTTGCAAATAGTTACACAGTGGTCTCGCCATGGGTCCCTCCCCACCTGTGTGCTATGTCACAGGACTGATGTGTACACTGTTTGGCACTGTATTCGCTAGACTGGTTTAAAATGGCTCCCCTGGGCTTCCTGGTCTGTGCCTAATAACATTTACACATTTTTACGAAGAAGTGCCAGAAAAGTCCAGCGGTGCTTTGTGGTGTCACTTCTGAAAATGGCCTCAGAAAGTTTGAGGGTTTCTAGGTGAGAGCGCCAGAAAGTTCAGGCATTAGTTTATTTTCAGCGATTTCTTTGCGTTAGGCCTCAAGCCTACCGCAGTGGGACTAGAACCTGAAATAATTGTTGTTGTTATTATTACATATATTTCCCAACTCTCCTCCTAGGAGTTCAAGATGTTATGGGCATTCCCCCCTCCACATTCTATTCGTATAACAACCCTGTGAGGTAGGCTAGGCTGACTGGCCCAAGGTTGAAGGTGTGTCAGGTGTGGGATCATTCTCTGTACTGTCACCAAGTTGGCCCCCCCCCTCCAAAAGTGTCAGAGATGCTAATGAAACTCATCAAGGCATCCTCTTTTAAGATCAGTAGGCCAGAGAATGGTTTTTGTCTTAGGAAGATGCATTTGAGCAGGGGTCAGCAACCTTTTTCAGCAGGGGGCCGGTCCACTGTCCCTCAGACCTTGTGGGGGGCCAGACTATATTTTGAAGGGGAAAAAAAGGAGAATGAATTCCTATGCCCCACAAATAACCCAGAGATGCATTTTAAATAAACACACACATTCTACTCATGTAAAAACACCAGGCAGGCCCCACAAATAACCCAGAGATGCATTTTAAATAAAAGCACACATTTTACTCATGCAAAAACACACTGCTTCCCAGACCGTCCGCAGGCCGGATTTAGAAGGCAATTGGGCCTTAGTTTGCCTACCCATGTATTTGAATGTTGGGGCAGGGCCTCAGAGAACATGCTTCAAATCCCCACCCAGCCACAAAGCACATTGGGTTACCATGGGCTGGTCATTGTCTCTCAGTTTAGCCTACCTCACAGGGTTGTTGTGAGGAAAGAAAAATGGCAGGGCAGAGACTTTGCTCATTTATCCCAGCATTGTCTAAATCAGATGTGGGCAGTCTATAGCCCTCTGGATATTGTTGAGTTAAAGCTCCCTTTATCCCTCCCCCAACTTCTTGATCTGTTATGTTCTGAGAAACTGAATTCAACCTTTATGGTTCACACACAAAAATGTTAAATGGCTGAGGTAAAGAAGAATCCGAATTCTGTACATGTTGAGGCAAAGGGTGGGCGATAATATGTCCTGTAAAATACAAAGCAAGGCATCCCAGGTCAGTGAGTTTTGTTGTTTAGTTTTCTTCCTGCATTTAGTGTCTAGACTTCATGAGTAGGAGGTTTTTGAAGCTTCAGGATACTGTACAGAGTGACCTTACTTAGAGTGTGGGTGTTGAACCAGAAGGTTTTAAGGAAAGCAAACTTTGATAGTGATTTGGCAGTTGGCAGTTCACACAACCATTCATGCATGAGGGAAGCAGGAGGGAAGTGGAAGGCATCTGCTCTGAAGTTTTAAGTTTAGAGCCTTCCCCAACCTGCTGCCCTCCAGATTCTTTGGACTATAACTCAGCTAGCTGGGAGGATATGGGAGTTGTAGTCCCAAACATCTGGAGGGCATCAGACTGGGGAAGGCTGAGTTAGAACATCAGCCAAACAGAAGGCCTAACTAAAGTCTCATCCGGGGTTCAAACCCCAACCCTTTTAAATTAATTAAAAATGCTGTTTTTAAAAATAGAATTCATATCCCATTCTTCCTTTCCAGGAAGCCTAGGGAGGGAAACAGATACGCTGTGCAGAAACAAAAGCAAAGTAAACACTTTCTAATCAGATTAAAACCTTCTAAAACCAATGACAATTAAAAACTGCTAAAAGCAGTTACAGTTAAAAACTTTCCGAAAGCCATTACAGGCACCCCACATCCCACTTGCGTGCAACCGTGTTTACGTGGGTCATCGTGAAATAAATAGATTGGCCTTAATAAGTGCATAAGATAGTTATCCACGATCTATTTTCATATCCCTTTATCTTCCTGTTTGATTGCAAGGCAGTGTGATCCACATGAGAGATAGATCTGGACTCCAATCTCCTATTTGAGCTCTCAGCTGACTGGAAACCTTTGGGGCTGAATTAATTTCTAACTTCAGTTTCCCATCTGTACTGTTGGATGACTGATTAAGACTGTAAACCTCTGAAAAGGTTTCATTTTTTGTCTTTTGCACAGGGCATAGTTCATGCTAGGCATGCGATATTTTTATTACTACCATTTACTTCACACAATACTGTTGATGTATGCCCCAATATTCACCACATTTAAAACACACTGAAACCAGTGTGTAAAAACAGCTTTAAACCCTGGTGTTAAATTTTGGTCAGGCAGAAGCCCCAGATAGCTGTAATTTTGTTAAATGCCAATTTAGTGCTTAACTGTGGTTGAAGCATGAGTGAGGAATGCATCTGTATTTATTTGTTTCTTGCAAGGTTTATATTCTGCTTTTCTCCTCCAGCTAGAGATGTCCAGTTTGGCTACTCTCAACTAAATGAAAAAGGCCGAATAAACAATAGAAGCCTGGCAATTCTATTAAAAGTGACAAAACCTGAGCAGCAGGGAAAACAGCGAGGCTGAATTATTTTCCAAAGGGGTAGCAACATTAGTTTGTAACAGAGTCTTGTGGCACTTAAAGATGAACACATTTATTATGGCAGGCAGGGGAGCTTTTGGCCTTCCAGATGTTGCTGAACTTCAACTCCCATCATCCCTGGCCATTGGCTATGCTTGCTGGCACTGGAGGGAGTTGTAGTTGAGCAATGGTGGGCCAGCGGTTCCCCACTTCTGATTATGAAATAAAGTTTTGTGGACTACAGTCCAGTTCATCAGATGCATAAACTGTTAATCTGAGTTACGTGTGTGCATGCGCATATGTGAATACACATGTACACACATGATTGGGATGGGGATAATTGTAAGCAGTAAGGGCAGAAGAAAAGGAATGCAGAAAAATATAGATGGCGATAGGTAAAGGTAAAGGGACCCCTGACCATTAGGTCCTGTCACGGACGACTCTGGGGTTGCAGCGCTCATCTCGCTTTATTGGCCGAGGGAGCCGGTGTACAGCTTCTGGGTCATGTAGCCAGAATGACTAAGCTGCTTCTGGAGAACTAGAGCAGCACACGGAAACACTGTTTACCTTCCCGCTGGAACGGTACCTATTTATCTACTTGCACTTTGACGTGCTTTCGAACTGCTAGGTTGGCAGGAGTGGGGACCGAGCAACGGAAGCTCACCCCGTCGTGGGGATTCGAACCACCGACCTTCTGATCGGCAAGCCCAAGAGGCTCAGTGGTTTAGACCACAGCGCCACCTGGATCCCTTATAGATGGCGATACTTATTCTATTAACAGTGGCCATTCACAAAAAGAAAACCCTGCTATTGATAGACATCCTAGCACATGCCAATGAGTGCATGTAGCATTATAACAAATATTTTATCCAAGTTCAATTAAAATATGAAATATGAATCCAAAAGAAATTTAAGAAAAATGAAAAGCTTTCTGGGTCAGTAGAGTTTTCTGGCAGGGATAGGTCACTATGCAATCTTGTCTGAGCTGTTAATTGTTGTTCTCAGAGTATGTCTGCAGTGGCCCTTATGAGGTGATTGGAAAATGGCATTATTTATTATTATTATTTTTATTAACAACAACAACAACAACAACAACAACAACCCACCCTTCACCTGAAGGTCCCGGGGCAGGTGACATCAATTAAAAACACAATTAAAAACAGTTTAAAACAACTTCACTGTCACACCCAAAAATACATCTCATGTATCAAAGGCCAGGATGTAGACGATTGCCTTCAGAATTTGCTGAAAGCTGTATAAAGATGATGCCAGGCACACTTTTGTGGGGAAGGAGTTCCACAACTTAGGGGCTGCCACAGAGAGTGCCTTTTCCTGGCTGCTCTCCACCCCCTTGAGTTTCTGAGGGTAGTACCCCTGCCAGTCTTAACACCTGAGGTGGTCTGTAAGGAAGGAGGTGGTCTTTCAGATATTTGGGGCCTGATTTGTTCAGGGCTTTAAGCACTGGTGTGGCCATATTCACTAAATGAATAAGCAAAGCAACAAAAAGCCGAACTGAAATGGTGAATGAAGGAAGTGTGGGTCTCAGCGGAGGGAGAGGAGGCCTGTCATTGATCCCCTGCAGAAAACTTGAGCCCCAGAGCTGCAAGCGGATACAGCTTGCGATGCGATTTCTAGCTAACTGATTTCTAGGAAACAGGACACAAAGAAGCCTTTGTCTGTGACGACTGCAAAGTCCTCTCTCAATGCGCAGTCATGCCAGCCAGTCGCGACGACCCGGGTGATGTGTAAGAGTAACAGATCCGTTACTGTGCAGAACTCCCCGCCGTTTCCCCCTCGAGCTGGAGCAAGCTCTCCACTGAATTCTGAATGAATTATAGCTCTACTGACAACCAGCCCTCCTTTATAGGGAGAACATGTGACTGGGTTTTGGGGGGTGGGGGTCCTGCTCTTTATATTGGCTCTTCTCTCTCTCCCATGTTCTGGCTGAATATTTAGTTGACTGCTGTAAGGTTTCAATACAATGTGATTGATTTCTTTAAAAAATGAAATGTAAATATTGTCTCATCTTGCAATTAAAATAATGGGCTTTTGAAAAGCTTTTGCAAAATATAAGAAGTAAAGTAGCACCATTTGTGTACACACACACACACACACACACACACACACACAGCTCCTCTAGCCTCTGAGGAGAAGTATTCTGGTGAATTCATCTCAAGGGTTGGAAAAAAATAAGTATTATTTCCTTAGCAGAATTAAATTACCAGGGTGGGAAAATTTAATTAGCAGATCAGTACATTAAAACTATAGTTAGTTAATTGATGAAGCTGATAATTAAGGCCAAAAAAGTGATTGTTTTTCACATCTATTTAGGGAATGAAAAAAGCTGTTTAGCATTTATGAAGTGTCAGCTTTTGTTTACCAAAACCTTCATGTACAAAGACAATATATCTGAATACCTGATGGTGGGAACACATGACTGCAGAAGTCCTTTGACAAGTGAAGATGACAAACTTCCTACTTGCAAACACTGTCTGTTGCTGAAAAGCAGAATTTGGGGAACTTCGACCTCACCCAGAAATGTAGTGGTTATGTATGATAAATTGCTGATTGCCTCACCCTTCCTTGTAGGGAGGGACTGTGGCTCAGTGGATGAGCACTTGCATAGCAGACAGATGCTCCCAAGTCTCATCCTCCACTTTTCCAGCTAAAAGAATCAGGTAGAAAGTGATGGGAAAGACTGCAGAAAGCCAGTGTAATACTGGTCTAGATGGACAAATAGCCTGACCAGATATAAGGTAGGTAAAGGTAAAGGGACCCCTGACCGTTAGGTCCAGTCGTGGACGACTCTGGGGTTGCGGCGCACATCTCGCTTTACTGGCCAAGGGAGCCAGTGTACAGCTTCCGGGTCATGTGGCCAGCATGACCAAGCCGCTTCTGGCGAACCAGAGCAGCACACGGAAACGCCGTTTACCTTCCCGCCAGAGCGGTACCTATTTATCTACTTGTGCTTTCACATGCATTTGAACTGCTAGGTTGGCAGGAGCTGGGACCAAGCAATGGGAGCTCACCCCATCACAGGGATTTGAACCGCTGACCTTCTGATTGGCAAGCCCTAGGCTCTGTGGTTTAACCCATAGCACCACCCGCGTCCCTTAGATATAAGGTAGTTTTCTCAAAAAGACAAGCCCTGGTGGGTCTGGCCAATGGTTCATCTAGTCTAGCATCCTGTTCTCACAGTGACCAGCCAGGTGCTTACAGAAAGCCTACAAGCAGGACCTGAGCACAACAGCACCCTTTCCAACTTGCAGTTTGTAGCAACTGGTATTCAGAGGCAATCCTGAGCTGGGTGAGCCAGTGGTCTGACTTAGCATAAGGCAGTTTCTCGTGTCCTAATTCAGCTTTCACCATGGAAGTTGTTGTTGTCCACAAGGACATATAGATGAGGCCTGCCAGATCAGACCAATGGCCCATCTAGTCTGGCGTCCTGCTTTCACAACCAGGTTCTTCAAGGAGAAGATGAGCAATTGCAGGTGACTTTGCCCACCACTGCTCATCTTTCCCCACAGGACACACATGGAGAGGAAGCTTGGGTGTGTTTTTAAGGGGGCTGCCTCAGGTGATTATGAGGGCCAGCAGTGTCCCCCCTGCAAGTCAGGGATGGGGAACCCTTTTTCAGACAGAGGGCCACACATTCAAAGGGGCACACATCAGTGGTGAGTGGGGCCAGAGCCAGAAGTGGATGCAGCAATCAATGTATTTTTTTTTACATTGTACAGAAGGCTAGTTTCTAGACCTACACCTCCCTCTATGTCTTCAGTCCAGGCAAGTGAGAAGCATTATTGGCCTGGAGAGAGAAGGTGTAGCTGAGGAGGAGGTGTAGCCCAAGGAGGGGCAGACTGAGATGCCTAGAGTTCTACATTTGGCCCCCGGGTCTGATATTCCTCACTTCTTGCCCTAGAATGTATCCCAAGCAATCTTGGGAATGCTCAGTTGACAAATCAATGTGGACTGTGTTCCCTGTAGGTAGAAACGATTGGTTTACATAGCCAAGTGACTTCAATTAAGAAATGAAGTGTAATTTTTTAATTTGAGCATTCCCCTTGAAGGTACATTTCAGTTTAACAGTTCTCTTTCCCTGTGTTCTGAGTTGTTCTGAGTGATACTTTGTAGTACACTGGTACCTCGGGTTAAGAACTTAGTTCGTTCTGGAGGTCCATTCTTAACCTGAAACTGTTCTTAACCTGAAGCACCACTTTAGCTAATGGGGCCTCCCACTGCCGCCGCGCCGCCGGAGCACGATTTCTGTTCTCATCCTGAAGCAAAGTTCTTAACCTGAAGCACTATTTCTGGGTTAGCGGAGTCTGTAACCTGAAGCGTCTGTAACCTGAAGCGTCTGTAACCTGAGGTACCACTGTATCAGGCAAGAGGAATCTTAAGGTTGGTTCAGGCACAACCACGGCATTTAGGCTTTTTGCATGAGGTCAAGCTTACTTCTGTGCCCCCACTTATGCTGAAAACCTTTGCACTGAGGCTGTGTGTGTGAGAAAGCCACTTCCGGCCTGCCCAGGAGGTGGGGTTACTGACCCCTTGTCACTTGATAAGATACCTTTCCATGTTGTAGGCGGACAGGCTAGCTTCCAAAAAATAGTTATTTTGCAAAGAATACATCTTATGTCAAGTTTAAACTGCTGAACGCAAACACTAGTTCCGTTTGTGGAATCAACTTTGGATTCAGTAGTGGGATTTAAGACAACCGACACTGTAACATCATGTAACAGTTGGTTCAGGTTATGATTCTTTTTAATTTGTTTTGCTACAGTTAAACAGATAAGTTTGGTGGAAAGGGTTTATTGAAATGGCAAAATATGTCTCAGTAGTTTAATTACTAGCAGATTTTAGGCATTTGGAAATAATAATTTGGGGGTATTATTTTACCTGTTTGGTCATTTTTTCATAGAAGATCACTAGCCCTGATCTTTGTATGTGCACTGGTGGGCCAGCTTTTGTTTCGTTTTAAATTGAAATTTCCTGTGGTAATAAAAAAATCTGTCTCCTTATGTGTGCTGGGGAATGGGTATAGCTAAAAACAAACATCTGTATTGGGGGATGGATACAACTAAATACAGATCTATTTCACACACACCCTGGATTATTCTGTGCTTTGTCTTAACCTCTCTTGTGTTTTCTGTTTCTTTTAAAGTTGAAACCACAAAGGAGAGTCTGTCTGATGTGCTCTTTTTTCATTTTGTAAAGGTTAAGTCATTTCCTGCACTTAAAAGGGTTTTGTTAAATCTTCCCTTCTCTTCTTTTTCGGAGGTTTTATGTCAATCTGCACAACTTGTTCACTTTCTGAGTGTGTGTGGGGGGGGAACCCTTTCAGAAAACAGAATTCCTCATTTTAAAATTTTGCCTATCATGAAGTGTGTGACAGTTATATAATCTTACCTCTCATCAGATAATTTAGTCTAAGAATCACACCTCTTATGTTTATTGAGCACAACAACTTTCATTGTTGGGGAGAAAAGTTTCATTTGTCACCTTGTCTTTCCCCGCTTATCTTCCATTTCCTCTGGCCTCTTTCCCTCTTCGCTTCCATGAAATCTAGTTTTTCCAGTTCCCATTCTCCTGATCTCTGTGCTATTGAGAGCCAATGTGATGGAGTGATTAAACGTAGACCAGAGATAGCTGGGTTGAATTCCCCAATTAGTTATGAAGCTCACTGGGTTTCCTGGGGCAGTCAGTAGATCTCAATCTAACCTACTTTGCAGAGTTAAGATTTTTTGGGAGGGTGTGGTGGGGACCTGGAAAAAATGCTTTGGTCTTTATAAGCATCTTTGCTTTATTCATCTTCACTAGTAACCATAGCATATCTGCAAAAATTGTTCAGTAACAACAGAATTAAACTGGCAGAGCAACTGTGGCAAGTAACTTCTGTGACATCAGAGCAGCTTAGCCAATGGCTCACAAACTTGACAACTGTTGGTACTTGCTGGGGCTGGGGGACTTTCGGGTTTGCTATTGCAAGTACAGCTTGAAAAAGCTCTGATGCCATGAAGAATTAGGTTCTGGTCTGTTTCTGCCCACCCATACTGGCCGCAATGGACAGGAAGGGTGATAAAAGGTTTCCTGTTTGGACTGGAACCTTGCCTGAGCAACAATATCTTCTTTGCTCTGGTTTTTTCCTGTGCCTCTCTTGGGTCTAACTCCCTGGATTAGCTTCTGGCCCACTTCTGACAGCTGCTTTGTGGCTCAGCCTTAACAACAATAGCCAACCTGTATTTACTGGCCTAAATTAAATGGACCGTAATATCATTTGGGGGGGGCATAGGAGAAGCTTTAAATCTGCCACATAATTAGAAATTTAGCTGAAGGGTTTAGAACCATTAGATTATCAGCTCAAGGCTGGGGTGTAGGGTTAGCTTGGTTGTTACATTTTGGAGGAGAAGACCATTCATTTTGTATTTATTAATTACTTCTGCTATAGTTTACTATTTTTGCTGAAACATTTTAAAGCCAGTGTGGTGTAGTAGTTAAGAGCGATAGAGTCGTAATCTGGGGAACCGGGTTCGCGTCTCCGCTCCTCCAGAAGCAGCTGCTGGGTGACCTTGGGCCAGTCACACTTCTTTGAAGTCTCTCAGCCCCACTCACCTCACAGAGTGTTTGTTGTGGGGGAGGAAGGGAAAGGAGAATGTTAGCCGTTTTGAGACTCCTTCGGTAAAGCGGGATATCAAATCCAAACTCTTCTTAAACCTATGGTATAAGCCAGCCCTGTTTCCTCTCAAACCTCCTCCCCAGCTTTTAAGTAGTGGGCAAGTGTTTCACATTAAATTATAGTTAAACTGTATTGTTTAATTAGTGTTTTTATGGAGCAGTCAAGTAATTTCGTTGTCCCCAAAGGGGGCAATGACAATAAAGATATTATTATATTATTATTATTATATTATATTATTAAACCTGGGCCAGGTTGGTGGAGAGGATTCTATCATGTCACATTGCTAGTTCAGGGTGTCATTTTTCAGAGCAAATGTTTGCTTCAGGTAGAAAGCTAGCAATGTAGGAAGAGAGCTGAGCTACAGCTGTTGCCTCTCTGTACTAGTTGCCCTGCAGTGAGATATGTTGTGGGGGAGCGTTAAAAATGGCACTTCCTCACATTCCATTTGACCACCTCATTCTGTTCCATGTGCATACTTGGAAATTGATGAAAACCCTACCTACAAATTCTGCCAAATTATTACTATTTTAAATCATCCAGTACTTCTGGTTTGTTTGTTTTTAAATGAGAAGTGGTATCATTTATTTCAGCACCTAATGCATTCCCATTTTCATTTAGGAACCCAGCGGTTATAGTAGCTTTCTTTTTGATTTAAATCATTTGCATCCGTTTTGGCCAGTGGTATTTGAAGCCTCAGCCACAGAGGACGAGGTTTTTAAAACTTTCTAAAATCAATCAATTTCAGTGTCTCTTATGCATTCATTCCCGCCCCGCCCCCATCTCTCCCTTTCAGTCAGCTTGTTTCTCTCTATAGAATACAGAATAAAACTCACAGTGGCAAGTAAGTGGCCCAATAGCTCTTTATTATGCTGTTTTGGAATGTTTAAAAACTCTGCTTGTGAGAAATTTCAGTGACAAAATAAATGCCTCTCATGAGCCCTTGCATGGACATTGGTCTGTATACTCTGTCACCTGGTCCTTTAAGGCGGTTTGGGTGGTAAAGGAGACAACTGTCTGTCTGTCTCTCCCTCAACAATTGTGTATTCATTTGCACTTAATCCGTCTTCTCCCTTGCTGTTGGTTAGGTCAGTCTAATTCTAATGGATGCAGCTTGAGAGGAAACCATAAATCTTTTTTTTTTCATCCCCAAAGCCTAGGACAGTGATTCCATCCATTTAAAAGTGGTGACTTTATTGCCTGGTATTTGTGACTTTTATAGGGTTCTCCCGTAGTAATGTGCTTTTCACACTGAGAAGCAGCAAGAGTCTCTGTAAATGACCAGTACATCCATTTAATGCCACTGTCGACATGTATGTGGGGAATCTGCCCTAATCTGGAAGCTTTCAGAATTCTAGAATTGTAGAGTTGGAAGGGAACCTGAGGGTCATCTAGTCCAACCCCCTGCAATGCAGGAATCTCAACTCGATCATGCATCTCCAAGGAAGGAGAGTTCACCACCTCTCACGGAAGTCTGTTCCACAGCTTGCTATCTAGGGATCTTTGGTGGTGTTGCTGAGACTTGAAACAATGAGCTTCTGCGGCTGCTCTGCTAATGGGCTACTGATCAGTCTAATCATATGTTGCTTTCATCTTAGTTTCATTGTCATGGATTCCTCTAAAGCCCGTACAGGAAAACAGTGCCCATCTGGATTGTTGCTAAACTCCAGCTCCCATAAGGTTCTAACAAATCCAAAGAATTGCAGTTTGAAGACACCTATTAATTTTCCAAATCCCCCCTCCCCAAAAGAATTCCCAGGAGAGAGGAAATGACTTTTAATTCAGTTAGAGAACCCACCTGCACCGTACATTTAAAGCAGCATTGTGCTATGGTTCGTTAAGGGTTGTGAGAGGTATTAGGAGGCTTCTATTCTCATTGCAGGGACGCGGGTGGTGCTGTGGGTTAAACCACAGAGCCTAGGACTTGCCGATCAGAAGGTCAGTGGTTCGAATCCCCACAACAGAGTGAGTTCCCATTGCTCAGTCCCTGCTCCTGCCAACCTAGCAGTTCGAAAGCACGTCAAAGTGCAAGTAGATAAATAGGTACCGCTCCGGCGGGAAGGTAAATGGCATTTCCGTGCGCTGCCCTGGTTCGCCAGAAGCGGCTTAGTCATGCTAGCCACATGACCCGGAAGCTGTACGCCGGCTCCCTCGGCCAATAAAGTGAGATGAGTGCTGCAACCCTGGAGTCGGTCACGACTGGACCTAATGGTCAGGGGTCCCTTTACCTTTTTTATTCTCATTGCGGAGCTACCATTCCCATGGTTCCCTAGGAAGAGGGATCGAATGTTAAACCACTCTGGGAATTGTAGGTCTGTAAGGGGAATAGGGGGTCTTCTAACATCATCTTGGGGTGAAACCATGACTGTCTAAAGTGGTATGATACTGCTTTAAATGCACAGTGATGATGGGGCCAAGTTAATGGTGTACATAGGCCCAAGTGGTCAGTCTGACTCCTTTTTATCTGCTCTTTTAAAAAAATAAATAAATCCCAGAAATCTGCTATGATCTCTCTGTTGCCTGCAAGGGGAATATTTTGGGTTTGATGTCTCAATCAAAACCCTTTCCTCTCTTAAATTCAGACTCTTAGGCATAGCTTCAAATCCACCAGTCGCTGTATATTCTCTCTCTTTTGAGGTCATTACTACATATTTTCAGTTTTCTCTGTAGCTTGGGTAGCAGATTCCCCCTTTAAAGCCTGTTCCTCCATTTATTCCACTCTCCATCCCACCATGCCAAACTGTCACAAAACAGATAGGCTTCTGTCCAAGTCGCTGCCTCTCATCAGACAAACAAGCCTCTTATTATAAGAAGATACTCTTATCGTTGACTATTCAGTCATCTTCTTTGAAGAAATGTCCGGCTTATCTTGAAAACAGGAAAAGCTATCTTGAGTAAAAGACATTGAAGGATCCAGAAAAGTTTATTTCTTACAATCAAAGAGACCAACAGTAATTCTGGCAACTTGTGGCTCAAAGGCTGCTGCTGTTCATTCAGTGCTAAAACCTCCTCCCAAATCTGGAACAAATGCAGTTTTCAGGTTGGACTTCTCTGAATAGTGGTTTTGAACGATTTTTCCAGCAGGGGTGTGCAGAAGGTAGATCAGGATGTACTGATAGACCTTGGAGTGATTTGCAGTAGATCAGTTGTTTAACAATCACAATAACAACAGACTTTCCCCACCTAAATTAGGAAGGATTCTGTTTTGGCATTGAAAACAAGACTAATAATAATAATGTGCTCAGAGGTACCTTGCTTTTTCATTCTTAACTGTACGTCTTGTTCTGGCTTATATATTTTGGAGTTCTAGTAAAGAACAAGCATGAAGACAGACCATCTCTTTGTTCATAGTACTGATTCCCCCAATTTTTCTTCTTCTTCTAATTTTGTTACAAAGTTATAAAGAGAAATTCTTAATCATCTGCTACAGTGAGAGACGCCTGTTTGGATACATTAATGTATCTTTAACTGAAGGAGTTTTAAAACAAAAAACCAGCTGTTTTCAGTGTTAGGCTGCTGTCGTCTTCCCAGACATGCATGTTGCCTTTTTTCCGCTAAAAGCTGAACATTTTGGATAAACATTAAGTGTTGCTTAAACATTTGAAAAATGTGGAAGATAACAATTTTGAGTTGATTGGGGGTTGGGGGAAAGGAGTGAGGACTCATTCCTGCTTCTGAGGGAAATGTTGAAGACTTTGTGTGACTTTGCCAGATCTTGCAACTTAGTTGCTTGCCTGCTTGACATTCTGGCAAAAGTTGCAACCATTAAGTAGCCTGAGGGTAAGTTTTCAAACTTCCATAATCAGAAGCCTTCGGAGTGTAATCAGAAGCCTTCGGAGTGTACACCTGTTTGGCAGTCTTCACTTTTTGGCCCTTTTAGTTCCTTGAGACTCCAAATTACCAGCTTTCACTCTCTGTGTACACCTAGAGGGTGGCAGTTTCTGAAGTTACTATGTGCTGCAGGTTAGGTTTTGCATAATACCTGATGGGAGCAGAAAAGCAAATTACAACCGCCCCCAACGCACAAAAATCATGGTGCCCAAGACTGGGCCAGAGGCAGTATGCATCTGAATATTAATTGCTGGGAATCACAAGTGGGAAGAACACAGTTTTGTGCAGGTCCAGCTTACAGCCTTCCTATAGGGATCTGGTCGGCTACTGTGAGAACAGAATGCTGGACTAGATAGGCCTTTGGTCTGATCCACCAGGGCTCTTCCTATGTTCTTTGGCACCTGAGTCACAGAATCCTGTAAGTGCCTCATCTTTCCCCCTGCAATTTGGGAACAAAAATACAATCATTATAATGAATGAAATAGCTAACAATTTACTTCCCTTTCACGGCACCCAAAACCAGCTGCCAGAGGTGGTCATCTCCCAATGGCGAATGTTAGGGCTGGCCCTGTGTCATCGGTGTAAATGGTCAATGACATAGTTTCCTAAGCAAATAAAGAAAAGAGAGAGTTCCCAGCCCCAAGGAGCTTACAAACTAAAATGGACACTGGAAAGCAGACAGCAGAGACCGGGGAGGAGGCGAGGAGGGCAGTGAAGGGTGAATATTTGCAAATGCAGCTGCATGCTGTCACAGTTGGGAATGGGGATTAAGGGCTTAGTGAAAGGTGGAAAGGTCAAAACCCATCTTCTCCCTCTGCAGTGAGCTGTCATTCCCCGCCCCCCCCCCCCAGCCAGCCAGCTGCCTTAGTTCCATCCTAGTCACTGAGGAAAGGGATCTCCTTCTTCCATGAAACTGGTGGAGGAAGGAGAGAAAGATCTGTCCCTCTTCCTCCAGCCTGCTCACTCGCTTGCATGGAACTCGCTTGCATGGAACTTGGTGTACTCTCCTGTGGTGAATTCCTGGTCTCCTGTGGTGACCAAGATAAATAGGTACCGCTCCAGCGGGAAGGTAAACGGTGTTTCCATGTGCTGCTCTGGTTCGCCAGAAGCGGCTTAGTCATGCTGGCCACATGACCTGGAAGCTGTACGCCGGCTCCCTCGGCCAATAAAGCAAGATGAGTGCTTCAATCCCAGAGTTGTCTGTGACAGGACCTAATGGTCAGGGGTCCCTTTACCTTTCGCCACCTATATTTTTCTGCATTCCTTTTCTTCTGCCCTTACTGCTTACAATTATCCCCATCCCAATCATGTGTGTACATGTGTATTCACATACTTGCACTTTGACATGCTTTCGAACTGCTAGGTTGGCAGGAGCAGGGACTGAGCAACTGGAGCTCACCCCATCATGGGGATTTGAACCACTGACCTTCTGATCAGCAAGTCCTAGGCTCTGTGGTTTAACCCACAGCGCCTCCCGGGTCCCAAGCAGGTCCTCCCTCTATTGTGTGGGCAGGTAGTCCCTCCCCTACCTGGCCTGGTCTCCTTGGCAACGCTTCCCCCAGGTGGGATTGGACAGCTGACTGAGATAGGCGGAGACCTCCAGGTATCCCACCTGAGGGAGGGCGAAGCCAAGCCTATGCTGATGGAGCCGCTCCAGATCCAGGGGCTGCGTGCGTCCATGCAAAGGGCGCCCCCCGTTTTTATGCTGGGAGTGGTCATTACTGCCAAATTGGGATTGGAGCAAGGGAAGTGACCTGAATCACTTGTCCTTGAAAGCATACGTGGCACAGACCCTTGCAGACCTGTACCACGAGCACAACCACATTCCACACATTTCTCCAAATGGCGTTCACCGTGGGAAGAACTGCACCTCTGCCCTATGGAAATATTACGACCCCAGGAAAATGTGCCTGCAGAAGCAACTCCTTAAGGGAAGATTCGTTGCAAGGAGATCAGTATATAGGCTTGTAACTCATGGCACTTTCTTCAGCAGCTTGCTTCATGGTTCTCAGTCTTCTGTTATTTCAGTTTTATCAGCGCATTGGGAAGGATTAGATTAAATAGGGACTGCAGTTCTCTAGATTCTAGGAAAGGTTTGAGGCATCATAAATGGCATTTGCTTGTGTGTTGGATGGGAGAGTGTATGTTGCTGTGTGCCTAGCTTCAGATCTGGAATGCTTCGGATACCTGCAGCATCAAAATTTAAATTTTTCCAGGTTGTTTTGTTGCTGTTGTCAATATCCTGTTTCGGTCAACTTATCCTCAAAGAGCTGTCATTACTGTAGATCCTCCGTTTGTTACAATTGTTCTGCTATTTTATTGGTCTCTTGCTTGCTGTGTAAAGTTTGGATCTCTTTGAGGGTTGTTTTTTTAATTGTCATCCTTCCTCTTCTTGAATTAATTACCCAGATCTACAATTCTAATGATGGACAGTATGAGGATAAGTTAATACATGCTTTAAACCTAAAACATTTTTAGTGAGCAGGGCTCTCTCTCTCTCTCTGTCTTTCCTCACCCTTCGGTAAAGTTCAGCCGTAGACGTGTTTCTGCTTGAACATGATTATACCATGGAAAATTAATGATCTGAGCTGATTAGCTCCACTAAGATGGAGTTTGACTTCCTGTGCTTTATGGGTGTTCATCTGCCCTGGGGCTGTTAAGATCTTTAACAAGGCCTCTCCTCAAGACCTTTCCATCCTGCAAATGGCGAGCAATTGGGGACAAGTCTGGACAGTGGATGAAAAGGCTGACTTGCCTGGCTTTGCAAAGGAGGTCCTAAGAGATAAGATTCTCAAATAGCTCTGAAGTAGAAGGGCTGAATTCAGCCCTTCTGTATTGTTTAGTTGTTGTTGTTGCTGTTGCTGCTGTTGTTGTTGTTTTAAAGAACAATCCCTATTGTCCAGCAACATGTGGACCTTCTGATCGGCAAGTCCTAGGCTCTGTGGTTTAACCCACAGCACCACCCACATCCCTATGTATTATTGCATTTGGTCTAAACCACAGAGCCTAGAGGTTGCCGATTGGAAGGTCGGCAGTTCGAATCCCTGCGATGGGGTCAGCTCCCATTGTTCAGTCCCTGCTCCTGCCCACCTAGCAGTTTGAAAACACCCCAAAAAGTGCAAGCAGATAAATAGGTACCACTCCGGCGGGAAGGTAAACGGCGTTTCCGTGCGCTGCTCTGGCTCGCCAGAAGCGGCTTAGTCATGCTGGCCACATGACTGTGGACAAATGCCAGCTCGCTCAGCCTATAGAGCGAGATGAGTGCCGCAACCCCAGAGTCGTTTGCGACTGGACCTAATGGTCAGGGGTACTTTCATTGAAGATGCTCAGCATCCGAATGCCTCTCCTAAAAAATGTACCCTAACAACAACCCTATGAGGTAGGTGAGGCCGAGAAATGGCGAGTGGCCCAAAGTCAGCTAGGGAGCTTCATTGCTAAGCGGGGATTCGAATGGTGGTCTCCCAGGTCCAGACGCTCTTGGTCACTGCATTCATTGGCTCATCCATGTTAGGAGATGCTTTTGCTTAAGAATATAAGACGTGTCCTTGCTGGACCAAGCCAGTAATCTCCCTTGTTCAACATTCTTCACAAGAATCCTAGTGTTGGGTTCATTCATTTATGTAAAACATTTTTACTCACTTTTCAGCTGAAAAGGTTCCCAGAGCGGCTTACATATGATCAAAAAGGATAAAAATTCCCTGCATGCAGACTGACAATCCAAAAGACATGACAGGGGATGGGGAAGGAAGCAGGGGCTGATGGGAACTGTAGTCCAAAACATCTGAAAGGTGCCAGAGTGGGAAAGGTTGCAGTTTAAAATACTGGGGTAGATGAACCAATAGGAAGTAGGATTTTATTATTTTATTATTATTAAAGGTCAAGTTGACATATACAGAGCATTTATACATAAATTCTGTCAGCAGCGTAAACTCGCATTTTTCATAATTTGCAGCTAAAACTCAATAAAGAAGAAATAAAAAAACAAAGAAAGAAAGAAAGGGGAAAGAAGCAGGAAAAATGAAAGAATATTGCATTTATTTAAGCTTCACCTGGTACTCATGTTATTTTGTTTAATGGAAAGAGTGAAGTGACATAACATTTAAGATTTACAGACAGGCAAAATAAAAGATGATTAATGATTAGGTAGGTTTGGTCTTCTTAAATGTGTGCCCTTATATAAAGTTGTCTGAAACCCAGTCAGGATGGAGATTATTACAGATAATACTTATGGGGTTTTGTTGTTGTTGCTGCTGTTATTTTTTTTGACAATTGGCCTTACAAGTGATATCTCAAAATCTCCAGTCCTTAAATTAGCACCCTATCTTTCTTTTGAACCCACCACATTTCCTAGGATACGGTTTGAAAGCTTTCAAAAAGGGAGGAAAAGGCACCGATCCCTCTGCTTCCCACCCCAAAAGAATTAGCTCGCAAAGCAAACTAAAAATTGCTCAAGGCATCCACACTTATTCCTTTTGAACGTGCCCTGTGGCTCCTGGACATTTGTAGCCGGCTGATCTCATCCTCTGAAATTCTTGATTGCCGGAGAGCAGAGCGACAATCTAGAGAACAAGGAAATTCTGAATGGAAACCTTTTCTATATTGAAGTCAGATGCTTGACATTAATCTCCAAGCAAAGTCTTCTGTGTTTGTCGTCGTCCCCCCCCCCCCTTGGCATATTTGCTTGCCTTCCTTGCAAGGTTGGTGTCTCTTCCAACCCTTCTTATTTAATTTGCTGCCTTTCCCACGCAATTTAACAGCAGGACCAGGATTTTCTTCCAAGTGTTTCTGAGTGCAGTTCTGAGGCGATCTATGCAGGAGTTTGTACACACCCTCTTTGTTTTGGCAGGAGTTTTCCCCAGCTAGACTTGAATGGCCTTGTAGCGCATTAACGGTGTCTGGCTCCAAACTGACCTATCTTGAGAAAGGCTGTAGCTGAATGGTAGAGCATCTGCTTTGCATGCAGAAGGTCGCAGGTTCAATCCCCAGCATCTCCAGGTAGGACTGGAAGAGATCCTGCTCTGAAATCCTGGAAAGTCCCTGCCAGCCAGTGTAGTCAATACTGAACTGGATGGATCAATGGTCTGGCTCAGTATGGCAGCATCCTGTGTCTGGTAGAAGGATACATTTGAAATTGCATTTACATGCTTCTAGGTTATTTTAATGATAACAGTAGAAGAAGCCCCAGCTGCAGATGTTCCTGTGCTTTCACTGTCCAGTCCCTTCCCAGCAGACATGTTTATAGTTTTTCAAAGAGAGAAGGAGTTAGGGAGTGCTCTGTTAGTAGACCTTGCAGCTTGGGTGAGTTAGATTCAAAGGCTTTATTCATGCAGGAACTATTTAAAGGATGAGTGGAGATAGGAGAGAAGTAGCAGACATCTTGTCTAGAGAGAACAGCAAACAAAAAACAGGTTTTAGGGATGGAGTTAACTTAGACAGAGGGGCTTACAAATTCCTAGGTTGCTACACAAACAGTGCCCTCATGTAGTTTAAACCAACACATGTATTAACTACAAACTCAGGAGAAGGAATTATTTGCTTTTCTCCAACACACTCTTCCTGTTTGAGATGGATGCAAAGAGGAGGTGAAAAAGGAAGTGGGAGAGAGCATCACTCTTCCAGTTTCCAATAGGAGAAGGGTAGGGCTGGGCAAGATCCAGTGGAGAGCATCTGCCAGTCAGTATAGACAATACTAAGCTGTCAAACTATAGAGCAACTTCCTATGTCACTGTCCCATGCAGTGTGCAGTCCTAGAATTGTGGGCTTGTTCTTTCCCTCCCAGAGGCCTGCAGCCTCCTTAGGAAGCCTCTGTTGTGAACCATCTGTTCCACAAGGGCTGGTCTGGAGAGAATTCATTTAACCCTAAGCCTAGCTACCGTATTTTTCACTCTATAAGACACACCAGACCACAAGACGCACCTAGTTTTTGGAGGAGGAAAACAAGAAATAATAATAATACTCTGAATCTTAGAAGCCAGAACAGCAAGAGGGATCACTGCGCAGTGAAAGCAGCAATCCCTCTTGCTGTTCTGGCTTCTGGGATAGCTGCGCAGCCTACATTCGCTCCATAAGATGCACACACATTTCCCCTTACTTTTTAGGAGGGAAAAAGTGAGTCTTATAGAGCAAAAAATACGGTATTTTTTGTGTGTGATGGCAAGGACGTTAGAGCAAGAGTGGGCAACCATATTTAGCTGGAGGGCTGCATTTGCTTCCAGGCAAGCTTTCAAGAACCACATGCCAGTGGTGAGCAGAGCTAGAGGCAAAAGTGGGTGGAGTAACAAATGTAAAGCTTACCTTTGCACATTGTACCAGTTTCTACCCTTCTCTGTCCTGCATCCAGGCATGCAAGAAGCATCATCAGAGTGCAAGGGATGCATTTCAGCCAAGCAAAAAACCATGGTGTGCAATGCATAACCGTTGAAAGGGCATGACCTCAGGAGAGTTCTGACGGTCAAATAGAGGTCTGGAGTTCTGCATTTGGCCATCAGGACTGATATTTCCCACTTCTGAGCTTCAGGCATCATTATCTGTTTATGCAGAACCACAGAAACCTAAGTACAAGTTGTTTGATGCATTTAAAGACATCTAATATATAGATTTTATAGTACACTTAAAGTTTTAAATACAGTTTAAAATAGAAAGGTTTTCCTGCTTGATTCAGTAGATTGCATAAACTGTTCCCATTCTGTAACAGCTGCCACATTCCACAGAAAGTTGTGTGATTGCAAAATCCCTTGGGATCCTGTCTCCTGCATTGCTTAGAAGGCATTTTTCCCCCCAAAGCCAGCCTTGTTTAATAGCATTGGTGAACTACATTTTACCCCTGCCTTCTTGTTGATCAGCCTTAGCTGGGAGTTGCCAACCTATTTAGGCCTGAGGGCGCATTTTATTTTTTGAGTGAGCACCATGGGCAACACCCTCTGGGTCCACTTCCCTTCCTCCAGATCAGCCTCCCAACTGAGACAGAAAGAGTGAAATGATGCATTCATGTGTTTCACTTTTCCAAGCTGTATCCAGTAGAATTAATCTGAACCTCAAGAAGAACATAGACCTGAAAGAGGAAGTGGGAAAGAAGGCCAGTCTTCCAACTCCCTCCTTCAGCTCTAAGTACAGTGGAACTTCGAGTTGCAGATGTAATCTGTCCCGGAGACACATCCACAACTCGAAGCGTTCGCATCCAGGAGCGCCGTGTCTGTGCACGCGATTTAGCGCTTCTGCACATGCATGAGCGGTGAAACCCAGAAGTAACCATTCCGGTACTTTCAGGTTGCCGCGGGACACAATTTGGAAAGACGTAACCTGAAGCGGAGGCAACATGAGGTATGACTGTACTTGTTATGGGAGGAAAAAATGTAACTGCCCTCAACAGCCTTGTGGCCAAGAGGACAGTGAATAATATATATATATATATATACACACACACACACACACACACACACACACACACACACATATACATACCCCGCCCATCTGGCTGGGTTTCCCCAGCCACTCTGGGCAGCTTCCTACAAAATATTAAAATACAATGGTCTGTTAAACATTAAAAGCTTCCCTAAACAGGGCTGCCTTCAGATGTCTTCTAAAAGTCAGATAGTTGCTTATTTCCTTGACATCTGGTGGGAGGGCGTTCCACAGGGCGGGGCCACTACCGAGAAGGCCCTCTGCCTGGTTCCCTTAACCTCACTTCTCGCAGCAAGGGAACCAGAAGGCCCTCAGAGCTGGACCTCATTTTCCAGGCAAAACAATGGGGGTGGAGATGCTCCTTTAGCTGAAGGATGGTTGGGGAAGCTCAGAGGCTTTTTGGGTGACAGGGAAGACCTTAAGGGTGTCATTGCACTCAAGGGTGCCATGTTGGCGACCCCTGATCTGCAGCTTCTTCCCTAAGACACAAATGGACAACCCGTGAGCAGCATGTGGCCCCTGGACTCTCTCTGCATGGCCCACTAAGTCCCAGGAGAGCTCTGTCCATCTTTCTCAGCTGCCTAGCTGAGTAGCTATCTGCTGAACAGTGGTGAAAAGAAAAGAAAGGAAGACCCCAAATACACCGCAAAACATGATTTTAGGTCTTTCAAGAGCTGATAGCCATGATATAGAAACTCAATGGATAGCTGAAGCTCAGACCACCTTTACTGCTAAGAAAAGCATGGGGAAGTGGTTAGAGAGAGCCTTCGCTGTCTTCTTTAAAAGCTGCTAGAAGCATCTGGCTGACTGCTGTTGGAAACAGAATGCTGGGTTAGATGGATTTTTGGTATGATCCAGTAAGGCACTTCTTGTGGTCTCCGCAACTCCCTCCAAAATTGTGTGATATGGTGCAGAATGTTTCAGTGGTCTTTCAGTTTTGATTACTGAAAACATATTTCATCTGGAAGCACAAATAGGATTGGTAGTCTGTTAAATGTCCTAAACCAGATCTATGTTTGATTCCACCCCTCCTTTCAGTATAGGATCCTTTCCTTTCCTTCATTTGTTTGTTCATTCCTCCTTTTCCATTCTTTCTTATGTCCTTCCTCCTTTCTTTTTCATTTTGTGAGCTTGAGGCCTTTTCATAAGCGAATGCAACTTAAAATTTTCCCACATACAACCCCTTTACGTGAATATATGGATTTGCTGTAAGTACCCAGCCCCCTCAGATGGCAGACGATTTATTTACAGTTCGTGAGTTTGGATTTGTGAGTTCAGAAAACAGCTCTATTGTGCAAGGCCATTCATAATGGATTGTTAGGAAAGTGCTTCGTCAATCCTAATAAATCTGCCAGCAGCCTTAGTCATCTTCCAGAGAACGAAGTTCAGTGAAAGCTTAGATATCATCTTCAAGATATACTGGGACACTTAAAGAGTTGTCTTGATCCAACGAGAAATGCCACATAGATCAACTGCGAAAGCTGCAGCAGACGCAACTCCACTGATTGCTTAACCATGGTTAAGCAATCAGAACGGACTATGAGACCGTTCCCCACTCTCTTCCAGAGCACAAATTTCTCCTTTGGGACCTAACAAAGAGTTCAGCACTATATCACCAACTGTGTTAACTACAACTAGGTCTCACTATGTTGAGCCTTAGCTCAGTAGAACATGTGCTTTGCACGCAGAAGGTCCCTATGTTCAGTTCCCCAGCATCTCCAGGTTATCTCCCTTAGAGCTTCTGCCAATCAGTATAGAGCAAGGCTATGGACCTGGGTCTGGTCAGTGGGCCAGATGGTTATCTCACGCCCCCCGCCCTTTGCAGGCCAAGCTGATCAGGTAGGTGAAGCCTTGCACTTGTCAACCACCCGTGCCATAGTGAAGTCACGTGACTTCAGAAGCCCCTTTCTTGTGCAGTGCTTTGAAAGGGGCTTCTGAAGATCCCATAAATCAGCTGGCTGAGCCAGCTTTGTACCTTCTCCATACCTGACATCATGTATGATGTCAGGCGTAGGGCGGGGGGGGGGAGGCGGGGAGGCTTGGCTGAAATGGCCTTATGGGCCAAACGGGGGAAGCCTGCTTCACCTGATTAGGCCCAAAGGCTGGATTTTCCCTACCCCTGGAGTAGACAACACTGAGCCAGTGGTCTGATTTGGTAGAAGGCAGCTTCCTATGTTCTTGGAGTCTCCACTTAACCCAAGACTGGAAACGATTGCTTGACATTTATACAGTGCTTCAGAGTGTTCAAAGCTCTTCACACATCTTACCTTATTATTGTACCTGCAACAGCCCTGTACGGTTGGCCTAAGGCCACTTAATATGTTCACAGCAGAGGCAAAAATCTCAACTGCGAGCTTCTTAGTTGTTTTCTTCTGTGTTCTAATTATGTGTGCATATATATATATATATATATATATATGTATGTATAGTGTGTGTGTATGTATATGTAATTGGTTTATAATCATAAGAGGCTTATGATTATAAGAAGCCACTTGGCAATTAAGTGAGAGACTGAGCAATAAATAAATAAATGCAATTTTCGTGTTCTATACTATCGTTCCTTCTCTTTACTCTGACTAATAATGCATGTGTAGCCAGAATGGCATCACCCGCCCGCCAGTGCAGGAGAGATCAGCAAGACTAGGGAAGAACCCAGAAGTTTGCAGATGCACAATAAAATAAAATAAATATTATTTGGGTGGGGGACCTAAGTGGGTAGGAGAGAGGAGCCAAAGCAGCCAGATAAGGACTGAGGATACTTCACGGCCTTAGAGTGCTAACTGACTGTTTGGAGAGGAAACTGAACATGGTGGGATTGAGTGGCTGGTACCCTGCATGCAACATTTTGTTGGAAGCTCCCATTTCAATAATAATAATAATAATAATAATAATAATAATAATAACAATAACAATAATAACAATAATAATTTATTATTTATACCCCACCCATCTGGCTGGGCTTCCCCAGCCACTCTGGGCAGCTTCCAACAAAATATTAAGATACAGTAATGCATCAAACATTAAAAGCTTCCCTAAACAGGGCTGCCTTCAGATGTCTTCTAAAAGTCTGGTCATCGTTGTTCTCTTTGACATCTGGTGGGAGGGTGTTCCACAGGGCGGGCGACACTACCGAGAAGGCCCTCTGCCTGGTTCCCTGTAACTTGGCTTCTCGCAGTGAGGGAACCGCCAGAAGGCCCTCGGTGCTGGACCTCAGTGTCCAGGTAGAACGATGGGGATGGAGACACTCCTTCAGATATACTGGACCGAGGCCGTTTACTGTGCTGCACTCTACTGTACCACTAAACAACGTCAGCGCATTCAGCTTTTCTTCTGCGTAAATTGTTGGACCGTGGCAAAATGTTTCTTCGAAAGGCAGCCCAGAGTATTTGGTGTGTGCATTTTCAAAAAATTAAGCTGTTGTTGAAATTCTCTTGCTACAGAGACCGGAAACCTCTCTCTCCTGAAGTGCAGATTTAGCAACCTTTGGAGGTTTAACTGCCTTTGTTTCACTGTTTAGAAACCCCATGAAGCAATTAATGGTTTCACGGGGAGCTTGTCTGGTATTTCTAATCTTTACAACCCTGCTGGCTCAAATATGACATAATTCCATAAATGCTTTAAGAACACAAGGCTGATAGCTGACGGTTCACTTATCTCCTCAAGTTCCCTTTTTGCATGGAATGCTTTTGGGGTTGCTGTGCCCCAGGTAATGATTGATCTCCTTTAGGCATCACGCACGTGCGCACACACTGAGATCGTCCGTGGAGAGGTTGAGTGTGGACCTTAGCATCCACATACAGTGGTACCTCGGGTTACATACGCTTCAGGTTACATAAGCTTCAGGTTACAGACTCCGCTAACCCAGAAATAGTGCTTCAGGTTAAGAACTTTGCTTCAGGATGAGAACAGAAATTGTGCTCCAGCGGCGTGGCGGCAGCAGGAGGCCCCATTAGCTAAAGTGGTGCTTCAGGTTAAGAACAGTTTCAGGTTAAGTACAGACCTCCGGAACGAATTAAGTACTTAACCTGAGGTACCACTGTATTCCCTCCTTTGCTTTCCCCCTGCACCACTGCTCTCCCAGCAGGGGGAAGCGAATGACCAAACAGGATATTTCATGGTTCTTTGAATATTGGATCTCCTCTGATCCTCCACAGGGGGTGGGGAGTCTGGCATGGTGGTGGTGGGGGGATAACATTTGAACAGGTTTTAACCGGAACTGTAAAAAGAATGGCCTAGCTATTTAATAAAATTCTGCTTTGCCCTTTGCCCCAAATAATTTATTTGTAACCTCCCAGTTCTGTTGACAAAAGGCTCTTTTTTGAAGGAGGCTCACGAAAAGATGACCTTATAAGCAAAGTGGGAGGGGGAGAACAAAGTGAAACAACAAAATAGATATTCGATAAAAAAATAATATTTGCATTGCTGAGCTATGTTGCTCTATATATGGCCCTGAGATAGCAGCACACTCATTAAAAAAACCCTCTGCATATCTCGAAAAGCTTTGATAGTCTGGCATCAGCTGAAGTTGGCCTAATAATAGATAGCACCTTAACTGTTTGTTTCACTGTGTGATTTCCAACCCCCCAATGCAAAGCTGTGTTTCAAAAGTCTTTTCTCGTGCTTTCGGTAGTATGGTAAAATGAATAATTCTAATGGGAGCACTAGAAGGAGGAAGACTTGGGATGAAATATTGAAGTGGAGTCAGACCCTTCAGCCCACCTCATCTTGTTCTGTGTACCCCAGCCGTATCCAACCTGGTGCCCTCCAGATGTTTTTGGACTACTATTCCCAGCAGTCCTGCCAGGCGTGGCCATTGATCAGGGATGATTGGGGTTCATTATCCAGACTATTGGTCCATCTAACTTAGTACTGTCTGCACTAACTGGTAGCAGCTCTGCTGGGATTCAGGAAGGAATCTCTCCCAGTCGTATCTGGAGATGCTGGGGATTGAACCTGTGGCCTTCTGCATGCAAAGCAGATGCTCTGCCAACTGAACTATGGCCTTTCCCATGCCATTTTTAAACTGGATTGAACCCGCGGTCTTCTGTGTGCCAAGCATGTGCTCTGCCACTGAACTCCAGCCCCCTCTCCCTACAGAGTATTTTCTGCCTCTGTCTATTAAACCTAACACTCCTTCAGTTCCTTTACGTATGACCTTCAGGCGATTTTGTTCCAGTTACAGCCAAGAAAAACACTTTTTTTGTGACTTGCACATGTGGGGTATGGAAAAGACTGGAGCATTAACTGGAAGAGCCTTATTAAAACCAGCTCTGTTTATATCAATCTGGAATGGAGCTGCAAACGAAGGAAGAAATATATTTATATGGGGTTTTATCCAGTGCTAGTTCTACTCCAGGGTAGGACTGAACTACTTCAGGTTCATTCATTTGTTAACTGACACAGAACTAAAACACTGCATTTGGTGGTGGCAATACTATTTGGATTTGGATTTGATATCCCACTTTATCACTACCTGAAGGAGTCTCAAAGCGGCTAACATTCTCCTTTCCCTTCCTCCCCCACAACAAACACTCTGTGAGGTGAGTGAGGCTGAGAGACTTCAGAGAAGTGTGACTAGCCTGTTGCGGTAAAATCTGGGTGCGAGGCTGCTCTGCCACCCAGCTCGTCGGACTAAGTCCCTGCGGAGGAAAATGAGCTCAGCCGGAGACAGGAGCAAGCTGCAGAAGATCCAAGTTTATTGCGCAACAGGTTCAAGGCGAGATTGAACAGCGAGAAAGGGGTGACATGAACTTTTAAAACTTCCCTCCATGTCCCAGAATACAGCAGCTGCATGTGGAGGAGCGGGGACGCGAACCCAGCTCCCCAGATTACGAGTCTATCGCTCTTAACCACTACACCACACTGGCTCACATTATTTTAACATTATTTTTTTAAGCTGCTGGTTGGATACGTTTCTGGGCTGCTACCCTTGATACTGGTGGTTCCTGTGATGGAATGCTTCTACATTTTAAAGAATTCCTTGCATATAGAACATTAGCATGTTAGAAATACTTTCCCCTGACACACTAGTTTTCTGTCTGCAGGGGATGCTTTTGTACGGAAGAGTGTTCCATCACAGAAGCTCCTGTCTGAAATGGTATAGACACAGGCTTTCTGTCTCAGGGAAAAATAAATATTAGTTGGAAAAGGGGAACTTGGATGGGCTTGCTCCTAACTGGACTCTTTCTGCCCTTCTGATCATTTCTAACAAGTTGCAAAATGAGGCATACATTTCTTCTTTCTCCCCTTCCTCTCGAATTCTTCCTAAATGTTTACGTATGGGCAAAATTCAATTGTACCTCTAAGGGCGTTCCAGAGCTTCAGTTCCTTTTAGGGACTTTTAGGTCCCTTAGGACTTCCCTGGGGATGAGCAGTAGCTCAGTGAATAGCACACATGCATTGCATGCAAAATGTCCCAGGTTTAATAGCCGACACCTCAAGGTCGGGCTGGGAGTGTCCAGTGTCTGAGACATTGCCAGTTAGTGTAGACAGTCCTGAGACAGATGGACCAATTTTATTTATTTTTTAAAAATTATATATTGTTTGGTTGAAGGAAGCTTCTAAGCAGTTTATAAGAAACATAAAATAAAATGTTAAAATTGTTGATTTAAAAACGGGTATTTAAAAATATCCAAAACACGATTAAAGTCAACCGTAAAGAAATAAACCACATTTAACTTCTATATGTCTGGATGCACTTGCCTAAACAGAAATGTTTTAAGCACGCACCAAAAAGAGTACATTAGAGGTTCCTGGTTGATGTCAACAGGCAGGGAGTTCCAAAGTCCAAAGCCACAAGAAAAGATTGATTTCTTACTACTGTGGAATGAGTATTATGTGGCACCTGCTCTTCTTTTCATATGTGAGCAGCTGATATGACTGTGCGTCTTAGATACTTTAAATTTTCAAATGAAATTCTGCAGTGTGTGCAGATTAGGCAGGTGAGGATTTTTTTTTTTTAATCTTGCATAATTTATAAGGCCTTTTTTTATTATTGAGAACAAAAAATACGTAATAAAAACAAATAATAAACCAATAACCCCGCTCCCATTTCTCTGGAATATACGCCCAGCCGAATGCTGCTGCTCATTACTTGTGCTCACCTATTAATAAAAAGTACAAACTTAAAAATGTTTGCATCCTTATCTGGTAACACAGAATCAAGTTTGCCTGTATGCACCTGTATAAATGCTAACATCTGAGCCTCTGTTTGGAGTAAATGAGCAAGACTGCCCATCGGTTTTAGTATTCTCGTTGACTAGCTTAATTGATTGATTGATTGATTGTTTTTAATCAGTGGCATGTACTTGCATTTCTTGTATTTTATGTAGTAATAGGAAACTATCCTGGGATGAGTTGACGAGATGAAAGGCAGTCTACAAAATTAAAATAATAATAATAATCCCTCTGGGCTTTGAGATTTAAGCAGGCACCACCCTTTCAGACATGCCTTCGCAGCCCTGAGGACTAGGAAGTCTGGACAGACGAAAGAAAGTACATTACGAGGTGCATAGTTAAAACAATGGAATTTGTTCCCCCCAAAATGTAGTGAAGGTAACCAACTTGGATGGATTAGACAAACGTGTGGAGAATAAGGCTATCTGATGGCTACTAGCTATGATGGTTATATTTCACCTCTGCTGTCAGAGGCTCTGAATACCAGTTACTGGGAGTCACAAGTAGGCAGTGACTGTTGCACTCATGTTCTGCTTGCAGCCAACCCCAAGGCAGGCATGTCCAAAGTCCGTTTTGGTTTAATCCGGCCCCTGCAGCAGTTTATTTCCTGGGGTAATATCCTTAAAAAACCTCAGCAATTTAAAATCCTAAAAAAGGTGCAACAACTTTGGTTGGCCCTTTGGTTGGCCCTCACAGCCCTTCCCTTCATCAAATCTGGTGGCCCTCTTTGAAAAAAGTTTGGACACCACTGAGCTAAGGCATCTGGTTGGCCACTATGAGAACAGAAAAACTTGACTAGGTAGATTGCAGCTCCTTCCATGCGGAAGGCTGATTTAGGACTTAGGAAACTGCCTTTGGCTGAGTCAGACCATTGGTTCACATAGTTTGGGGTTACCTCTGAATATGTGGTGCAGGAAGAACTAGATGCTGTGCTCATGCCTTCCTTGTGGGCTTCTCCCAGGCATTTGGTTGGCCATGCTGAGAACAGGATGCTGGACTTGATGGGCTTTCTCAGCCTGATCCAACAGGACTCTTCTTATGCCCTTGTGCATCTTCTTAAGCTGCACTTATATGGAAGACAAGTTTCCCTGGCCTCTGAATTCTGCACCCCACCCCTGTTGCAATCTCTGGGATTTCGGCTCGCCTGTGAAATCACAGCCATATAGGCAGCCCTGGAAATCCATTGGCTTTGGAACAGGAACAGTACAGATGGCTGTCTGAATGAAAAGTCATGCTTGGCCTTGTGCCGAAATGCTTGGAAGTCAGAGATAGAGACCACAGAATGAGCAATAAGTTGGATTCTTAATAGGTAACGTCAGCGACTAGAAAATCTCCTGCAAGAAGCAAGTCAGTCTCAAATTTTGGTTATTTTTAATTTTCTCTCTCGTTATTTTTGGATCTTTGTACTAAAGCTTTCCTGGCAGCTTTGCCCAGTGCTTCAGTTGTCACTCTTCTCTGGTGATTATACCCTTCCGATGCTGTCATCCTTACCCTATACCTCACTTACCAAAACTGTACCCTTCCATCTTTTCTCTTCTTTCCCCACTCTCTCTTTCACATGATTTAGGTTTGCTGTCCTGCTTTTAAGCCTGTAATAGCTATACATCAGACCTTATGCTTTGGCCTAAAACCACTCTGCTGAGCAACTTGTATCCTCACTTCTCACTCACAGATGTATCAGTTGCAGATTTTAATAGCAGCAGCCTGGACCACCCTAGCTACCAAAGAAAATACATTTGGTGGAGTGACACCCCAGCTATAGAATAGCCTCCCCAGACAAGTTCACCTGGCACCTTCTATGTGGTTCTTTTGGTACCAAACGAAGACCTTTCTATTCCCCCAGGTTTTTATAAATCCTGTTTTAAACCCAGGTTGCAAGCTGTTCATGCTGTCTTTGCTACAAACAAAGGGTGAGGGTGTTTTTTGTTTTTGTTTTTGCCTTAAGTTATTATGTATGTATTGACTTTTAAAGCTTGTCTTGCTTGCAAGTCACCCAGGGAATATTTTTGGATGCATGGATAGATAAATACATACATAGATATAATAAATATAGTTCCATCCACAGGAGCCAACTCCTAGGGGCCGAGGGGTCTTCAGCCCACCCAATGAAATATTGCATGCCACTGAGTTGTACACCTCCGGGGCATGCAAGACAGCGCCACATGTTCACATACTGCAGCATGCAGGTGGAATGGTGTCAAAACTTCCAAGTGGTGGGTCAGATGTAGCCCTTCAAGCCTCTCTGTCTGGCCCTTGGGACTCTTCCCATGCCCCCCTCTCCCCAGAACACACCTCTCTGCAGCCTGTGCCTTTGGACCAGGGGTGCCAACTTGGACCCCAGGCTATGGGTGCCCAATGGCACCTGCGACATAACGTGACGTCACGATGTCACGTTACATCAGCATGCTGCAGCGGTGCTTCTGAGGCCTAGCAGGGCCTCGGACGTGCTCTCCAAGGCCTTGTGGGGCCTCGAAGATCATGGCCAAGGCCTCACGAGACCTCTGACATGACTTCCGGTATAAACTGGAAGTCCCCCCCCCCCGAAGGCCTGGCAGGGGCTAGGACGTCACCTCGGGGGTTGTGTCAGGCCTCCAACATGACTTGGTGGAAACTGGAAGTCACATCAGAGCCCGCGCTGTGGGTGCCGAGCACCCACAAATTAGTTTTGTGGGTGTCTGGGTCCCCAGGGGCCCCTATAGTTGGTGCCTGTGCTTTGGATGGTGATAATAATCTCTTGCTATCCTGGGCGTGAGATGTGCGCATGTGCAGAAACCTCTGGCTTTTGCACAGCTGGATTGTGGCCTGCTGTACAGACGTCAAGAGTCACAGTTGTTGCTCCACTCACCCCTGTCTTGTGCTCTCACCATCACCAAAAAAGAGGAAATGTCCTATAAGGGAATGCAGCTCCTGGACTGGAAAAAAGTTCCCCACCGCTGCTCTAACTCATGCTTGTTTCAACCAGACCCAGAACATACGACACCCCCATTTATTTATTTTTGCTCATATGGAAAGGGTGCAATCTTGCCAAGCATTCTTGCTATGTAACAACATTTTGTGTGGTTTGCAATGGAGCAGTGCTCTGTGGGTTGTGTTCAAATTAATAGCCTTGTTTAGCTTGAAAGATGAGCTCGTCTTCTTCTTGTAAGTGATCACTGTGAAAGGTTTACAAAGCAGTTCTTGATTTACAATGTGCTTTCCAGTCTTCTTCTTCTTTTGAGGTTGATAACACACACTAAGAAATCAGGTTGCATCTCTGTCAGGTACAGCAAACCCAAAGCTCTTTCTTCAGGTCCCAGGACCTGAATCCAAATTGCCCTGATCTGAGAGCCAGGCCCACTCTACACAAATCTATTGTAAAACAGAAAATTCCAAAAGGATTGCATTGATTTTTGGCAACCCTTCGGAAGACAACAAGGACCATGAAGCATGGACAGAGCTGACGTTCATACTGGTTCAGCTTTTTAGCTGTAGTCTTCTAGTTGCAAATTAATGGTTAACAATTGCCCTCTATGCAGCAAAACATCCCGTGCAATTGCAAATGGCTGTTAGAACCATATAAGACCACCCCTAAAAGTTAACCAGATGGAACAAAGCACCTCGACACAAGATAAAAATAGTTTACTACGTAAATGGTTTGATAAACAATCTGCTGATAAATGCAAAATCCAGTCAAGATAGTTGTTGCATATTACCAGATGGTAAAACCAATGGTAATAATTTACCATCCATTGATTAGCATAATCTGTTGGTTATGCAGACTTCTGTTCAGTCTACAAATATTTCAGAGCCAGCTGCCATTAGTCTGGACAAATTTCTGCCCTGGTGTTATCTGCTGCAACGCCCTGCAATGCAGTTGCTGTTTTCACAACATTCAAAAGAAAAGTCAAATAGTTCTCTTTTTTTCTTCAAAAAAAAAGTCCGCCAAGATCTTCTTCAGTTTAGACTGTCAAACCCAATGCCCTGCAGCCAGTGGTAGATTGGAATTATATAAGAAAAGGGTGTGTTATAGTTTTCCTCAGGCTGAAAGCAAGTCTTCACCTCTTTTTAAGGTGAACAAGTCAACTTGGATGAGAGCTGTGTTCTTGAATTTGCAGTGATCTGCTCTGTGTTTCTTGGAGATGCTGGTATTAATTAAAACGGTTAACCGAAGCATCAACATTTGTCAACCTTGGCTTCCCAAAGGAAGTAAATTGTCACCAATTTTACCTGCCTTTAGGATTTCCAAGAGAAAGCCTGTTATTAATGGGCATTAACAACACTGGTGGCCTACTAATTACACTGTTCATTAAATAGCCTTTAAGTTATGTGTTGTTGAGGTTTTTTTAAAAAAAGTTGCTGCAAGCAGAAACCTGGGCTCAAAAGGCTTGTTTCTACTTAATAACAGAAAAGGGGGGGGGGGGAGAGAGCAATTTCAACAGTGGAGATGGGGAGTTGGAATAGTTAGGTCAGTGGTGAGGAAATTCCTCACCCAATGGTGAGGAAATCAGCCTTGGTCTGGAACCTGGGGTCCATGGGCCAAATTAAGTGTGGGGGAAATCTTAATTAAAATAATAATAATTTCAATTAAATGTTAATTGTTACGTATTGGGGGAAAAATGAGACGCTGAACATCCCCCTTTACCCAGCCTGAAGGCATAGTTCAGATCTAAATAATAGTAGTAAAGTTCATATGAGCACTGGAGAGTCCAAAATTTGGTGATGTCAATACAAAGGAAGTTGTTAAAACAACCATATATTATGGGATGTGGAAAGTACAGCTTGTCCGCTAGAGTCTTTGTTCCAGTCTACCATAAAGAGGGTTTTCCCCCTCTCTAGCCACACAAAGTTTTTGCATCAGTTTCTCAGAAAGCACTGTACCCCCAAATTACATTATACCATCTTTTGTACATTTAAAAAACCATTTGCTTCTTTCCATTTTCTAGCTATCAGTATTCCTGCTGCCATTAACGAGTAACCAATTAAACGTTTATAAAATAACCTTTGGTTGCCTGCACTGAGACAGGGTTTGTAAGGCCATATTCCCTAAACACCTGCTCTCTTGCTCCACATATACATGGCATAAGCTGAGAATCAGCACCAGCTTTAGTGCTGGTGGAAATGGACTATGCTAACCGATAGTCCAAAGACAGATAGGGTTACAGGAGGGAGATTGTGGGGCGGGGGAGACCTTCTCTGTCTTCAGAGACTGATTTTGACTGAGTTCTTGTGTTGTCAAGAAGACCTAATAATAATAATAATAATAATAATAATAATAATAATAATAATAATAATTTATTATTATTTGTACCCCACCCATCTGGCTGGGCTTCCCCAGCCACTCTGGGCAGCTTCCAAAAAAAATATTAAAATACTGTAATACATCAAACATTAAAAGCTTCCCTAAACAGGGCTGCCTTCAGATGTCTTCTAAAAGTCTGGTAGTTGTTGTTCTCTTTGACATCTGGTGGGAGGGCGTTCCACAGGGAGGGCGCCACTACCAAGAAGGCCCTCTGCCTGGTTCACTGTAACTTGGCTTCTTGCAGTGAGGGAACCACCAGAAGGCCCTTGGAGTTGGACCTCAGTGTCCGGGTTGAATGATGGGGGTGGAGACACTCCTTCAGGTATACAGGACCGAGGCCGTTTAGGGCTTTAAAGGTCAGCACCAACACTTTGAATTGTGCTTGGAAACATACTGGGACCTTGTTTGCTTTTGCCTCTCCCCCAGTATCTTTCTATTGTATTTATTTGTTTATCCTTTCCAATATTTATAGGACACTTTTTGCTACAGTTTACACAACATTCAGTCAAGCAACTCATCAAGCAAACAAATGCTGTGTTTTAAACAAAACAAAACCCACAGGGGCCCCCCAAAATCCCGTAAGTTTCATAAATAGGCAAAATAAGACTTCCAATGCCAGATGAAATAGAAAGGTCTTTTTCAAAGACCTGAAGTTTGACAGGGAGGTGGGCCTTTCTGGGGAGTTTTACACAGTGGGGTTTCCACAGGGTTGGGCTCACAAGACTGAATGTCTGGCTCCTGAGGGATTTGAGGCATGCATCTGAGCCATGAGGGACTGCAAACAGAGACACACACCCCAGAGATCTTTGTGATCAGGTAGGGTTTATAAGGTATCAGATGGTCCTTAAGGGTATCATGGACCCAGGTTGTTAAGGGCCTTACAAATAAATACAAGAAACTTGAATCTGGCATGGCAGTGTATGGGCAGCCATTGCAAACTTTTAAGCACCAGAATTGAGACTTAACTGTGTGCTTGTGTTCTTCTGGGAAACCTTGCCGTTTTTGTGTCTGACTCATGATGAAGTAGCTTTGTATGTTCTTTCACCTTTCTCACTTGGTCCTGAGGGTGAGGATTTTCCTCAGCAGGATGTGAGTCATACTCTTCACCTTCTTCTTCCGGACTTAAAAATCGTAGCCAGCAGGGCTGTGGTGGTAGATAATCACACTTTTCTTCTTTGCAATTTTCTCATCACGTAGAGCATGCTTCTTGCCCTTGCTGCAACTTTTCTGTGTGCAGTCTCAAAAGAGAAGGGACTGGGGCATGCAGAATGCTCATACGAGGAAGAAACTGTTTAGTGCAGGTCTTGAAAGCAAAACAGCAATGAAGAAAAGCAATTGCTATAAATGACAGCAAATTGGCCGTAGATCATCCAAAGCTTAGCTGATTCACTTGATCTGAGAAACATGGTTTTATGTGTTCTGTTAGCAGAACATTGAAGGGAACCCCTTTCAAAGCTTGACTTGTCTGCCAAGGACCCAACACCCCTACCGTCACCACACATGAGCCATGCACTGTGGAGGCTTCCTAGTGAAGCCACATAACCCCAGGGTTCTTGTGGGAGCACTGGCTCAGGTGTGTTGGGCCTCCTCATTATCTCACATGACTTGGAGAGTCCATCCTAGGCTCAGGGATGGAGAAGCTGTGGTCCTCCAGGTGTTGTTGGACTTCAACTCCCATCATCACTGGCCACTGGCCATACTGGCTGGTGGCTGTTGGGAGTTGGAGTCCAGCAGCAACTGGAGGGCCATAGGTGGAAAGGGGAAATCAGTATTTGCTGGTGGGCTAGTTGTCTTTCTGTGAAGGAGTCTGTCCTGATTGGAAACTTTGGTGATGAAGGGGTATCTAGATAGATGAAATAATAAATGCTCGGTCTCCTCTTTGAGGCATCTTGGTAAACTTTTGATGAATCCCAGAGTTCCACAGAGCACAATTTGAAAACAATGGGATTGGCTAGGAGACTGAGTATTACAGAAATAGTAATGTTTGAATTATGGTGCTGGAGGAGACTCTTGAGAGTCCCATGGACTGCAAGAAGATCAAACCTATCCATTCTTAAGGAAATCAGCCCTGAGTGCTCACTGGAAGGACAGATCGTGAAACTGAGGCTCCAATACTTTGGCCACCTCATGAGAAGAGAAGACTCCCTGGAAAAGACCCTGATGTTGGGAAAGATGGAGGGCACAAGGAGAAGGGGATGACAGAGGACGAGATGGTTGGATAGTGTTCTCGAAGCTACCAGCATGAGTTTGACCAAACTGCAGGAGGCAGTGGAAGACAGGAGTGCCTGGCGTGCTCTGGTCCATTGGGTCACAAAGAGTCGGACACGACTAAACGACTTAACAACAACAACAATGTTTGAAGGCTAGCTCACTTTAGGCCCTGTGTACAATGTCTTGATTGCCTACAGTAACAGGCAATAGGAAAGTTGTAGACAGCAATATGGTCTCTGGGATCAATGGGAAAGGATAGAGAGATCATTCTCTTCTGTTACAATGGAAATGCCACCTTTAATCTCTGAATCCCTTCCCTTAGTTGTTGGAAGAGAGTCTTAATTGGCTGTCATGCAGCTTGACTCCCATTGCCAGCCTTCTTCTTGCAGAACCGTGATAAGCTTTTGCAGTGTACTGTATTTGTGTTTCTCGGAACACAGTTTGCAAACTACTGGTATAAAGGCTTACAAAAGACTAGTGTTGTTCGTCTCTGGCCTAACGTCTGAGATGGATTGAAAAAGAGCCCATTTTGCAAGAAATCAAGAAGTGGTTGTCTATAAACAGCTGTTCCTTTTGTACCAGGCACCGTGCTGTTTGGAGATGTTGGAGGTTAAAATCATTGTGGCGAAAATTGTATAAATGTGTGAAATGGCCACAACACACGCCCCACTCAGTTTCCATCCAAGTAGCTTGAATAATACTTAGATGTTCTACTTGCCCATCGTGTGTTAGATGCAATCACGACACAGCTTGTAAATAGCCACTTGCCTGTAGCAAGTAAGGTGAGCAAATAGCATTTTTCTTTGTAAACTGGTTGAGAATGAGTTCCTCTACCTGTCCCCATTTCACAGATTGCTGAAGTGCCACAGATAGCTTCCATACAGTATAGGAAGCTGCCTTATACTGAGTCACACCGTTGGTCCATCTAGCTCAGTATTACAGTGGTACCTCTGGTTACGTACTTAATTCGTTCCGGAGGTCCGTTCTTAACCTGAAACTGTTCTTAACCTGAAGCACCACTTCAGTGAATGGGGCCTCCCACTGCTGCCGTGCCGCCTGAGCACGATTTCTGTTCTCATCCTGAAGCAAAGTTCTTAACCCGAGGTACTATTTCTGGGTTAGTGGAGTCTGTAACCTGAAGCGTATGTAACCTGAAGCGTATATAACCCGAGGTACCACTGTATCTGAGAACATAAGGGGAGTCCTGCTAGACCAAACTCAAAGCCTATCTGCTCCAGCATCCTCTTTTCCACATTTCACTATTGGGGCAAATATTCTGCCAAGTAACTTTAACTTAACACAATGTTAGATATAACCCTTAGTCTGTAAGGTGTGAGTTAAGGTCACTTTGCTTAGAAATGCAGATCACGAAAAATTCTCATCCATCCATAATGCTGTCTCTAATACCCTGTGAATTTGCATAATCTTATACCCCATATTTTTTTCTAATCCCATCTTTTCTCAATTGATAACCAACATCTTATCCTTCTGGTAGTGAATTGTATCATTTTAACGATGCTTCCTTTTCTGTCTGTCCTGAATTTTCTACAATTCATCATCATTGGATAACTGGATTCTAGTAATATAAGAGAGTGAGAAGAACCTTTTTGTATCCACTTTCTCCACACAGTTTGGATTTTATACACTTTACTCGCCTTTTGGGACGCAGGTGGCGTTGTGGGTTAAACCACAGAGCCTAGGACTTGCCCATCAGAAGGTCGGCAGTTCGAATCCCTGCGATGGGGTCAGCTCCCGTTGCTCGGTCCCTGCTCCTGCCAACCTAGCAGTTCGAAAGCACATCAAAGTGCAAGTAGATAAATAGGTACCGCTCCGGCGGGAAGGTAAACGGCGTTTCCGTGTGCTACTCTGATTCGCCAGAAGTGGCTTAGTCATGCTGGCCACATGACCTGGAAGCTGTACGCCGGCTCCCTTGGCCAATAAAGCGAGATGAGCGCCGCAACCCCAGAGTCAGCCACAACTGGACCTAATGGTCAGGGGTCCCTTTACCTTTACTCGCCTTTTATCTAAACGAAAATGCCCCTTTCTCAAAGGGGAGTTGGTGCTGACCCCATATCGTTTGAGCTTGGATTGCCCTGGTCCAACATCCTAAGCACTGTAGCATTCTGGTTTGCACTGGTATGCATTGCTAGTGAGACTATTAAAAATGCACGCAGATCCTTTTGACTTATGCATGTCTTTTTGACCTTTTTGCAAGATAGCAGTAACAACTTAATTTGGAATCCTGAAGGGAAAGGAGCTGAATTTCTTTTTTTATTGTTAGGATCTCTTTGCATATGGCACATTTAATTTCCTTGCTCCAGACAGTGTCTGCTGCCAAAGGGATTAAGCGAAATGCTCATAACCCTGCTTGCTCATGGTACAAATGCATGGGGTGCCCTTGTGTCTGGAATGGATGGAGAAAATTGCTCTGCGGTTAAGCAGTTTAAAAAAGAAATGCAGACCTGTATGAAGTCTCCCCACCCCCCTTTGTAGCAGTCCAGTTTTCTTCCTTCCATCCTTGCGCTTTGGTGGTTTTCTATGATTGTGTGAACCTGCCCCACAGGTGGTCTTTGTCCACCTGTATTTGCTTTCATTCAGGCTTGGTTGGATCCCATCATCTCTCCTCCTAAAACTTTTTATCTCCAGGGGCCTCATTCAAATGCTCAGTTGTATATACCTCCATCTGTCATCAATCCCCTTCCCAACCTACACAGGACAAACAGGTTAATCTTTGCACAGAAGAACAAACAGAACATAAACCTACCATAAAAATGGCTTCGGCAAAGGAACCTTGTGAAGGAGATTGCTGCATTAAGTTGATAACAAGTTATATTCCGCTTGCTTAGGACTCAATTGCTGCCAATTTCTCACTCAAATAGCATAGCAAAGTTAGGAGGACTGTGGTATCACCAATCCCTTCTGTTGTGCTTTAACTTAGTGGGCTAGTGACCCTGGGCCCTCAGCCTAATTTTGTGTGGCCCTCTGCAAGTGATAAATTTAGACCTGTGCTGTGTGGCAGTGGAGGGAAGCTGAAAAGACCAGAGATGGGAAGGAAAGCACTTGGTGGGTGTTGGTGAATGGGGTGGTGCAGAGAAAGATCTATGCCTTACCACAGGACTCTGAATTCCACCCCTTTGGGGGCCACACTGTGTTCCACATTGCGAGAAGTGAGGTTACAGGGAACCAGACAGAGGGCCTTCTCGGTAGTGGCGCCCGCCCTGTGGAACACCCTCCCTTCAGATGTGAAGGAAATAAGCAGCTATCTTCTCTTTAAAAGACATCTGAAGGCAGCCCTGTTTAGGGAAGTTTTTAATATTTAATGCTGTATTGTTTTTAACACTTGATTGGAAGCTGCCCAGAGTGGCTGGGGAAACTCAGCCAGATGGGCGGGGTATAAATAAATTCTTATTATTATTATGATTCCACCATCACTGATTTTGTCTAACATCAGATGTGGCCCCCAACTAATTTTTCAAATCATTCAGTGGTCCTTCATAGGAAAAAGGTTCTCCATCCCTGCTAAGTTTCCCAGCATTGGACAGAATTGCCATATCCTTTTGGTCCCACAATTTATATCCCCCCCTTCTGCCCCCTTTTCGTGTGTGTATGCCAACTTCCTGCATTTGAGGCGGACTTTTGTACACAAGAGCCAACTTTTATTCTTACTGCTAGGTGGGAAATAAGCATCTTTTCCACAATGTTGGATGGTTTTTCCAGAGACGAAAGGAAGGCTGCAATCCTATGCATCCTTTTTTTGGCGGGAGTGGGAGAGAAGGTCCCACTGAATAAAGTAAGGCTTCTTTCCAGGTGAAGATGCAGAGGATTGGGCTGTTAATCTTCCAGTTCTGTCAGTCTTCCAGTTCTGTCCCTTTCTCTGAACGTTTTGGGATGGAAGTCTAGACGAAGAAGGTGAAGGATTTCCCTCTGAACACAAGAAGCTGGAAACATTTCAGTGGGAGAGGTGGATGCTTCAATACTGTAGCAAGTTGGCAGCTTTTCCAAAGCAGTTGCGAATTTTAATTCTTCCGAAGTGAAAGCTTTACATGGGTGTAACTCTTTAAACTTATTGGAAGCCAAACCTCTCATTTCCCGATGATAAAACAAAGGAGAGAAGTCTCTATATTTCATTTCTTCTTTCGTGGGAGACGGGGATTCTGTCAAAATAGCCAACTTCATGGGTAAACAAAACAGAGACTGTTGGGTTTTCGGTCTTCTTAGAAGTGAAATGGTTGAAATTCTTCAAACGTTCAAGCCTGACAAGTCACCTTGGTGAAAATTGGGCAGTGACTTGCTTTGCCAGCTGTGAAGTGGCAATTCTTGGTAACCATCGTGACTAAAAAACAAAAAAACTTATCTACGGTCTAAGACTCACTTTTTGCTTAACACTATCCTTTTGTTCTTGGTTTAAGTACAGGGCCAAGCCACAGAGGTTGATTGTGTATGTCTCTTCAGAGAAAACAACCCTGTGAATTAATACATATGGAAAAGTTACATTGCAGTGAGCTGTCCTGGGTAACCTTTGCCGAAGCAATGCCAGCAGTGGGGATCTTGTAATCTTCGAGTTGGGCAGAGAAGTGGAGAGTCTTCTGCATAAGGACTGTTAGCTTGTGTTGGATTTGCAGAGATATTGCGTTGGATTTGCAGAGATCCACATGTTTGGTTCACCTTGGTAGCCAGCCATTATTTGTGGTTGCCTCTGCCTCCTCCCTTCTCAGGTCCTGTTGAGCATGCAGATGACTTGGGAAATAAGCATTTTCTGTGTGCTCCTTGGCTAAGCATTTAGGAACACTGAATACACAAGGTGCTTCGGTTTCTAGAGAATAGTGTGCAGTTCTGTTACATACAAGGAAAACTTCAAGGGAAACACAAATAAGTCACTCCAGAAGATGACATTGGAGCACTCCAAATCCTTTTCCGAGGGACGTGCTCAGAAATTAGTAGATATAGCTGAAAGGCTGCACATGGAGATCTGCAGTGATCATTCAGTGCACATGCGTATAATCTTAGAAAGTTGTATGATCTTAGAAGGGGTGTTGCTGTGACTGTCATGAAGGGATACTGTAGTTCTGAATTTACTACAACATTAGTGCAGATGGAGAGAGCTTGACAATACACACACACACACACACACACACACACACACGTACCTTGGTTCCCAAATGCAATCCGTTCTGGAAGTCTGTTTGACTTCCAAAACATTCACAAACCAAGGAGTGGCTTCTGATTGGCTGATTGGCCCCGGAAACAATGCTGACAGCTGGAACAGACGTTCGGCTTCCAAAAAACGTTCGCAAACCCGGAACACTTACTTCCAGGTTTGCGGCGTTTGGGAGACAAGCCGTTCAGGTGCCAATCCGTTCGGTACCAAGGTACCGCTGTATGCTTTTTAAAGGTCATGTTAATGAAGAACTATTGTGCTTCGCGGAAATGCAAATTTAGCTGACATATCTGTCTAGAAATATGTGTTGCTGTGTGTGTTCTCCCCTCCCCGCCCCCCAATAACCCACAGCATATGGACCAAACCAGAACTAGTCGGCTCCTCCTATCATTGGCTCTGGTTCTGCCACTCATTTGCTTTGGCTACATCAACAGTTGGCCCCTCTGCCTGCTGCCCTACCAGGCCAAATGGGCCCCAGCCTCTGCTGAATGGGACTCACTCCTTCTATAAAGGGACCTTCAAATGTACCACTTAACCTCTCCCTACTCTGCCAAAAGCGGCATTCCAGCTCCTGCTGTACAGAAAACCTGTGTCAGGGAAATATATATATATATTTCCTCTTGGCTTATATAGAGCGATTTTAATGTCTTGAAGAAAGGAAAAATTAAGCTGCCAGCTGTTTCCTTGTGCAAATGGGTTATTCTAGTCCCCGAGTGCACGTCTCGCTTCCCTGGTCTTATTCTGGTCTGTGAATCACCAGCAGGCAGAGTGGTAATTTTGGAAGACCAGCAGACACAGCAAACTGCCACTTTGGCTTTGGGGACTTGCCCGCAGCCCAGCTGTATGTGAAAAGGATGAATTAAAGACAGGAATAGAAGTAAAGTGCTTCTTCCCCTTCCCCCAACCCAGAAAAAAACATATAATCTTCCATATTGCCGACTTCGGCTGCTTTGAAGAAGTTGGGGGGTGGGGGAGAGCAATAGAGATTGCTTGGGTATGTAAAAGGTAAACATTAAGAAACCCTCAAGCTTTTAATGGTTTGTCCAGTAATAGAAATAAATGATGAGTCTAAAAGCCACAAGTGGCTTAGTACAGAATATATGCGTAAATCTTTGACTGTTTGGAACGAAGTGGATGGGCAAAATCTTGCAGAATGTCACAAGTTATTCCTAGTGCCTGCATCATTGCCCCTACCCATCATCATCGGATGTGGTGGAGCTGGAGCTCCTGCTTTAGATGCTCTCAAATGGAAAGGAGTAGTGTTGTTATTGTTCAAGCAGTACCTTGTTGGAGTTGGAGTGTGAGCTAAAAGCCAAGACACTGGCTATAAGCCTTGCACTGGGCTATGCACTGCCTCTACGGTTTGAACCAGTAATGCTTCTGGATAGCATTTGCTGGGAACCACAGGAGGGAGAAGTGCTCTTGTGCTCAGGTCCTGCTTGTGGGTTTCCCACCAGTGGCTGGGTGGCTACTATGAGAACAGGACGCGATGGGCCACTGGTCTGGTCCCGTAGCCTCTTTCTACATTTTTAGAATGGCTTAGCCTTTCCTTCTTCTTTAAATCTCAGTGCTGCAAAAGCAGACAGCAGTCGCTCAAAAGGACACTGGGCCACCAACTGGAGAGGTAATTCCTTAACAGTTCTCAGCACCTTTAACAGCACCCCATGATTCTTTGGGGGAACCCATGGTGGTTTTAACTAGTATAATAGCACTTAAATGTATGGTGTTAATGTAGTCCGGTGTCTCCCAAACGTGGGTCACCAGCTGTTTTTGGACTACAACTCCCATCATCCCTTGATAGCAGGACCAATGGTCAGGGATGATGGGAATTGTAGTTCAAAAACAGCTGGAGACCCAAGTTTGGGAAACACTGAAGGAGCCAATATTGGGGTGTCATAGGCCTGATGTAGACTCTTCATTATGAAGGAGGCCTTTGGGGGAAATTCCAGTCAAGAGTTCTAAGGTGGTGGGAGCCACTGAACTTTTCCATTCTCCTAATCCTGGGAAGTGTCCAATCTTTGACCTTTGTGGGGCTGCAGGAGCTTTCTTCCTTCTGTCCCCATCCAGGAAGCATGTTTCCTGAATGAGTTGTCCCCAAGTAAGATATGAGAGTATCTTTTGCCCTCAAGGAACATAATTTTGAAACATGTCTGGCAGCTCTCAAATAAGTTGCTATTTCTGAGCACCACTCTGAGGAGGTTTTCTCTCCCTCCCTTTTTCTTGTTTTTCCTCTCTTTTTCTTGCTAAGTCAGGCCAAATGACATTCTGGTCAAGCACTAACTCTGCCACAATGTCCAGTCAGAGCCAACTGGACATTGGCAAGCAGGGCACAGAGGTCATAGTCTTTATCTGGTCCTTGTCAGAGCAATGTCCTTGTGAAATTAACTCTGTTTTTGCCCCACTGTACAATGGAAGATGAAGACAGGAGTGCCTGGCGTGCTCTGGTCCATGGGGTCACGAAGAGTCGGACACGACTAAACGACTAAACAACAACAACAATGGAAGATGGTGCAAATGTACTTCTATTGTGTCATTAGGGCTGACGACAACAACAACAACAACACCTCCACCCTGGCAGCCACAGCCTCAGTACTTGGCAGATGCTTCCCAGCTTGAAATAAAGGTGCCATTATGCTCATCACCTGTATAGCCACTTCTTCCAAATTGGGTAGCCTACTGGATGTTCTCTTTTGTCTTGCATCCATTTATAAGACACAGATTCAGTGCCCTGGCACATGGTTTGTGGGTGTCTGTGCAGCACCCAGCATTGTGTTGATATTCAATGTTAAGCATCCATCCTACTGTCCTGACTCCCACCCAAAACATGACAGAGGTTCTTACTTGTGAGTAAGACGCAGATAGCTATTCAGGCAAGTAACAGTGCAAGCATAGCAGCAGGAGTCGAGGAACCAAGCAAGAAGCTCAGAACTGTTAGGACAACAGAGATGTCCTAACAAGTTTCCACACCCTTCCTGCCAAGGAAGACTGTTTTTCCTCACGGGAATGTCAGGTTCATAGACACATTGTCTCTCTGGGTGAGTCTGTGCTTATGCTCATGTATGGAGGCTGTGCCCTCCCCTTCTGACACCTGAAGAGCTTCTTCTGCCTCTTGCTCAGTCGTGTCTGGCGGCTGGTCTACACCCTCCTCTGCTCCTGAAGAGGACGAAAACCTCCATCCTTAGTTCCCACAATTGCCCCCACCCTGTCCTTCTGAACTTATTAAGCCATGTCCGATCCTGACGAGACTGGGGGGCTGAAGACTACTTTTAGATAGAAATCCTCATCTTCTCTTCACTGAGGGAACCTTTCTCTGGTTTCTAAGCAGAAAACTTGTGCTAATCATATTTAAATGGGGATACCTGACTATGGAACATAGATCCCCTTCAGAAAAACAGTGCTGCTTTCAACTGTGAATTAATCTTCTTTCAATTTGGAGCCCATATCCTATTTCTTGGGTTATCTATACTAGTTTTTCCATCATGCAACACCCATCAAAATAAATATTTTAAATCCTCTGAAATCTGGAATAGTATGCTTTTTTCTGCTGTCTGGGCAAGAGACCGAACACAGTGACTAAGAAAGCAGCAATCATTTCTTTGAACCTGTTCCAGAGTTGTGTCTCCCTCAGGGTATTAATCTCTGCTTTGTTACTTACTGCTTACCAACTACTTACTTCAGGCCTGATTAGTATCTGATTTGGACTTAAAACACTCTATGGGTGGCTAACTTGCTTTTGCAACCAATTTTTTTTGTGTTAGCATGACTACAGCATTAATATTTCAAGCAGAAGGATAAGATTTGGCGGGGTTAAAAGAAAAAAAAGGGGAGGCACTTTTAAGGTATAGCCTCTAACCCCAAGCAGAGTGAGGTCTAAGTATGACAGGATCTTTTGATTTTAGTTTCTCTCGGTTTCTAATTTTTTCCGATCCTAAATTCAGTTCTTCAACATTTCTACATCAGTTTGCAATTTTTTTTTTAAAAAAAGTCCTCATGAAAATTTAGCTGCTTTTAAATGCAAATTTATCCTAATGCACATATCTTTGTATTCGTTTCCCGCTGATATACACATTTTCTCCTTACACAATGCATGTTTGGATGTTATTTTCACCACATGTGCATTTTTATGCCTATGTTAACCTAGTGTATGCATCGTTGTACAAATTACTTTGTGGGAGAACTGCACTTCAAAATTCAGAGGTGCCAAACTCTGAAGAATGGCTGTGTTTTGTTTTGGAAAGTGTGAAATAAGTGGATTTGCTTAAAAATAGTGAGAATGTAGAGGGGACCTTTTCAAAAACATCTTTGTTTAAATTTATGTGTGTGTTTTTAAAGTTGTCTGATCCCCAGGTTCTTTAAAAATGATGCCGTTTTTTACCAAGCCAGTAAAAAAAGTCATTTTTTAAAAAAAAGTTTTGTAAGATAGTTTGAGGCGAAAAACTTATATCTAAATGTTTTATTAAAATAAACAATCCTCTTTAGCAAAGACCCACCTACAAGTTGTATCAGTCTAAAAATTATCCCTTCTCTTCTCTTAAGTTTGGGGCAACTTCAGACATTAAAGTTACCTTCCATTGATCTTACTGCACTGAATTATCACTATTAATGAAGCCCAGGCTAGATAAGGAACTCTCCAACCCCTACCTCTCTTTCAATCTACTCTCTCTTTCAATCTACAACTGTTGCCATATTGCTTTCAGAGAGGGATAGCTGGCTATCCCAAGGGTCAGTTTCATTCTTATCTGCCCTGAATTACAGGGCTTAATTTGTAGCCAGTGTTGAGATCAAATGGTGAAACTTGAGAAGAGAAACAGATCAATGCAAAGTATTCTGTGGTTTGATTTTATTTTGCTCTTCCTGCATTCAGGGACTTAGTTTGTAGCGTCTGAGATCCAATGTTGATGGCTGCAAAGTGAGGCAATGCGTCAGTTATTCAAAATTTGGCCCATCAGGGTGGAATATCTTCAGGTCATATGAGCTTAAATTGAGCCAGGATGTATCTGGGCTTAGCTCCAGAAACAGTAATTTGTGCAAAGGCTCAGTCCTGAATGTGTGTAGAAATATTAATGCCCCATTGATGTTCTCTCGGATAAGTGTGTACAGGATTGCAGCAGGAGTGCATGCTTTCTACATGGACTTCCTTACTCTCTTTGTAAGTTAAAGTGTAAACCCCATAGATGTCCTTGTTATAAATTAAGCCCTGTCTGAAACTATGTATTATGCATAATATAGGCAGGGCTGTTTGTTACTTACGCTGGACAACTCAGGAGATTGTAACTCATTGATCAGAGTTCATGCTTCGCATGCAAAAAGATTCCCGGTTCAGACATTGCTGTCTGCAGGTGGAGCTGGGGGGAAATGGTCTGAAACCCTAGAAAGTCGCTGCCTGTCAGTGCAGACAGTATTTAGCTGCATGGAGGTGGTCATTTGAGGCATTATAAAGCAGCTTCCTATATTCCATTCACATTACTGGTTTCACATATGTTGTAAATTGATCTTTTCTTCTTATGTAACATGTAACATGCCCTTTCAGTGGGCTACTCCAAGAGCCTATGCAGAGTCCTATGGGTTCCTCATTGCAGGGAGATAACAGAGGCCAACCAGAGAATATTGAGAAGCAAGCAGCTATAAGCTGATCTTTATTGATCTGTTGCAACAGGTGCGCCCTCACACGCAGGAGAGGAAGGGGACCTACACAAAAATGCTATGCAATGGCTTATCAAAGACTCTTGAAGTTCCCATCCTCCAGACTCAAGACCACCCCCAGAAACATCATGCATCCATCAGCAGAAGGGCGTGAACCAAGACCACCCCTCAGATACATCCCATCGCGGACATCACAGAAATTTAAAGTGCTATTTTTCCGCACAAGCAGTTCATCTCCTGTCCAAAAAGTTACTTGATTGGATTATCTGGGGAGCCTAGCCATTCTTCTGTAGTTGCAACTTATACGTTAGTCATGAAGTGCATCTATTAAAAATGAATTTGCAATGTATGTGAAACCAGTAATACAAAAGGAATGTTAAGAGCTGCCTTAGATTGCACAGGGTCATGGGTCCATTTTCAACAGCCTGCATGAAAATGCCGGCCCTAGAACTTGCTGCACAAATAACCACTGTCTGTAAGCGATTTCATGCCATCATCATATGATAGTCATATGCCTGCCTCTGCTCCCGTTTATAAGCAAAGCAATCAGCATCCTTTAAAGGAGTTAACGGATTTACTGGAATTTGTACAAGATTCTTTTTTGGTATGCTTCAAATTAGGTTCTGGTGCTCATTTCTTAGGCTTCATTAAGCTTGTGATCTGACAATGCTGTGGTGCTCACTGCTAGCATTTAAATGAGGCTTACTTTTAATATCCTGATCTATATTTCTTAATATCCTGCAAAGCATTTTTTGGGTAATGCTAATGCCAAACAGCCTACGATGTATCCAAAGGCCTCAAGCTACATTTTTCCTCCCGATTGACACGGCAGATTTCATCTTCGCTAGTCACACTTTGCAGTCGGTATATGTGTCCCTTTGTAGTTAGTGATGTACAACCCATGTTTGCATTACAGTGGTACCTCGGGTTAAGAACTTAATTCATTCTGGAGGTCCATTCTTAACCTGAAACTGTTCTTAACCTGAGGTACCATTTTAGGGGCCTCCCGCTGCCGCACGATTTCTGTTCTCATCCTGAAGCAAAGTTCTTAACCCGAGGCACTATTTCTGGGTTAGCGGAGTCTGTAACCTGAAGCATATGTAACCTGAAGCGTCTGTAACCTGAGGTACCACTGTACATGTTCAGGGTTAAGAACTGACAGAAAGAATATTATTATTTAGGGCAGTGGTTCCCCATTAGCTAAGTGCTGCAAAAGCCAAGCCATGAACCCCCTATTTCTGACAATGCTGATATCTCTGTGGCAGTTTTCGTTAGGTGAATGGTGCCACCATACCTTCCAAAACGTCCCAGTGAAAAACCAGGACATGCGTCTTCCAGGCTGTGCTCTTGCTCAAGAGCACAGCCCCCCAAAACAGGGTGTCCTGGATGGTTGATAGATATATGCCCAGGACCTCTGGGTGGGTTCTGCGGACTCCCTGGTGTCCGCAGACCACCAATTGGGAACCACTGATTTTGAGCATTTGTACCCCACTCCTCAGCCAAAAAGACTTCTGGGGTGAGTTACATACAGTCAATTAAACGATGCCGTCCCTACCCACATGCTTACAATCTAAAACACACACACACACACACACACACACAGGCACAACACAAGAGAAGAGGACAGGGAGGGAAGAGGAAAAGAATCAAACTCAGGCACCAATTCTTAAGCAGTTGTTCTTATAACAACCAGCTGGCACAGCTCAGGGGCAGGAACTACCTGACAGAGCTGGCCTTTTGGCAAAGCTGATGCAATGAGCCCTGCTTCCCATCTGTCCCACTGAGGCAGTCTGATGGAGTGACTGCCTGCAGATGACAGCTGAGGTAGAGGAGGCCTGCTGGAGCTGGTTTTCCACAGAACTGATGCAGCGAGTTCTGCTTCCTATCTCATGCCAATGGGTAGTTCATGTTCCCGATGCCAGATCCCACAGACAAGGTGGCAAAGCTGTTGGGTGAAATAAGGCAGGGTGAGGTTGGAGGAAAGGCAGGGCAGACGTTGGCAGGACCACAGGTGACTCAAGAGTGAGCCATGTGCTCTGACAAGGGTTGGGAACAGACTGTGGCCTTCTCCAGGCTCCACCCCCTAATGGAGAACATTGAGGGCTTAGAGGGCCAACCCTCTGGCCTGAAGATGAGCACTACTTCTCCTGATGCTCTCCTTGCACTGCTGGACTAGTGATGTGTAGTAGGAGCCATCTTTTTCCTCAAATTCAGGGGAAGGCCCTTGTCTGGGCTTTTGCCCTGGTAGTCCAGGAGGTTCCTCTGGGGTTTTATGTCTGCCAGCCTCAGTTGCTGTGGCCCCCTGATCTCCATCAGCCAGCTCAGAGTACATGAACTTCATATCTGGCCCCTTAGGAGGTGACTTTGCAGCCTCCGACTCCATGTCTGGATTGCTGCTAGATTCGGGAGTCATAACGCAATGTTGCTTTGGTCATTTTTTAATAGAAAGGTGGTATAAGCTTTAAAAGTAACAGACAAAATGGATTCTGGAATCCCCCCACTTGGGGTGAGGTATAGCTGAGCAACAGAGCAGCTCTTCAGCATGCACAAAGTCCCAGGTTTAGTTTCTTGCACCTCCAGTTGAAGCAGGGCTGAGGAGCTTTTTCTGCCCATGGGCCAGATCCTTAGCACCCTACCTTTGCCTGACCAAATTTGACACATGGCTGGGGCAACATGGCGTGGCTCATGATAAGGCAGTTTTGTACATTGAATAGGTGTAGTACCCATTTCGTGGCCAGAGTAGTCGAGCCAGGGTGATGGAGTGGTTAGAATTTAAGACTGGAACCTAGGAGACCAGGGTTCAAATAAAAAAGATGGGATACGTATGTGAAAAAGAAAATTTCGCATGTGAAGGAGAAGTGACAGACAGGGGCTTCTTGTTCATCCTAAGACTCACTGAGAAATTGTGTGGTGGCTAAGAGACCGAGCTATGAAGTGCCTGCTTTGACTCTTACCTCTCTCATGAACTCACTGGGTGGCCTTAGGGAAGCTACTCTGTTGTGTTCTCAGTCATCCTATGTGCAAAATGGGTATGGGTGGGTGTGCGTCATAATATGACAAGCGCTTAGACCACTTAAAAGCTCTATAATGGGGAACGTCAATGTGGTGTCCTCCAGTTGTTTTGGATTACAGTTCCCCTCATTTCCAGCTCTTGGTTATGATGGCAACTGGAGCCTAAAGGCAAAATTTGCAGTTCTTGCTCTGTCCTCTTTTGCATCTGTCCCTTGCACTATACTAACGTAAAGCATTATTATATTTTCATTTTCATTGAAGCAAAGAGAAATGTGTGGCTTTCTGCCTTTCCCTTTCCAAAATGTTTGCTTTGCTTTGTTTGTTTTTTATTTAGAACATTGCTCAGACCTACTTTTTAGAAACAATAACCCCAGACTTCAGGTGACTCATCGGAGGAGAAAAGCAGGTTGTGAACATCTGTGTTTGGTCTGGCGGGATTTTATTTTATATTGGCCCACTTTTATTGTTCCTGTAAAGCCAGCTTGGGGAAGCGGCTGTAAGTAGATTTACAGTCGTTAGTTGTGGTGTATCATGTTCAGTTACGAAGTGAAGATAAATTAATATCCATTGCACACAGCGCATGGCAAGTTGCCATTTATGACCCTCTGCAGGTTCTGGGCACCGTTATGTATTTATTCTTTTATCAGGGACCTTTTACTAAAAAGAAAAGAGAGGAAAGATCTAGTCAGCGTCCCAACAGTTTTAACAAGCAATCGCAACAAAATTTTTATGGAAAAGGCCATAGTGCAGTAGTAGCACATCTGCTTTGCAAACATGAGCTTGATGGGCCTGTGGTCTGAAGGAATCATGTGGGAAAGGTCCAAACTCAGTGGTAGAGATCTACGGATGAAGGGCAGTATACTACCACCACTACTACTAATAATACCTGCTTGCATAAAGTTCCAGGTACAATCCACAACAACTCCAGGTAGAGATGGGAGAGACTTCTGCCAGAAACCCTGGAGAGCAGCTGCCAGTGTTCTGGTCATGAATAATGTGCATTTCTCCATTTTCACCCTAAACCAGGGGTTGTTCCTGTCTTTATACCCCCTTCCCCCAATTTTGCTTCCACACTTTTTAAAACAAGCAATTTTTCTGTGGAGATTTCGAATTCCAAGCTATCTTGATGCCATATAAAAATTACAATTTTCACCCATCTTCCAGTTGAAGCCGGAAACCTGCTATGCCTTTGCATTGTTGCTATAAGGCCAGCCGTGCTCTGAATGAAAGATCTCACTGGGCAGGTGGCAGCAAAGTGTGTGACTTCTTGCAATGCAAAGGATGTTTCCCGGATAATGAGGAAGCTTGTGTGGTTTCTGTATTGCCGTTCTCTGCTGTTGTCAGACAATGGTTTTTTGGCAGGACTCATGTGTGGCCCTTTAAATGCACACCCCAGAATGCAGCCCAGATGCATGTGATTGAATTGGTAGCGCATGTCAATGCTGGTAATGGAGCACCACACAAACAATCTCTTTTTTTAAAAAAAAAAAATTTATTGATAATTTCAAAATTACAAGAAAAATAAAAAATGACAAACAACGCTACAATACAAAAAAGAAGAAAGAAGAAGAAGACAATAAAAAAGGAGAAAAGCACAAAATGAGAAAACCAATACGACAATACAGCAATAAAAAAGTAAAAAAGAAGAAAAAAGAGGGGGAAAAAACACAAATCCCAAATTGCATATCCATAATTTCCATTTGCTTGTTTCATTGACCTCCTCACACCTCCGTTTTTGTATTCTAGTTTAGTAATTATTTCAGCAAATTCTTTCCATCTTTCTCAATTTTTGTTATAAAATTTGTCTTAACAATTTAACCTAGTAATTAGCTCAACAAATCCTTACCATCTTTCCCCACACAAACAATCTCCAGAATACGAAGGCCTTGAACTATATCCCCATCCCTATCCTCAGATATAGACATGGATATATCTGGTTCCAAATGTCTGGATATGGAAAGTTAGCTAGATTGGTGTAAACTGTGCAAGCCTTCGGGCTACTCAGAATTCTGTATTAGATCAAATGGGAAAGCAACTCGTTTTTAGGTTGTGTAGGCACTTTAATAGACAGAGTGTATTGTGGTTGTACACATCATAGAAGGTAAATAAAAGGTAAAGGGACCCCTGACCATTAGGTCCAGTCGTGACCGACTCTAGGGTTGCGGCACTCATCTGGCTTTATTGGCCGAGGGAGCCGGCGTACAGCATCCAGGTCATGTGGCCAGCATGACTAAGCCACTTCTGGCGAACCAGAGCAGCACACGGAAACACCGTTTACCTTCCCGCCGGAGCGGTACCTATTTATCTACTTGCACTTTGATGTGCTTTCGAACTGCTAGGTTGGCAGGAGCAGGGACCAAGCAACGGGAGCTCACCCCGTCACGGGGATTCGAACCACCAACCTTCTGATCAGCAAGTCCTAGGCTCTGTGGTTTAACCCACAGCGCCACCCAAAGCATTTTGTTGGACCCATTTAGTTACCATAGGCAATATTCAATTTTTTAAGTTTCACAAAGCTATTGTATCAAACACAGTGTGGTTGTTTGGCAGCTGTGTTTAAAAGTAGGCTGACAATTATCAGTCATTTGTGGCTTTTTCTGACTTCAAGTGTCTGGGTGTGTATGTGTAAGTAAGAAATGGGAACTTTAAAAAAATGTATTCTAAGTCTTTCTCCTTTTAAATCCTGGTGCCAAAAGATAGCTTCTAGCTTGGCACTTGGAGCAGAAGGAAGGATCTTGCTTCTGAAAGATGGTGTAGGGTTTATTTCCCACCCACCCCCCAATGCAAGGGGGAGTGGGGGTGAAAATTCTGTTTTAGTCTAATTAGTTTCCCAGTAAATATAAATCTCACGGCTTTTCTGCTGATTGGACGAGGGGAAAAACATCGCTTCATGAGGTCATTGCGTAATAATGTAAATGAAAGATTAAACTGGAGCCCGTTCAACTTTTCCAATTCACAGCTGGATTTGAAATGCCTTGGGAATTGAGTGACCTTGGGCTTCCCTTACTGTAAAGTTTCTCTTCAGAGAGCTGGCTTCCTTCTTAGAGCTCTCTGTAGCTTCGTCAGGCTCAAGGCACCGCAAGGAAGGACATTCTGGGACCCTTTCACAGGCACCAAGAAGAAGAAAAACATCAGCAGCAGCACTTTATAGCGCACAGTTAAAAGCTGTTTATTCTGCTAGATACAACTTAGTCCTTCCAAACACCACCAAATTTGTGTTTGTGTAATTGGTTGCTGCACAAATTGGTATGTGTGTATATCATAGTCTAAAACCTTTTTCCTATGATATGTATGACAAATCTTTCTGAACCTTGCTCTAATCAGCTATGTCTCCCAGTATTTGAAACTTGTCTTCTGGTGGGTGGAATTGGGGTTGTTGTTGTTGCTGCTGCTGCTATTATTGTTATTGGTTTTCAAATATTATATTGGAGAATCAAAGTAGAAATACAGAGAAGTCACAGAGAACTTTAAAATACAGAACAAAACAAGGGTTCACCATCATTACACTTTAAGGGGGGATACAGAGCTGAGAGCACATAAATAGGGCACATCCTACAGCTAAATCAAGTCTGAGCATGAAAGGAAAGGATGCTAAAACGACAGTAATATAAAGGAACATTTGTTAGAGCATGAACACATATGGTTAATAACAAATGAAATCGTTTTTCGCAGTAATGTGCCATCCATGTAATGGACTTGTCATGTACGCCAGAAACGTACATCCACCAAATGGATGCAAAGTCCATTCTCTTGGCTGTTCCCCTAGTTCTTTGGAGAGAAAATCTTATTTAACCAGATATTTGAAGAAAAACATGAGGCCTCCTTCCACCCTGAGCTATAATGAAATGAGGAGCAACCTACAAGTAAATTGCCAGAAGTTTACACACAAGATCTGCATTAAAATAATCAAAAATAGACAATAGGCACGACGTGAGTCCATGGTGACGGGCATACCACTGTATTCAGCAAATTGTTATCAATATCAAAATAATATTTATTTGTTCATTTCGTTCATGAAGCCTTACTATGGAACATCTGAAAGGGATTTCACAATACAATAAAAGCATATATTAAACAGTTGCATATATTAAAAATGTCAGGAGCCAGAGTCAGGGGCAGGTCAGCCATAAAACACCCGGTGTCAGTGAAATTCAAAGAAACCAAAACAGTGCAGGCTAAGGGATTACACCAACTCTTCCCAGTAGGCCTTGCCCCCAGTGAGGAAGTTGTGATGACTGAAGGTCCCTGCCTTCCCACTGCTCTCTAAGGTTCACCCCCTGGTTCCTTCCCTGGCATCCTAAGGCTCCTTCATCTTGTCTCTCTTTGCTCTGCCCTCTCTATTTCTCTGTGTGTTCTGGGAGACCAGGGAGGAAGGGAGCTGGTCCCAGCAGGAGGGAGAGATTCCCTGGCTTCTTCGGTAGCCTGCCTGCACTCTGCCTCCTGACCCCTTTCTGCTGCCGCTTCTGATTCTGCACTGCTCTCTGCCAAAGACTCTTCCTGCTCACGAAACCCGATTACCTCTTCAGCTTCCAGCGTCTCCTCCCAGTCTGCTCCCTCCTCTCCCTCTGACCACTCATTGTTGTCCCACCACCACTCCCCTGGCTCTGAGCCTTCTTTCCCCCTGGGGGTACCCTTGGGTGCCTCCCCAGCTGGTGCCTCCCACCACTCCTCTGCAGCCAGCCAGTCCATGACAAAATGAAAATAAGATCCAATTCAAAAACCGACTGGGATAAAAGCTACGGTACATTGTGGCCTTACTGATCAGCCCTCATGCAGTCTTCCACTTTGCTCTTACCTCCCGCCACACTCGCGCCTGCTCAAAAAACCCCCACAAATCCTAGAGCAGGTGGGGGCTGGGTTTGCCCTCACTGGCTCCCATTGAGTTCTATAGGGGAAAATGAATGGGCTGCAGTCTGGGAGGCAGCTGAGGACAGGAGGTGTTTCCAAAAACAGCTCCCCGGCACAGCTGCACACATGGATATGGCTCCCAGGACATTTTGAGAATACTCTTTTTGTCAAAGGAACGAGTTTTATACTGCTTGGCAAAAACTGTTCAAAGCAGGCCCTAACCTAAGTAGTTTTTACAGATAAAACACACACACCTGCAAACAGTATAACATTCCCCCCCCCCTTCGCAAATGTCTTCCGTGGAGTACGCTGGGAACCATATTCACCTGTGCAGTTGTGTCTTTGTGTGTGTGTCTTTGCACCAAGAGCTGCTCTTTCCTTGAGTGTCCTGGTCTTTCCATGGGGATGTAGGCTAGCGGTGGGAAGGGGGAGCCCTTTTGGACACTTCCTGGTTTGAAAGGAAAGCAAATGCAGTGTGGGGGTCTAGAAGCCTCAAGCTCAGTGGCCTCAGCTACAGATGGGAGGCTGGGGAAGTGGGTCTCAGGAAAGGCCTGGCTCTCCTTCCCATCAAAATTGGCGGGCCTTTTGGATAGTAAATAAATAAATCAGAGAGAGGAGCACGAATCCACATGCGGTAAGTTAAACCACATGTGCTTATTGGATGCCTTTTTCCACATCTGGACCTAAAGATGACAGTATAGTTTCTTCTTGTCAAATTCCATTACTACATTGTCTCTTATGCAAACACAATAAAAATGAAGATTTTTCTCCCCTCCACCCAACTTAAGTTGCTGTGCCCCAGCATCGCTGACTATCTTTCTCCTTGCTCAGTAGCTTTCCCTTTAACCTACTAGCAGGCTAACCTGAAAACCAGATATGGTTAGCAAGACTTTTGGGTTGGCCTGTGGGGACCCAGTGGCAAATCAATGCCAATTGTTTTATTGCGATTTATCCCCACCCCACACACTATAACCAACAAAATCCAGGTGTTTGCCTGCTAGCAAATCACACACTCTTTATCTGGACATGATACAAACCTGTCGTTGCGCTTTGGCACCAGTCATTTCCCAGGTTGCCTGGGGACTGTGAGTACCGACCCTACCTCCTGACCAAGCAAGGGAGAGAGTCGATATCCTCACCCCATCACTTTTCTTTTAGGCTACCAGTGTGTCACAACTGACTCTGTACCATAGATACGAGCAGTTTATATTGTGCTTCGAAGCAAACCTTTGAAAGTTTGTAAATGTGCTTATCAAAAGCTGCTTTTTAGACACTGCATTCTTTTTAGGAAGAAGGAGTTAAAATATGGAGCTGCAGTATAGGGCTCCTGTTCCAGGGGTATTCTTTGGCTGTCTGCTCATCTCAGTATAAACTGACTTTATTTCCCCACCCCACCCCCAGCAGCTCTCTCCCCCCCCCCATGCACTGAAATGGCAAAAAATTGAAAGCTTGCAAAAGGGGGAGGGGATTTTGCATTGGAAGTGAATGTAACACAAACTTTTCAGTGAAAAGTATTTTGAGCCTGAGCCAAAGGTTCCTACAATGACAATATTCAGTTTCCAGTGAAGGGGAGATACATCCCAGAGAGAGAGAGGGAGAGGCGCTCTGGTGGGTTAAAAGTAAACATTAGGCCAGTGGGTCTCAAACTGTCTCTGGCAATCCTCAAAAGCTTAGGGGTTTCTCAATGAGAAAGGCATATTGCCTACTACAAATGCTGAGCTGAAGTATCTCCTAGGAAGAGGTGTTGAGCTTGCTGGGTAGGCTATGCCTCCCTCATGGAAGAAATTCATGCCATAAATTTAAAGTGTAATTCTGTGCAGTTTCTACTCTGAAATAAGCCGTGCAGAGTTAAGGGAGGCCTGTATGAAATAGCAATTTAATTCATTTCTTCTGTGGCTGTAAACTCTGAAGCCATAATGGTCAGCCATAATGCTGTTGCTGTTGCTTGGCACCATTTTGTTCTAATCGCCCTGCAGTATTGCAGCAACACAAGGCAGCAAGCGGTTCGCCCCACTGCTCAGGCAAAGCGTGGCCTCTTCTTGGTCTTCTTACCCTGAATTGCGGCACAGCAGTGGAAGATGCGAAGTTAGTTCTGCAGAACTTCTCAGTGGCTTTTGACAGTTTTGGCCATGGTATCCTTTGGAGATGGTAGTCCAAAATGAGAGTTATAGGCACTTGTATTGTGCTGGTTTCAGTCGTTCCTGTAAGGCTGCTTCCGGACAGCAGCGCTAGGAGATTATTGTTCAACCCTATATTCTTTAGGTTTTAGGATTTAGGATTAATACTCTCCTACATTTCTCTGATGAAAATAGGGATGAGATGTCCTATTCTATTATTATTATTATTATTATTATTATTATTCCCTGCCCACCTGACTGGGTTGTCCCAGACACTCTGAGCGGCTTCCAACATATATAAGAACATTATTTAATTAAACATTAAAAAAACCTTCCTTATCCTTTAGATGTCTTCTAAAGGTTGTATCATTATTTATCTCCTTGGTTCTGGGAGGGGGGCGGTGTCACATAACTCCATACCCTCCAACATTTCTCTGGTGAAAATAGGGATGTCCTAAGGAAAAGCAGGATCTTATGGGACCAGAAACTGGGATGGCTTCTGTAAATCTAAGACTGTGTCTGGAAAGTAGAGACACTGGAGGGTCTGTGCATCACTATTCCATCTCACTGCCCATGCTATTCAGCATCTACATGAAACTCCTGAGAGTGGTGGTCTGGAGGAGTGGTTTATAAATATGCAGATAGAACATATGAAGAGCCCTTCTGGATCAGACCAAAGACCCATCTGCTTCAACATCCTGTTGTAATAGTAGCCAGCCAAAATACCTATGGGTTGCCTGCAAGAGGGACCTGAGTACAACAGCACTTTCTCCACTTGTGAATCTCGGCAAGCGGTATTCAGAGACATACTGTCTCCAACAGTGGAGAGTGAACATAGCCATCATGGAGAACAAAGCTATCAGTGGGTACTAACCATGAGTCCTATGTTCTGAGGCAGATGAATCATTGTGAAGTCCTTGCATATTCAGCCTTTGAAAACCACCCAACCTGGGAGCAATGAGGAATAGTTTTTCATTGTATCTGTGGGCTCTCTGCAACCTTCTAGGTGGAAACCTACGCTTGGTTGTGCTGATGACCATGAGACTCTATTCTAAACATGCATATCGGAGAAGTGGGTTCCAGCAAATGTGTAGGGCTGGAAAATGCATTGTGCTAGGAGGGAGAGAGGGTCATCCAAAAGTTTGTGGTGTGGAGGTGGAAGGCATTCCACACTGTTGAATGTTTCCTGCTGGACCTGGAAGTGGCCAAATGTGTGTTTGTGGGGTGGTATTAAAAATCAACACCACTCCTTTCAGTAAAAAGAAAATACTTGCGTATATGAAACTGTAAAGGACTAGGCAGGTTTGCATTTTCAGAAAAAAATGTTCTCTTCAAATACAAATGTTAAGCTCTTGGGACATCAGGTATGACTAGGGTGTGTGGGTGTGTGTTCACATATGTGTGCTGAGGAGTGAAGAAAGTGATATAAGTCTCAGAATTCAGCTCTGTGACAAACTCAGTTAAATAAAAAAGCAAGTTTCTAGCACATATGATTTTAAATCTATGAGTTTTACCTACTGAAAATTCAGAGAGAAGTGGCTGGACAGGATTTCCAGGACTTGAGGGGGATGGAGTTCCGCATGATTAGCAAAACCAGATTACTGCATTCACAACTGTAACCCTTTCAGAATGAATTATTTAATTTCTGCAGTTGGCAGAATTCTGGTTTTCTTGGTGCAGAATCTCCAATTCCATGGGCTCTTTCTTGGGAACACATATTGTTTGGACTCAGCAGGCTCTGTTTGCAGCTAAACATGTGTAACATTAATGTGCTGTGTTTTTGATTGATGGTTGAAGCCCAATTCCAATTGTATCAGCAGCAGTTTTCAAGAATGTACAACACTGCAATGGTAGCTCTTCTTCACAACCTTGTAGCTGTTCTCTGGGTTCTGGAAGGAACCACTATTATGCAGAATGACGCTTTGCCGATATTGCATAGTGAGAGGGAGTAGTCCTCTGGGTGGTTGATTTTGTCCCTCTCTCTGTCACTGTCTTACTATCGATGTCCAACCACTAGAGGAGGATGAGATCCCACCCTTTCTCCTCATTCCCCAGATCCTCTTGAACCTTGCATGTGCAAAAAGGAAAGTCCATTCCTGTAGGCTACACTTACCCTTTCTTCCCATGTTGGTCCTGCTCAGTGGTTGACATTAGTCATTCATAAAAAAGCAGGCTAGCTGCAAATAACCCATACCTAACCTTGCAACCCTGTGTTTCATAACATCTAGACTAGACTATTGGTAGCTTGTTAAAATGCAGTTGTGTAATCAACAAAGTGTGTTGGCTTCTATTAATTTCCTGTTGGGGCTGTTCCATACTCTGTTGACTGCTTATTGGATGCAATGCCTCAGGGCTATGGAGGGTTTGGTTTTCTGTTCACGTCCCATCCCCACCACCACTTACTTGCTTTATTTTCTTATGCAAACCATGAATTGCATTTCAAAATAAATCTTAGGCTAAAGTAAAATTTGCACACATAATGCTACTTTTGAAAATAATGAAAGTTTTGCTTCGAGGGATTGTATGGTCCATACAGGCCCTTTCTTGTTTCTTCTCCCACAACTAGCTGGTTTTGTGGGCTGCTGTGGTTATTATTATTATTATTATTATTATTATTATTATTAAATTTTATTAAGGTTTATAGAGAAAAATACAAAACTTAATATCTTCCCCCTTTGTTTAACCAAACCAAGATCACTGATTCATTTTCATATGTTTTTATTTAGTGCCATCAGTGTTACAATGTATTATATTACTGTTATTAATATTGCATGCCCTTTGCCAGCAGATCTCAATTTAAAATTTAAAACAGTTAAAACATAAAGAGGGGGCAGCCTAAAATACATTAGTGTAGGTACCCAGCAAGCCTCCCCAAGAGAGGGTTCCATAGGTTAGGTGCCATCCCCAAAAGACCCCATCCCCTTGTCGCCATTCTCCTTACGTCCCTGAACCACCTGACTCCACCCCTGCCCAGTCCAGACTTGGCCTGACTCCACCCATTGATGCCACGTACTTATCAGTTCACACCCTGGCAACCTTGTCTTCCTGACACTTGATGCATCTCGGCTGTCCTGCCTGGCTGAGCTAGGTGGCTGTGACTTTGCAGGTGTTTGAATTCATTTAGCCATAAATATTTATGCCTGCCGAGCTTAACTTGAGCCCCCATGTTTATCTCCTGCCATCAATATTGTATGGCTTTGAGATGCCTGCACTTCCCATGGCTGTTTCCCGATACCAGTGGAAAGTACTTGATACATCTGAATATAGGACAGAGACTGCGGCTGTTTCTGTTGCTTTGGTATCTGAGACCCCCTCAAGCAGACTCGCCTTTGTTTTCCTCCCAGCCTGTTCCTGGCCCAAGTCATATCATTATCCCCAAAGCCATCCTTTTAAAGGAAGCCATTGGCTTACGTAAGCCAGTGTTTTCCACAATTCTGATAACGGGGCCCATGCTTTAAAAGCAAAGATCTCAACTAAAATTGGAGGCCATTTTTGCCCCTGAAATGTGTGCTTTTAGAATGTTTAAGTAGGAAGCTACCTTAGACCAGGTCAAGGCTACCTAACCAAGTATTGTCTGCTTTGAGATGAGAACAGTAACTCATGCAGAGATTCAACACACAGTCTTATATGGGGACAGGCATTCTAAATAAAGGAACGCACTAGAAATGCCTGTCCCCATATAAGACTGTGTGTTGCATCTCTGCATGAGTTACTGTTCTCATCTCAAAGTAGACAATACTTGGTTAGGTTGCAGCGATCCAGTCACACTTGAAGTTATACGGCAACACACACACACCCCTTAAGCAGCAACAGAGAGGGAGGGGGAGAGAACAGCAGAGACCAGTTAGGAAGAGGCAGAGCACAGAATATTGCAGAGGCCTAGCAGGCAGCCTCCTGGTGGATGGGAGGTGGATAGTTTTATCTCAGCCCACCCACAATTTAGATGAGATTTAGTACAAGGCAAGACTGATAGAGGGGAATTGGTCATATTGAAAGCCCTGCTGGATCCCTGTTTGGAGATGTACAATCTAAAAGACATCACAAAAGGAAAAAGGGGTGAGGAGGAAAGAGGAAAACAAGCTAACTCTCAAGCACTGGTGATTAGTTAGTTAGTTAGTTGGTTTAAGTTACATAGTAATTATTATAATGCCTAGCTTGAATGGAAACAGTGCAGGCATGGCCAATCTTGGCCCTCCAGCTGCTTTTGGACTACAATTCCCATCATCCCTGACCACTGGTCCTGTTAGCTAGGGATGATGGGGGTTGTAGGCCCAAAACAAGCCATGCCTGGTTTAGGGAGAGGAGGAATCCAACAAAGCTATTCTTTTCAGCAGAGCTAGTGGAATGAACCCAACTGTCTCATTGGTGGATTGGCAACTGAAAGGTTCCTTCATAGATGGCTAATTTTTTGGTCAGCTCATTTCACTGTTTTCAGGAAGAAGGACGCATTTTACTGTTGCTCGAGGGCAAGATTTTTTTTAAAAAATCATGATACAGTACTGGATTTAAAAGACCTTTTGCCATGTCATATGCTTCAGAAATATGCCTGGCTTTTTAGTGTAGAAGATAGGACAAAGATGGCTATGAGTAGTAAGAACAGAAGAAGTGCATTGCTGGATCAGACTAACGTACCATCCATCTAGCCCATCATCCTGTTCTCACAGTGGCCAGGAAGATGTCTGTGGGAGCCCGAAAGCAAGACCAGAGCACAAGAGCGCCTCTCCGCTATTGTGTTCCCCGGCAGCTGCTTTTCAGAGACACACTGCCTCCAACAGTGAAGGGAAAACATAGCCATGGTATCTAGGAGCCATTGATCACCTTATTCCACCATGAACTTCCTTTTAGAGTCATCCACGTTGGTGGCCATCACTTCCTCTTGTGATAGTCCATTGTAGTGGCATGTTTACTGCTTTAACTTCTTTTCCTTTTATTGTAATTAAAATATATTTATGTGTACTAGCAGGAAAGGCTTCTTGCATGGTCCCTTGGGAAGACAGTCTCAATGCAATTGGTGGAACAGGTTATGCTAATCTCTGGACTGTAGTATAGTAGATGTTTGCTTCTCACTGGTCTACAATCCATAATCCTCTTAATTCCTTTTGAGTAGCCGCTGATATTGCTAAAACCTATGCTTAAAGAGCAGGGAAGAGCTTATCTTAAAAGCCCTTCTATTCATGTAAGCAAATGTATAGGGTGATTGGCTATTTTATCCATTCTTACATAGTAACATTCTCTCTCCCCTCCCCCTGTTTTCTTAGATGCAGCAGCTATTTTACGAAAACTACGAGCAGAACAAAAAAGGTTACATCAAAGACCTCCGTAATAGCAAGATCCACAGGGCGATCACCTTGCACCCAAACAAGAGCCCGCCCTACCAATACAGGCTCCATAGCTACATGCTTAGTCGCAAAATAGCAGAGCTGCGCTACCGGACCATCCAGCTGCACCGAGAAATCGTCCTCATGAGCAAATACAGCAGTACGGAAGTCCACAGGGACGACCTTCAGTTGGGCATCGCGCCTTCCTTCATGCGGTTTCAGCCGAGGCAACGAGAGGATGTTCTGGAGTGGGAGTTCCTCACAGGGAAGTACCTTTACTCCGCTGCAGATGGGCAGCCACCTCGTCGCGGGATGGACTCCTCTCAGCGCGAGGCGTTGGACGACATTGTGATGCAGGTCATGGAGATGATCAATGCCAACGCCAAGACCAGAGGGCGGATCATAGACTTCAAGGAGATCCAGTACGGCTATCGCAGGGTGAATCCAATGTACGGGGCGGAATACGTTCTCGACTTACTGCTCTTGTACAAGAAGCACAAGGGGAAGAAAATGACGGTTCCTGTCCGCAGGCATGCATACTTGCAACAGACCTTTAGCAAAGTCCAGTTTATGGAACACGACGAAATAGATGCCAAAGAACTGGCCAATAAGATCAACCAGGATTCAGGGTCTTTGTCTTTCCTCTCCAATTCCCTCAAGATGTTTGTCCCATTCCAGCTGAGTAAGTCGAAAGCGGAGAAGAAGGAACCCAAAGACAAGAAGATCAACATCTTGATTCCTTTGTCTGGGCGCTTTGACATGTTTGCTCGCTTCATGGCGAACTTTGAAAAGACCTGCCTCATTCCTAATCAGAACGTCAAATTGGTTGTCCTGCTTTTCAATTCGGACTCCAACCCTGACAAAGCGAGGCAGGTTGAACTGATGAGGGATTATCGCCTGAAATACCCCAAGGCAGACATGCAGATCTTGCCGGTGTCTGGTGAATTTTCCCGGGCTCTGGCGCTAGAAGTTGGGTCCTCTCAGTTCAGCAACGAGTCCTTGCTGTTTTTCTGCGATGTCGACTTGGTGTTTACGGCAGACTTTCTCCAGCGGTGCAGAGCGAACACCATTTTAGGGCAACAGATTTATTTCCCAGTCATCTTTAGCCAGTACGATCCAAAGATTGTCTATAGTGGAAAAGTTCCTAGTGATAATCACTTTGCCTTCACCCAGAAAACCGGCTTCTGGAGGAACTATGGCTTTGGGATTGCCTGTATTTACAAGGGTGATCTTATTCGAGCTGGTGGTTTTGATGTCTCTATCCAAGGTTGGGGTCTTGAGGATGTCGACTTGTTTAACAAAGTTGTCCAGGCTGGCCTAAAGACTTTCCGGAGCCAAGAGGTTGGAGTTGTCCATGTACACCATCCTGTCTTTTGTGACCCCAACCTTGATCCAAAACAGTATAAAATGTGCTTGGGCTCCAAAGCATCAACTTATGGGTCTACGCAACAGTTGGCTGAGCTGTGGCTTCAAAAAAATGAGCCCAGCTTTGGGAAAAACAGCATTGCTAATGGTTCCCTCAGGACAGCCTAACATCCAGCTATGCTGGGAGAGGAAACAAAAACAAAACAAACAAAAACTACCTATTGCGTTTTTTTTATTGCCCTAATTTATTTTTTTGGAAAACTTTTTGATAGTTGATTTTTTAAGAAAAAGACCGCACAAGGGTATATTTTAGAAACCATCGTTTTCTTACAAGGACCTTCTGAGCGTTTTTCTGAACAAAACTGTGATCAACCTTTGCCTTTTCGAACAAACGTTTGTGGCTGAGTATTACAACTTGCCTGATTTCTGACGACTTGAAATAAATTACCTTTTCCTGATAAAACAGACTTTTTAAAAAAGAGAAAAGAAAACTTCCCTGTCCCCCTCTTATAATCTTTGGGTTTCCCCAGGAGTTATCCATTGCTAAGTGGCACAAATGATTCCCTTAATATTTCTTCCCTCTTGGGATTGGTAACAACGTAAATGGATTCTTCCTTGTATTTTTTTAAAAATTGAACAAAGTAAACAAGAGTGGCAGTATTGGTTAATTCATGTACAAGAATCTTTCAATCTGGTTGATATTTCAACCATAAAATGTACCATTTTTTGCTCATTGTATTTCGAGCAACTGAGGGAAAAGGGGAGATTTGAGCACAACCTTGATAAATGTGTACCTTCGCTTAAAACAAAACAAAACAAAAAGTATTTTCTTTCTTGGTCCACATGTGGATCTGATGTTTAAAAATTTCCACAGCAGGTGTTGCATTCTAAATTGGATCTCTTGTGTAGATGCCTTGATGGCAAAGAACAGTGTTTTAGTTAATGGGGGGGGGGAATATGACATTTCTTTGCCATAAAAAGCAACAAACTTTAAACCGAGACACTCGAAATTGAATGTGTTGGGGAAATATCCATCCCCCCCACCAGTTACAGTATTTCGATGGGAACAATTTACTATGTTTCCTTTGCTTAATTAGTTTGTTTTTTGCTGTCTGTATTGGGTAGGCCTTTAATTTATTTAATATACTTTGTTCTAGATCTGTCTTTTTATTTTTAATATCTGCTAGTCATTAATATTTATGTATCTTAGGAATGTATTGCATTTTCATGCTGTTAAAGGTAGCGTACGTCTTCTTACTTTGCAGTAAACTGATCTCCAAAGATTCTTTCTAAAGCGTTCTCTTTCATTTTCTGAAATCACTTTTTAAAAAGTTTTTAAAAAGTAACTGGAACCTTTGGATCTAACCTCTGATGCCCCCAAATGAGGAAGAGAATAGAAGCTGGATTTGTTTGGGTGTTTTGGATAACCACAGATGAGCAAAAACTTGTGTAAAATATGTGCACATGCTGGACACATGCACACACATGCGCGCACATTGCAAAATAAAATGCATCTGATTGAATACAAACAAGCAGTTCGGCATTGAACCTTACAAGGGCACACCGGAACTTGTGTTCAAAGCACAATCGTATATTGGCACCTCATCATTTGTAACAAATTTTCTCTCTCTCTCTCCTGCTGGAAAAAATAAAATGAATTGAGTAATATGCATTACTCTGTTGCACTCTTCAGCATTATGCCTTCTCCTTATTCCTGGTTGTGCTTCCCTCTCTCATAAATGCTAGAATTCAGGGCCATCCAATGAAACTGAATATCGGGGAACTCAGGACAGGCAAAAGGAAGGACTTCTTCACACAGTGTATAGCTAAGATTACAGGATTTGCTCCTGCAAGAAGTAGCAATGGCCACCAACTAGGAAGGCTTCAAAAGAGGGCAAGACAAATTCATGGAGGAGAAGGCTATCAGTAGCAACTCACCATGATAGCTAGGCTCTCCCTCCATGCTTGGAAGCAGCATGCATCTAAATAACAGTTGCTGGGAACTGCAAGTGGGGAGAATTCTTTTGTGCTCAGGTCCTGCTTGCAGGCTTTGCATGGGCATCTGGTTGGCCACAGCAAAAGCAGAATGCTGGACTAGATGGGACCATTGGCTTGATCCAGCAGCTCACTTCCGATGTTCTTGTGTCACTTGTGGGAGCAGAGAGGGGTTGAAACAGCTACTGGCATCCTGAATGTGACCTTTAACGTCTGGTTAAGAAGATTCCGGGGGCAGGGCTAGGGGGTACACTCCTGTCCCAGACAGAACCAGAACGAATAATCCTGAGCTATGTGAACCAGCAGTCGACTCAATATAAATCAGAGGTTTTATGCTCAGATGTTCCTTTGCAAATCAGTGACGGGCTCATTAGGGGAAATGGGGCACAACTTCAGACTGCTCCCAGGCATCTTCTGCCGCCTGCTTTCCACTGTCCACTTCTGCCTCTTTGGTCTTCAGCGTTGCTCTCCTAGAATTCAGCAGGGAAGAAGAGGACGGGGCAAAACTACCATTAGTTGGCTCTGTCTCCCCCTTCTGTTGGTTTCCCTACCTGTGGCCAACTCTAAAGGTAAAGGGACCCCTGACCATTAGGTCCAGTCGTGACCGACTCTGGGGTTGCTGCGCTCATCTCACTTTATTGTCCAAGGGAGCCAGCGTACAGCTTCTGGGTCATGTGGCCAGCATGACTAAGCCGCTTCTGGAGAACCAGAGCAGCGCACGGAAACGCCGTTTACCTTCCCGCTGGAGTGGTACCTATTTATCTACTTGCACTTTGACGTGCTTTTGCACTGCTAGGTTGGCAGGAGCAGGGACCGAGCAACGGGAGCTCACCCCGTCACAGGGATTCGAACCGCCGACCTTCTGATCGGCAAGTCCTAGGCTCTGTGGTTTAACCCACAGTGCCACCCGCATCCCGTGTGGCCAACTCTAGCTGAGCTGATTTTCATAATCCACCATGAATTTGATTTTGTGGTGAGGGAATTGAACAGTTTCTTGTTTTTATCTTAACTTAAATACAGGGTGGCTGGGTTTTCTTTCTTTCTTTCTTTCTTTCTTTCTTTCTTTCTTTCTTTCTTTCTTTCTTTCTTTCTCTTTTATTTTTTCAAAACAATAAAAAAGTCTGCTACAGTTTCAATCTCTTAACAGTAGCATCCCAGAATGTCACAGTGTAGCTTTGCTCCCAGGGGCATGCTGGGGATGGGGTGGGGAGATGCCTGCACCATTGATGGAAGTTATTTATTTATTTCACTTGCTTATAGCTCACCCTCAACCACATGGCCCCAGGTCAGTGATATAATATACAACATAAAATTATTCAAATTCCTCCCTTCAGAAATTGCCCATCCCACCAAAGATTAATCCAGACTTTTTGAGGGGAGGGGTTTTTACCCTTTACTAAAATCTCGGGCTCAACACTTTTGAGAACCAGCATTTCAGTTTTCCCTTCCAGCTGACATTCTGTTTTTCTTTCTATGGGGAAGCATTCAGACCTGTAACCTTGTCCAGCCCAGGAAAAGCTTTACCGCTTGGTTTATTATTTTTTATTTCGCAAAATTCATACACCGCTTGATTGTAAAAGAAAAACCTCAAAGCGGTTGATAAAATGATAAAATCAAGGGAAAAAATTAAATACTTTGGAAAAATACAAAAAGTTAAAATACTTCAAAACTGTTTAAATTCACACCAGTGTTTCTAAGTGTTTGGGTGGGCTTCCCTGAACAAGAATGTTCTTAGCAGGCACTGAAAATAATACAGTGAAGGGTGTGCTTGCTATCAATAGGCAGGGAGTTCCAAAGTGTTACGTGCTGCCACACTAAATCAAGTTTTTACAAATGAAGAACGGGTATTATGTGGCACCTGTAGCAGTGCCAATTCTGGTGATCAAAAGAGCCAAGTGGGTATGTGGGGTAAGGTGTTCTTGTAGGTAAACTGGACCTAAGTTGTTAAGAGCTTTCTATGTTGATAGTAAGGGACGCGGGTGGTGCTGTGGGTTAAACCACAGAGCCTAGGTCTTGCTGATCAGAAGGTCAGCAGTTCGAATCCCTGCGACGGGGTGAGCTCCCGTTGCTCGGTCCCTGCTCCTGCCAACCTAGCAGTTCGAAAGCACGTCAAAGTGCAAGTAGATAAATGGGTACAGCTCTGGCGGGAAGGTAAACGGCGTTTCCATGCGCAGCTCTGGTTCGCCAGAAGCAGCTTAGTCATGCTGGCCACATGACCCGGAAGCTGTACACCAGCTCCCTCGGCCAGTAAAGCGAGATGAGTGCCACAGCCCCAGAGTCAGCCACGACTGGACCTAATGGTCAGAGGTCCCTTTACACTTTACCTTATGTTGATAGTAACACCTTGAACCCAAACTCTTACCTGAGCAAATTGCTTCTTCGTTTATATAGAAAAGACACTTCTCAGCCAATGATGCGGTTTAGGGATAACATGTTTAGGTTAGTCCAATTAACACCAGGTATTCACTAGCTGGAAATTTCCAGCCATTCTTTTTATTGTAATAAGCCTTCAGGACACATCCTTAGTCACTTGCTTATGTTACCAGATTCTGCTTTCAGAATCAGTAAATACCCATTCTTTAAAAGATACAAAAGTTCTGCTTAGACCAAATCCCATGAAGCAGCCTGTTTAAGAGCATCCGCTGGAAGAGATCTGGTGTTGCTACAGCAGGACAAACCCCCCTCCATCCCATGCTAGCCACATGGGATTCAAACTGTTGGTCTGCACTGGCACAGCACCAGCTCTTGGTGCAGCTGCAGACACTCAAAGCGGATCTCTTCCATCAAACGCGGCCTTTGTTGTGCAAGAAAGAGGGTAACAGAGAGTCAGAACGGGTAGGTCCATTCTGGCCCATAAAACCTCATTCTCCCTCCCACAGACAGGCCGCTTCAGTGGAAGCTGCCTCCTTGTCGCTGACCACAAAAGCATTTATGACCTCTTTCCCGTCCATTTATGTAAACAGCTCCAGAAATTTGTTTAGTGCAAAGGCAAGTGTTTTTGTTGATGGGGAGGACCTCCAGTGGCGGATGATGCAACGCTATTTTGAACAGGAACTCCCAAACTGTATGCTGGAGCCAGACACTTGTGACACAAGGAATGGGTTTAAATCAGGCATAGGCAAACTCGGCCCTCCAGATGTTTTGGGACTACAACTCCCATCATCCCTAGCTAACAGGACCAGTGGTCAGGGATGATGGGAGTTGTAGTCCCGAAACATCTGGCGGGCCGAGTTTGCCTGTGCCTGGTTTAAATCATCGTCGTCGTCGTCATCATCAAACCTTTCCATGAGCCCCAAAGTCTCCACTCATCCAGGAAACATGAGGAGTCTCTGCATGAGTGACGGCTCTGGGCTTGCCTCTTACTGATCCACTTCGGTTTGGCATAGGAGTGATTCTGCCACACCTTTTCATCAGTCATTGGCTCACTTAATCTCTCCCCCAACAGTTACTGACCTTTAGGCAGTCACTCTAGACTAGGGACGGATGGATATCAAACTTAGTTCCTCATTTTTCCAGTCTTAAATGCAATTGGCACAAGTTGGGAAGGCCCTTTTGTTGCTGCTGTAACTAGGAGCCAGAATCCTTACTTTTGGGCTTCCTGTGGGCAACTGGTTGGCTGCTGTGGCAAGATGCTGGGCTAGATTAGCCTTTGGCCTGATCCAGCTGAGCTCTCCTTATGCAAATCACTCAACCAGTAGATCCCAATGTACCAGGGTTGCCAAGCTGAATAAAATATTGCAGGGGCCCAGATAAGCCCAACCTGGCATAATCACATGATGCAGTGAATGCACACCATTTGAATGGCAATGTCTATCAACTTGGGGGGGGCAGCCCCCTCATATATTTTATTGGGGGGGGCAAAGCCCCATCAGCACCTAGGAGTTGGCTCCTATGCATCAACCTTCTGTCCACCCCTAATTATATAAAGCAACCTGGATGAACTGATCTGAAATAATTACTTGTTCTTTGGTTTGACGACCTAATGGTCAGGGGTCCCTTTACCTTTTTAATGAAACTGATATCCTAATTTCCTCCGTAATCCTGCAAATAAAAAAGTACAGAGAGAGACACCAACTCTCTTACTACCCTTAAAACAGGTGGTCTGCCTGTGAATACTTGTGGACTTCAGGGTCAGACCATAGCTCACTGCTAGAGCATCTGCCTTCCATACAGAAGGTCCCAGGTTCAACTCCAAACATCTCTAAGTTAGGGCAGGAAAAGACCTCAGTCTGAAACATGGGGCTACAACTCCCATCATCCCTGGCCACTGGCTAGGAATGATGGGAGTTGTAGTCCAACAAAATCTAATATTGAGACAGGCTGGTGTAGACAATGGTCTGACTTAGTATAAGACAGGTCCCTGTGTTCCTTCATGGACCTATATGCCTAGCCACAGCTGGAGTCAGGATGCTGAACTAGATGGCTCCTTGCTTTGATCTTGCAGGGTTCTATTCTGGATAGGGCCTTATGTAATAGCTTCCCTTTCTCCAGCTGTTTTTTCCGGATGTTGCAATTTTCCTGAAGGGTACCACTGTCTTGTGGCTTCTGGTGCACTGGTGGCAGCGGCTAGCTTTTGGTTTTGTGTTCCTTTAAATCTGTAGACCCAAACAGAAGCAAAAATCTAAAGAGTTGCCTCTTATTTTTAGCCTGACAACAACCCACTAAGCCAGCCATGATTTTCTGCCCTCA